CTCGAATAGTCGTCTTTGGCCGGCCGGCTCACTTTCGGAGACTGACGACTTTCGCGGCTTTGCTTTCGCGTCCTGCGTCGTGGACCCATGGGGCCGGCACCTCCCCAAGATTGGATCATCGGCTCCCGATCTCTCGCTTCCGGTCACATTTTGACCATCAGTCACCTCTCATCGCCCACGTCGACAACGGTTCCCCACTCCGCGACCCCTCCGTCATCAGAGAGAGGCAGCACAGAGACTGAGAGAGCGAGAGGGATCGCGATTGTAGAGCAACTCATATGCAGATGAGGAATGACAATGCGACAATCCGATGCGCGCAAGACGCTGCAGAAAGGTCCGGCTGGGCCAAAGCGAGGAAACTCGTTGTTTTTTTCTCTCGCGCTACCCTTTTTTGACGATGTCATCGCGAAAAGTCCCGCTCATTGACAGGCTTCTTTGACGAGTCACTTTTCTTTCCCCCGACTCGAACCCCGGTGAAGCGCCTAAAGTGTAAACTTTGACATGGCACGAGGACGTTCCTTCGAGGAAGAGGGGCAAGTTGTTGTTTTTCTTCTCCCTCCTTCTCTCTCCAGGCGGTCTGTGTTACATAGACACAGACATGACAGGGAAGAGAAACACGACTCCTGATCATCGTCTTGGAGAGGGTCGTTGCTCGTCAGAGATTGTTCTTCGTCGCAACGTTCGGGTTCCCTCCCGCATTTCTTCCGTCGCACACAGTTTCTCGTCTCGCGCGCGCGCGGGGCGGATGTGCGAGGGTGGAGATAGACGGTCCGCAAGTAGCGCCGTTGTCGTTGCGCTGAGAGCCCGCCGCCCTCTTCCCGCCCTCGTGGCAATCCAACGAAAGCGGGCAGCTTCATTTTCCTCGTCTCTCTTCCTCCTTGTGTGTTTGACTTCAGCAGTAAGTTTACAGCTCGGGAGGCGGGACTCGGGACTCGGAGCTTTCGCCGATGAGGTTCATTGGCTACAGCTCTGGATCAACCATATCAGATGACTCACGCTTCTTTGGTGTCGTGGGCCTCATAGGCCCAACGGCGGCGCAACATGAAGACAGATACTGAGCCTTACTGGACAACGGGCTGCAAGACAGGAATGTCGATTGCGCCGAACGCCAGTAGTCGGGAGGCAATGGGGACACGGAGTAGGGGTGATGCCTGTTCGGTGCCGTCCAAGTCGACGTCGAACATTCGGGCGTGGAGCTACAGTCACTTGCCCCCTACGGAGCCAAAGCGGCAGCTTTGCCACGCCGAAGACTGGACTCCTATGACAGCCTTGCGTGATTTGTCCTTGTTGGGAAGGTCAGGTGGTCAAGGGAGAAGGGAGTTGTGCGCTCCGATCTTCTATCATACTATCACTCACCGCATCGTGAATGGCTGGCTGGGGAGATTGGGGCTGCAACTAGCTTTGGGGACTGCAAAGCCGTTGCCCAGCATTCCTACCACTCGGAGCAAAGACGTGTGAGGTGAGGAGTGCAGTAAGTCCAAGACGTCGTCCGCTTTTTGCGCACATATTGTTCCTGCCTACCTGCCTTTGGTAAGGGCCTCCGTCCCTCACATCTCACCTTTTCGAGTCTTTCTCAGAGTCTCTCCGTGGGTGGCTCCTCCGCGGGACTCCGGATCCGCGCCGTTGAACATGCCTAAGGCATGTCGTACCCGGCGGCGCACACCTCTTTTCTTCCTCGGAGTCTGTGTCGCAAGTCTTGCCTTTCCTTCTTTCCTGAATGTCTCTGCCTGGCGAGATGTCTCTTCTGTTGAACATGTCTCTCGCGTGTCTCGAGGTGGCCACCCGGGCAGATGAACCCAAAGAAGGGCGAGTCGCGGGGGAGTAAGTGAGCAGGCAAGCAGGAATGGGAATGTAGAGAAGCGTGGTGTGCGTGTGTGTGCGTGTGCGGGTGGGTGCACGTGTCTGAGATCGGAGGAGGAATGTTCGGGTCGCAGATCGTCACTCCCGGAATTCTTCCAGCTGGCTGGCTGCCCATTGGGGATATCTCTGCCATCTGGCGGCACGTCCACGCTGCGCCGGAATACGCTGATGACGACGTATCTGTACCAATCTGCCCCTCTTTCTGCCTCCGTGACTGCCTTGTATTTCACTCTTCTCCGCTACTGCCAGACGGCCCAGCCTGGCGATATGAAGATGATCACGTCGGCCGCCTCACCATGAACGAGGCGAAAGACCTCTGGGTGGTCCGGCTACTCGAGATAGAGAAGAAACCAAACCTCCGAGATCTTGTGAAATGTGACAACAGATTCTGCTGGCTCCTGACGACCGGGCCGGGGTTTGGGACGGAGGAGGGTTACTTTGACGGTTTTCGTGAGATCCTGCACTTACCCCTCCTTCAAAACGAAGGCACTGCAGGAAGATGCCGAGAAAGGGCAACGCTGTTGATGGCCCTTTTCGTGTAACCCAACTGACTGACGACTGGCCGGGTCCGTCCGCACGCGCGTCTTCTTCTTCTTCTTCGAAGCTTCCGATTCGAAGGGCGGCGCTTGGCCCTTGTGGTCTTGGAAGTTGAGATGTTTGACTCGCAGTAGATGCTCCTATGCGGCTTTTCGTGATGGACTGGAGGCCGTGTTTGGGAGGGTTGCGGCGATATGCGCGTTCCCGTCCGATGTGAGGGCGGGTCAGTGACGGACGGGGGAGCTACACCACATCACATCGTACACAGAGGCATGCATCTCGAAGTGTTTATTGGGTGTGCCCACGACACCGCGGGACCCGGAAGGGAACGAACGGGCTTTTCGGGGCATGAGGTGGTGTGCTGCTGTCTGAGTGACAAGTGTGATTTAGGTTGGCTTTTGGCGCTGATGTGTGAGTGGGCTTTTTCGGGGGGGAAGATGGGTTGGTTGGTCTACGACGTGCTGGGTGTGGCTATTGCTGTGTTTCTCCCACTGTGAGGTGCTTCCGTGTGAGCGAGGTGGAAGACCTACTTCCAAGTCAGAACGCCCATTGTCTACCGTAGCGATGATGAGGACGTTTCGTAACGGACGAGGAGTGTACTGTACACGGTCTTCTTGTCCTCGTCTTGGTCGAATCTCTTGTCTCGGAGTGGGGGAGGACATCGTCCGCTTTGGGGGCGCGGGATTGGCGCAGGGAGGGTTCTGACGGGCTTGACGAATCGCGATCGGTTGTGTCATGTTTCTGGTGTTCTAAGTGATCCTGGGCTCCCAAAACGCGCGAGTGGGATGGGTTTCGGTGCTTGTCTGGTGCTGGTTGGACCGCGGTGCTCGCGCGCCTTCGCAGGACTGGAGCTCTGTGTCTTTTTGGTAAAACCCCTGAATCCATGCTGGCGTCGTCGGGGAATAGAGATATCAGATATCGAAATGCCGCCGGGAGTCTTCCCCGCGCAAGTAGACTCAAGTTAAGATGAATTAATGAGAGGCAAGCGCGGCGAGACTTTTAGACGGGGGGAGATAACTTGGTGCCAACCAAGGTGGCCTGAGTGGTCTGAGTGAGGCGGCCGGTGTCCATACCTGTCTATCCTGTCGTCGTCGTCGATCGACCGAGGCTCAGAGGTATCAGTCACGTTTCGTCAGACGACCGAGAGGAAAGGAGAGAAGACTCAGGGTCCTGGGAGGGAGGGGCCGAGGTTCGTGAAACGGCGGGAGAGATCGGGGAAGTTGGATGAGATTAAGGGTTCGGTCGTGTTTCTCCGTCGTTTCTGGAGGCTTCGGCGCGCGGGGAATGGGAGGAGGGTGTTGTCTTGATGATCATGTCGCCTCAATCTGTTGCTGGGGTCTGCTGGGTTGGTATTCCTGATCTTCCGTATTGGGCTTATGGGGCGAGATTTTGATTGCCATCTATCCGGGTGTTTCTGGTTCTGGTCGATGGCGCAAAGCTTTGACTGAGAGCCGATTCGAGATTGTGGCAGAATAGGTATATGACATACAACTTGGTGGCTTGATTAAGTATCTGCTACATCTGAAATAGACTATAGAAGACTAAACGATGAGTTTCTGATGCTCCTAGGGTGAACTCTTCCGGATTATGTTAAGCCCATTCGGAGAGCCTCTTTGTATGGCGCCCGGCGTGTTCGAGGCAACCTGTTCTCAAGTCGGATATTCTTACGCCAACTGCCAACAACCTAAACTCAACGACTGGAAATCATCGTTGAGACTTACATGACTAATATAATGGGTTGTGTTTTGGTGTTCTGAGGTCTCTCTACTTTCACTGGATGTATTACTCGACATGGTGTTCTGAAGTTTATTCCAATGTCATATGCCATACGCCTCTACATCGAACTTTGTGGCCAGACAATCAAGTTCATTCATTTGCTTCTGTACCTTAAATACACTCTTGAAACTTGATAAGGTAGTTTTTACGGATTTACAACAAGATGAAGTGTTTCGGCTGGCTGCGAAGAAGACATCGCCGTTAACTCAGTTTTGCTTTTCACGTCAAGATAGTTTTCCCGCGCGGCAACTGAGGATAGGTTCTCGGACCTTGGACAACGTCGCCGAACCTGCAGTATTCACTAACTACGATTGACTACTTCGTTAGGATAGATACAAGAAGCTGCTGAGAAATAGATGTTTGAAGCCAATTTGACATGTATTTGAGATACTGCGTTGTGTTATCGAGCTGTATGTTCAAGTAGATTACATCGACATGCGAAGTTGGTATTCTCTGGCTTCTAAATGCCGCGGGTTCGTGGACAACTAATTTCTGGCCAAGGCACAATTCAACTAAGCGTCGTGCATTTGAGTCCTTCGAAACCAGGAATATCATGGGAACTCTCAAAGGCATACGACCCAAAATTCACCTACGCTAGTATAATCTCAGTCGTCAAGCTTCTAGTCTCGAGAGGGTCGATGATGTGCTCTTTGAGAAAGATATTAAGATACTTCAAAATATCAGCACAGAGAAACTAGCTGTATGCTGTCTGTAGGTCTTGAAATATCGCTCAAGTCTTCCTTTAGACCTCCAGCTTTCTGATAGTTATGCATCTCATCGCGTTATCTGTTGGGGTATTGATATATTGTGCAACACTATCATTACAATTACTCAACCCAATGCGGCAAATAGAACTTGACGTTCTCGTACACGAGGAAAGTGACCCATGTAGCTGGCATCACTCTCACAACTCCCGGCATGAGGCCTCTGTAGAAGCCTCTAAACCCTTCTTCCAGCCATATCCTCCGCACGACGCCCCTGATGCCGCGACCAAATCTCTCATCAGCATCATAGTTTTGCAGCCTGCTACGCAAGACCTGATAGGGGTACGTCACAGCTCCGGCCACCAACTTCGAGATGCTAGAGATCACCACGGTCGCCTCGTTGCTGAGCCGGCCGCCGTTGTCGCCCTTCTGCCTCCTGCCGGCGAAGTACATACGCTTCGCGGGCTCATAGACAGCAAACTGCACCGCCCCGTGCGAGACCCCGATCAGGCTGACCCCTAAGCCGCGGTAGAATCCCCTCCACCCCTCGGACCGGTACAGCTGACGCGCGCCAGACCACATGCTCGAATAGGCGCCGGCGGCGGTGCGATCGGAGGACAGCATGCGCGTCTTGAGCACCCAGACGGGGTTTGTCAGGACTTGCGTCAGGGCGCCGGCGAGCGCGGAGGAGATGAAGAAGTCGTGCGATGAAAGGACCTCCTTGGTCAAACTTCGGGTCTCGGCGTCGCCGGAGGTGCGGAGTGATCCGGCTTTCCAGTACGCGATGGCGAGTTCGACGCGATTCTTGAAGAAGAAGAATGCGGACCAGCTCGAGGCGTTACCGATTAGGTTGGGGGTGAGACCGCGATAGAGCGAGGCGATGGGATGCGGGTTCTGGGTGAGGGTGCGGATGAGGGACATTGTCGTCAGCGTGGTCGAGGGGTTGGCGGCGCTCCGGTGAACTGCGATTTCGTGTAAGACAGAAGGTTTTCAGATCATTCTATGAGTGATAGGTCTGACTTACTTTGCATCCGGGTTTTGACGATATCGAGCGGATGAACTACCAGAGTCGCGACTGAGCCAGCCGAAAGTCCGGCGACGGACTCGACGAGCGCGGGAGAGAGGCCCGCATCTTTTCTTTCTGACATAGAAACGAGACTTCTAGTCACATTTCAATCATCAGATGAAAGAAGTGCTCCTCGGACTTTTGTTTGTTTGAGCTCTCTCTCTGAAGAGAGACGAGGTGAAGCTCAAGTGAGTGAGAGTGAAGTCTTGGTGTGGCTGAGGACCCATACAGCTTACCAAAAAAAATTGCTACGTCATTTTAGCTCGTTACATTGCGGCCCCGCCACAGATCCTTAAGGTCTACCTACCTAGCCACAAGCGACGACTAGGTACGACGACGGATCATGATGACGAGATGTGCAGACGTCAATGAATTTGGATGAAATAGATGAATGGGTCTCGTCAAAGTTATTGCCAAAGTGCAGGATGAGACATCGCGAAAAACGAAGGCGGATATTGCACCAGCTATGGACGAATGCGCGGGACTTGTTGGGAGAGTGTCTGCTCCGGCAAAATGAAGACGCCCGTTTTCTTTATTATCCAAAGCTGGTATCTCGAGGCTGCTCGTGAGCCTGCATTCTTCGTAGCCTTGGAAAAGGGATCCGTCGAAAGTTTAGCACCATGCAGTGTGACATGTGGTGTGTAAAAGCGTGTCGTCAGAGAGGTTTCATTTGATTACATATGTAGTTGTACAGTTCATTGAGACCACAGCCTCTATCCCTAGCCTTCCATGCCTGGGGCCCGGCGTTTCATTCAACCCTGAATGCCGGCTTGCCAAGAGATGTTCCCAAAAGTCCTTGTATAATACACGAAGTCGATGTCGAGGAGCATGTCGTCTAAGAAAGGGGAGAGAGGAGGCTTTCAAGGACATTAGTATTGTTACTACTTGACGAATGTCGGACGCGATAGTATGGCAACATACCGGATGAAGGGCGGGCGGGGCTCGCTGCGAGTGTAACCTATGGCCAGAAAGTTAGCTTTCGAGTTATCGATTGTTCGCAAGTCGCTTCGTGTCATTCGTACCGAGGTAGAGGACCAAGGGGAGGTAGCCGCTGCGAACTTATTAGCAAAGAACATGATGCCCGAGGAGAAATAACAAAGACATACTAGTGAATAGCAATCTTGGAGATCTCGATGATCTTGCCGATGCGCTCCTGTTTAGAATCGTGAGCTTCTGTTTGATGCGACAAATTGGCAGCAGGCGTCATCGTACCTTGGACTCTTCGGAGAGGGCGAACATTTTTGCGGCTGTGATGCAGTATTCGAAATGCAACCAGTTCTAATATCCGATCAAGACTTGTGCTTGATGATCTTGTTCGCCGGGATTCGCGGGTTGTCGTCGGGCGAGGGTGGATGCGCTGGGACGAACATCACCTCAACTTTTTCTCGACCCTGCCGGAAAAATGGTGACAACCTTAAAAGTGGGACCGGAACAACGCAAGCTTCTCTTATCGGACCTTCCAACTGCGATAAGAAAAGGTACGTACCTTTTTCGCAGCTACCGCGTCGACGAGGCCAAAATTTCCAGGCGACTGCTGCAGACTGGTTCAACTTACGACAATCGCGTCGCCCAAACACATCTCCGATAACGTTTTCCCTTCCAGTATCTCTGTCGCATCGATTCATCAGAGAGTCTCATCAGTTCAAAATGGCGCAAAACAGGCATTGGTACGTCTCAATTCCATCGGCCCGCCGAACAGAAAGCTAATAACGCGATCGTGCAGGGAACAAGACAAAGATGCTACCATCTACATAGGCAACATCGACGAGCGCGCGACTCCGGCGATGGTATACGAGATTATGCTGCAAATGGGACCCATTCACAACATCCACATGCCCCGCGACCGTGTCACACAGAACCACCAGGGCTTCGGTTTCGTCGAGTTCCGCTCCCCCGGAGACGCAGAATACGCCGCGAACGTCATGAACGGTATTAAGTTGTACGGCAAATCACTGCGTGTTAATAAGGCCAGTGCCGACAAGCAGAAGCAGGCAGAAGTCGGCGCAGAGCTGTTCGTCGGTAACTTGGACCCCATGGTCGACGAGAAGATCCTCTACGACACATTTTCGCGCTTTGGCCCGCTCGTCACACTGCCCAAAGTCGCAAGAGAGGACAGTGGTGCTTCGAAGGGCTTTGGCTTCATCTCATATGCCGATTTTGAAAGTTCTGATGCGGCCATCTCGAACTTGAACGGCCAATACATCCTGAGCAAAGAGGTCACAGTTCAGTATGCCTTCAAGAAGGATGGTAAGGGCGAGAGACACGGCGATGCTGCGGAGCGTGAGCTGGCTGCGCAGGCAAAGAAGAGGAACATCATCCCCGAGATCCAAGCGGTGCCGCCAGCGTTCTTGATGAACGGCAACGGCCCACCAGCTGGAGGTGTACCCGCCGCGCCCGTCGGCTTCGATCCCGCAAACGGCCTGCCAGCTCAAGTACCCAACCCCGGAGCCCCTGCTGGCTTCGCACCTCCGCGAGGACCTGCTCAGTACAACGCAGTACCGCCTCCCGCCCACATGGGAGCCCTCGGTACCGGTCGCGGTCATGTGCTGCCGCCTGCACCGTCTGGCTTGCCCGCGCGCCCGCCCCAAGGCCAAGGCGGTTATACGAATCCCGCCGACTTCCACCCGGGCGCTCCTGGCTTCCGTCCACCCAGCGGCGGACCCCCTCCTCAGGGTTTTGCTGCGCCTCCGCCAAACTTTCCCGTTCCTCCCCCGGGCCAGTCCGGGACACCACCCGCACCCCCCGGCTTCATGCCGCCTCCAGGCTTCAACCCTCCCGGGTTCCCTCCTAGGCGATGAGTCTTCGACGAGCATTGCTCAATTTTCCAGCAGCTCCGGAAGGCAGACCACTTGAATACATAGCAGGCGTTTGGGATAGGGGTAACAAAAGGGTTTGGTCAAAAACCAAAACGAACAGATTGCAATGGTCTGTCGTCGCTTCGAATGAACGGGCCTGCCATTGCTAACGATTGTTCAGATACCTGGCGAGAAATAGTAATTATCATGGCACGATGGAAGGGCTCTCAGCGGTCAAAAGAGACGACCCAGTCTGCCGAAATCGAATGTCAGCCCAGCCACAGTTTAGACTAGCCACTGGGGCACATGTCCGCAGGTTTGGGAATTACAATGAATTCTTATTCAAGCATATCCCAACTTTGAATGTGATTTACACTTTGATGTCATTCTTCGGGTTTGTTGACTAATATGTGCATATAATACAGTTCCAGAAAGCAAGTACTATTCGTCTCCTTCGATGAAGTCGTTCGAATTGGACCCATCCCCGCTTCCGGAGGTCACCGTCGTTGGGGATCTAGATAAGGTCGTCGGGACCTCCCGATATCCCTTGCATGCACCAACGTTTCCAGGCCACTAGCGCATTGTCCATGGGCGTCTTAGCTGGTGTCCACCGCCCAAGTGGCTTAATTGACGCCTGTCACGAGTGCTATTTGAATGCGGGGTTCCCCGGCCGATGCATTGTCACAGCTGGTGAGCAGCCACACCACAACCCCTCTCCTGATCTCATAAACAAGAAGGGTGTACTTTCAAGATATTCATTAAAAACACATCATTCTAAATTGCATCAAGAACGACACTCACTATGGATCCTCAGGTTAAGTATCTTCTTTCTCTTCGGGCTGTCCGCGAGCGTTCCAAGATCGTAGGGGACGCCGCCGCAGCCGGCAACTTAAGCCACTTCGAGGTCCGCGAAGATAAGCTGGATGAAGTGGTCGACTTCGTAGCTTCCGTCATTAAGGTCAGGACTTATTCTATATGGAGATAATTGTAGAAACTGACGAACCTTCATTTCAGCGGGACTATGGCCCGGACAAGTTTGACACAATCCCTCCTCACGGCCGCTGGCAGCATTTCGAGGTCGGAAACGTGCCCCGCATCGCCAACATCATGGAGGAGTGGAAAAGCGAGGGTTGCGACAAGACGGAGCAGACCCGCCGTCTGATTGACCTCTTCTTCGTCTCCGTCCTCTTGGACGCCGGTGCCGGCGACCACTGGCGTTACACCGAGCCCGGAAGCGACCAAGTCTACGAGCGGAGCGAGGGCATCGCGGTGGCCAGTCTGCACATGTTCAAGTCCCTAGCGTTCACCGCTTCGGGATCGATTCCCATTGTGGATGGTAAGCGTCACGGCTTTGAGGGGTTGCGTTCGTACTGATGTGTGTGGTGTTCAGGAAAGGGGTTGGAACGCCTGGAGACGAGTGCCCTCGCCAAGGGCTTTCAAGTATCCGACAGTAACCCCATGCTGGGAGTCGATTCCCGCGCTGCGTTGCTTAGAAGCCTGGGCAAGTCATTGCTCGCTCATCCCGACGTTTTTGGAGCAGAAGGTCGCCCGGGGAACCTCGTCGGTCAGTAGTCGTCCATTCACATTCCGATTCGCTTGTTTCCTGACCAGAACCCCAGATTGTCTCACTAAAACGGCTGGCGGATCCTCGAAACTGGACGTACTTTTCCTTTGGGACACTCTCCAGTCTCTTCTCATTCCATGCTGGCCCAAGGACCGGACAACCATCAACGGCACGCCCATCGGCGACGCCTGGCCTCTGAGCACCCTGAAAAAGGGGACCAGCAGCACCGACGCAGCAGACGGCATCCAGCCCTTCCACAAGCTCACGCAGTGGCTCACTTACTCCCTGATGGTCCCTTTCCAGAGGGTCCTGGGCCTCGAATGGACCAACGCCGACTCTCTGACGGCGCTGCCGGAGTATCGTAACGGCGGTCTGTTCGTCGACCTGGGCGTGCTGGTTCTGAAAAAGGAGACGCTCGACCGGGGTTTGAAGGCCTCCGGCGAGGAACTCCCCATGTTTGACGCGGGAGACGATGTCATTGTCGAGTGGAGGGCCATGACCTTGGTCCTGATCGATAAGCTGTATAGCAAGATCAAGCCTCGCATGGGCGATGGCGTCCAACTGAGTATGGCGCAACTACTCGAGGCCGGTACGTGGAAGTCTGGTCGTGAGGTTGCCGCCAAGCGTCGGCCGAAGACGAAGTCGAGCCCGATCATTATCAAGAGTGATGGGACTGTATTTTAGAGTGAATGGTGCGCAGCATAGGCATTCGGTGTACCCTCACCGTCTTTAAAGTCTGATGAAGAACTCAGGCTCTCAATCGTCATCTTCGTTAACGACAATCTCATGAATCCCTGATGTGACTGCGTTGCGTCCAACGCAAGAACCCGCTGTGAGATGGATCGATGCGTCTTTTCATGCTATATCTGTCTTCGTATACATGAGAAAGCACTGGCGTAACTTGTGCTATAGGCTTGATTCTTCTCGAGTTTTCAGGGTGATGAAATTGCTTTGTTCACTGCGGGGCCTCTCAACTCAGTCGTCCTATCTATCATGAGGCGACGCCGGTTCAAATGAGAATAACCTCCTTCTCTTGACAATCGTCGTGCCATCCTTCACGATCACCAAAATACCCACGCTCAGATCTTGGTAATCTGAAAATAACGAGACCGACCCGCCGAAATGTGTTGGAGTTCTCTGCGACTGGCTCCAGAGCCAAGGCATAAGCAGCTTCGGAGAATTCTGGCTTGAAGTGAAGTACTATGGGCAAAGGCCGATGCACCACCATCGTTAAAAGCAGGGTTACTCTTCTTGCATTGCGATCTCGGGGACCAACAGCTGTGCGGCCGTTGAACTTAGTCCAGAAAAGGCTGCCTCGATGTTGGCAAAGGGGAAGCGAAAGAAATACCCCCGGGTTATCTGGAAAGAAATATGCCGATTCGATCGATGTCGGCATTGACGGCTCATCCAGACGAAGGGACGTATACAAGTTAAGGGGCTCATCCGAATCAAGCGGCCAATTCGACGTTTCGGTGGTGGTCGTTTGACCAGAAAGCGGACACGCAACGAATGAGATTTGAGGCTTAGATCGGACCTCAACCTTTTTGATGACTGCTTCGACCAATTTACCTCGGATTGTTAGTTTCCCCTCCGTGACCCTTCCGCAAGGATCACTTCCTCTCAGGGACATAGAGGCCGATACCAACTGCGCACTCCACTGGAGAGTGGCACAAGTTGAACGAGGATAAACGACGGGCACTGGCAATGAGATCCAAGACCAGCTCGGGCCAAGATATTCACTTGATGTTGCGTTATCAGACCATCTTGAAGCGTCCAGCCCCTTTTTGTTGAACCATGACAAAGCCCGTGGCATGTCGTTCCTCCAGAGTCCTGCAAGGTATTGATCGGAGACCGGGGGGCTCAGACTATGGGCGATGCCAGAGATCGCTGGTAGACGATCAGTCATGAACGTCAGTTCACAGGAAGAGTACTTCTTCACTATCTTCCTCCACCAGTTGTAATATTCGTGGGTGTCGTCGGGCTGCTGCCTCTGCATGGGGTAATAGCGAGGCCTTCGGCCAAAACCAAAAGTTTCTCCCAGATGGGACATCTCATATCGCGTACCTCTTCTGCAATCGAGATACATTTGATTCGTGCCGAAATTGAGCGTACGCCTGGATAAGAGGCTCTCTTGAAATATCCATCCGCGACGCAACAAAAGTGACTCAGGCTCTGTCTTGTATGGATGTATGTTTTTTTCGTAGTCTGTCGGTCCGGCGTAATATAGCGTCAATAACCCGTTTGGATCGCCACCCTCGTCTCGGTATTGAAGCGTCGTCCGATACGACGAATCTCCTATGAGGCTCCTGTCGTGTAAGAATCCAGATCGAGAGTCCTTCGCTGCAGGGCCAGCGATTGTCAGCTTGGATCCTTCGTAAATAGATGCCATCCGGGGACACTCCCGTTCCCAGTCCTGCTCGTCATCCTGTATGATGCAGAGTGAGTCAATCCACAAGTACCGGTATCCAAGCTTATCTGTCGCAATGACGGCGTCTCTGAAAGTCGCTGGTAGACTTGCGGCCTTGATACCGTCATGGATGCGACTTTCCACATTGGCCTTGAGAGTCGAGATGATATTGCTACCGCCCCAACGATGACTTAAGGTGACATAGTCATATTGACGGTTACGTTGTGTTGGAATCAATCTGACCTGATCGGCTCCTCGCTCAATCTGAAGAAGACGCGTGGGATTCTCAGCTCGTATAGAACCGCTAGAGTCAAGTTCGTCGACGCATTCCAGGTCGTGTTGTTCGCAATCTGATAGCCACTGCCTGGCGAGACCCAGCTCTGGTGATACCGTACAGACTCTAGCGTCGAAACCTCCTTGTGTTTGGAAGGTGCTATTCGCTTTCTCTTCGGTCAACGAGGATTCTCGCCGGGGGCAAGAGACTCACCATTTTCATGCCCAAGTAGAAAATCTGCTTCCACTTTGGCATCCAAAATATCAAGTTCTCGCCGGTCTCGGCTGCAATAAGTAATCAGGCTCCAATTGAATACCTGAGTCTTCCATTGAGCCTTATTGATCACGGCGTCAGAAGTTGAGCGGATAACCGTGAGCCCTGCGCCATCAAGTTGGCTATCAATTTTCTCTCGGGTTTTTGACAGCTTGTGCTGCTGAGAATGCAAACAGCCATTTCTGAACACTTGACAAAGCTGACAGCCTCTCAAGGCCGACTCCCTGAGAGCTTTCCAGCTAGAGCAGTGGCGAAACTCGAATGAAGGGCGCTCTTTGTTGGAAGGTCGAAGTGGGCGCAAGTACAATTCCTCTTATTGTAGGCACGATTCACACAGGCTCGATGCGGCTTCGCGAGGCAATCGCTCCTGAGAGTATTCGTCACCAAATCTGTATGTCCGATTCTCTGAATTAGCAGTCCAGGGTTCGATAGCTCTGCTTCTGAGATTTGCTGCGGATTCTTCAGCATCGACTTCGCTATTAGCGTCAAAGTCGCTATCAGCGTAAGCGAGACCCTCGCCAGCACTATTGAGGCCGCTAGAAAGTGAAATACTGTCTGAGTCGCTTGGGGCCTCCCGAAGCGAAGAAGTGGAAGCAGTCGATGGTGTTGTGGATGCAGATATAGGCAACCAACGACGAAACCAAGACAACATTATTTTGATTGTGATGCCGACGAGATGAGCTTGTGTGTCTGAGCGCGCGTGGCAATTCCACACGCGAACAAGTTGTTCGAGAACACCAGGACCGACCCTCGAATATATAAGGCATAAACAGGCACCTGATAGCGCTGCTCCTAGGAAGTAGGTAAGCGGCAGGGTGAGATGAGATCCCACCGGGCGGGCTAGAAGCAACCTACCTTAGTTGAGGCAAATGTTGGGCGAGAAGGGAAGTTGGGCAGCGGCAACGTCAAAACTAGAGGCCCAAATTCCAGGTTAGGAAAGAGGGGGTCCATATGAGTTACTCTACTCCGTTTGGGTCTGCAGTGCATGCTGCGGATGCCGATAGACAAGGAAATTAAACCCGGGTTTGCAGATGCCTGCATGCAACGAGATTCGCTGCATTTACCTTTTAACTATCGAATAGGCATCCGTGATGATACGAAAATCTCAAGACCATAGACGTACGGATCACATCTGCTGATGCTGGACGACAACCCAGGAGAAGACGACAGCATAGCAAGGTTGCCAGCAAATAGGCATCTCGAAGATCTCAAATCTGCGACGGACACCCGCACTGCATCTTCAGATACTGCCTTGCAAGAAGTCAGAATGATGCAGTTGTAGCTGAACGGAGAAAGTTCGTTGATAGAGATGAATAGCCAGGACACATCGTCAAGCGTTCCCCGCTTCTACTTTACAAGTGATTATATACAGTTGAGTTACAAGATTTTCTTTTTATCCGGTTGGTGTTGTACAACATGTCGTCCATTCCTGCTCAATCATTTCTTTTGGTCCCTCGACGCCTATTCCTTCTTGTCCTGGTCCGAGGTGTCCTTCTTCCAATCCTTCAAATACCCAAACGCATCGTCCCACGTCATGGGCTCGTCGTTGCCGTAGACGTGGACCGGACGCTTCTGGCTTTCCGCGTCCTTCTCCTTGCGGTATACGCGGCCCTCTTCGCTCAGTTGCTTCAGCCGGCCCTTGAACATCTTGTACCACTCCCGGTCCCGGTCCCCATCCTCCCTCTCGAGGACCTTGCGTCTTCTCTGCTTGACCGCCTGGTAAATCCTCCGCGCCTGATCAGAAGGCAGCTCGTTGAGGGAGTACTCCAGACTCCAATCCCAACTCTCCGCCGTCCTCGGGGGTCGGACCACATCAAGCCCGTTGACCTTGTTTCGCACCGTCAAGTGCATTCCCAAGAGCTCCTCTTCTTCCTCCGGCGCAGGCGCGCTGTCCGAATCTTCAGTCTGTTCAGTCTTCTGTTCCTCGACCTCGACCTGTTTCGATGACTCTCCAGACGGCGATGATGTCTCCTCTGCTTCCGAGCCCACCTCTTTCGATTTCGCCACAAGTTCAGAAAGAATCCTTCCAAAAGTTCGAAGTTTGGAGACGTCAGAGACGGGCTCTTCGTCCGGCTGTTCCACGTCGTCGAATTCGACCTTCTCGTCCACGGTCGAGGCCAATTGAAGGATAAGCTCCTTTAGACTGGTGTCACGGGAGACACCTGCATCTGTAGTCTGACTTTCGACAGAGGACGCCGCCTCTTGCAATAATTGCGCTTCAGTCGCCTCGGCGTTTTTGTTGGCAACATCGGTCAGGCTCTCCTCTTCGGTGGGTTGGCTGGCCTTGTCCACAACGTTCAGATCACCCCCTTGTCCAACCTCAAACGTCAGGGACCCGGTTTCAACATTGATTGTTGCGCCCTGCTGGTCATCTTCGGTGGCTTCGTTGCGTGTAAGAACTTCGAGCAAAGAGTCGACATAGCCCCGCGCTTCTTCCGAAGTTCTTGCTTTCAACAACCCGCTCTGCTCAAGGGCATCGCGGATTGCTTCGCGAACATGGTCAACCCCAAGAGAGTCATCTTCGATCGCCGCCTCCACCTTATCCTGCATTTCCTCCCAGGTAAACTGTCGCTGACTCTCAGCCATGGAAGCTTCTCCCACCTCGTCGAGAGCCTGCTCAGCTTCTGACTCCATGTCTTCAGCTTCTGAGGCCGTGGCTTGGTCTCCCGGTTGCCCCTGAACAAGCCCGAGAATCTGCTTCTCATACTCAGCGATCTCTTCAGCCTGGGATGATTGGATGTCATCAATCTCCTCCGCCGTAACCGGCTTCGCGAAGATGTACATGAGTGGCGGGTTTGTGTCTCGAGTTTCCACGTGCAGACGAATCGACCGACCTGGAAACCGGTTGGTGGCTTGGTCCATCACCTTATTCAGCAAGTGAACACTCAGTTTGAATTCCATGTCACCCAGAGCTCGGTCTTCGGTTCCATGCAAAGCATTGTCCATCTCGTTGATGCTGACATACTGGAAGCCGAAGATGCGTTGGGTGTTGTGGAAAGCGACAAAGATGCCGTCCATTCGGCCCATCCGCACTTGCAGCGAGTACTTGAGCATGGCCGACCTGATCATGTCAAAATATTCGCGTTCGAAAGATTCCCAAGTACCATGGCGTCTGCGGAGCTCGTAACCGAGTCCCTTTTTGTATCCCCCGGCGTCCATTCGGATGGATATCACGGATCTTGTCTTGAGATCGAACATGCCAGTGCCTGGCAAGCGGGGATCATAGGCGTCGAGTTGAGAACGCATGAGGAAGTCTCCCATGGTGGAGAAGTGGAACGCCTCGCTGGCGTTGCGCTCTTCCTCCGAAATCTGGTCCGAATTCTTTTTCCGATATCTCTCGAATTCATCTCGAGGCAAAGTGAGAAGCTTCTCCATCGACTTGCCCAGCATGCTGAGAATGGTTGCAAAGTCGTACTCTTTGTCGGCGTCGATAGCATAAACTCCATCGCGATGGTGGAGGAATGTAGCTGCCGGAGCCCGCAAGATCTGGGTGAACCTTTGACTTTCAACATTGAACGATTTGCTCATCATGCTGAAATTGAGCGGTCGCCAAGCCGAGAGAAGGTAGTGAAAATGTGACAGCATCGAGGTCATGCTGGATGTCGATCCACTGTACTTTTTGCCCTGCTGCCTAGCAAGATTGAAAAGAGTCTCGTCCTTCGAGGAGGTCACATACTTCTTCAACGCGTTGAAATCAAACTCGTTGATCGGCATAATGTTTGCCAGGTATGGGTCAAAGTTGTAGACGCCAGTGTGCGGATCCTGCAATAAGTAAACGCCCGGATTGAACAGAGCTCTGTCCAATCCATATGACAACCGTGGGACCTCTGGCATGTCTTCTATCTCGATGGGCGTTAGCCGTAGACTGTCCGCTTTCACCGATTCCACATTCAGCGGGGTTCCTCTGGTTCTGGACGTTCTCGGTGCCGGCGAGTCTTCGCCAGGGGGCCTTTTTTTCCCGTCGGCTCCTCTGGCCGCACGTAGACCCGATGCCCCAGCAGCCACCGCAGCGGCCGCGACGGCTTTCTTATTGCGCCGCATGCGATCCGCCAGCGATGTCCACTCTTCGGCCTTGCTCTCTGCCGGCGATGAATTTGAAGATTCCGATGCCACCTTCCGGACCTTAGTCGACGAGACCTTGCTCTTTCCTGTTGCTTTAGGCCCTGGAATCTCGCCCTTGGGCTTCTTTGTCGGCTTCGACTTAGCGGGTGCCGAGGAGTCTTCGGTTCGTTTCGTCAGGCTCACAAGAGGAATCTCTTGGCTGTTCAGGACATTCTTGAGAATGTCTAGAGTGCGCTCAACAGTTTTGAGCCTGCCTCCCAGCTTATTCGTCTGTCGCTCGAGTTGTTTGTCGAAGGCCTCGTCGCCTGCATCCTTGCCCGACTTCTTGTTCGCATGCTCTTCGGCAGCACCGTTCTTCTCCTCTTGAAGTGAGGCTAACTTTTGACTGATGGTCCTGTAACTGTCTTCAAGCCTGTCGAGAGACTGGAAGACATGTTGAACGACCTCAAGATGACCTTGATCGGCTGCGGTTGGCCCCGCCGGCGCTGCTGGCGCCGGCCTAGCTTTGGATTTTTGTCTGGCTTTCTTTGCCTTCTCTTTCGCCTTTCTGGGTGACCGTGTAGTTCTGGTACCGGTCTTTTTCGCATCGTCCGTAGCTGGTGTTTCCGCATCGTCGGTATTCGGAGATTTCGCATCGTCGGAGTAGGCCCGGCCGCCGGTCAAAGTGGCGCTCGGGAGTAGTGACGGTCGCAATCTACATGGTGGTGATGCGAACGACTGGAAAGGCGAGTAAGCGTATGGGGTCTTGAGACTCAGAACACGTAGACGGTTCGCACGGAACATTGCGAAAACTGTCGATGAAATCCCTTAAGCGCAATGGGCAGTTGTGCAGAGAGGAAGTGGGCTTGGAGCTGCCCAGGAATTTTTTTTGCCAGCAGTTGTAAGGCGCGGCGCTTGACGCGACCAGGGTCCACTTGGTCCCTGCTGTGGCGACCTTAATTACCTACCTCATCCCTGTACGCATCATTCAACCTCATCCCAGATCAAGGTACGAATATGCTGAAGAGACAGAGTACATACAATTTGTAATTTTCACAACTAAACGTTTTAGGCCTTGTAACAGTAGTAGACGACGTGCAAAATATCAGGAGCCGCCGTTTTGAGAGCGATACATATGGGGTATTGTGCTTTCCCAAACAACCACCAACTCATGCCAGACCAAATACCGTTCCAGACGCCAGATCCTATGCCCCCAATCACAAATCAAGCTCGGCCAGAGCCTACTCCTTGCCCGTAAACGCGTAAGACGCATGCTCCGTAGCATTGCGGCGTGCCGTTTCAGCTTCGGGGAACATTGCTTGGACTTCAAAAGAGTCTGCCAACATGCCGTCCGCAACACTCATCCAGAGAAGGTTGCCACTTCGTTTGGCCTGAGTCGAAGCTGCTTTCGCGCTCTTGAGGGCTTGTTCGCCCACCACGTTGTCAAATAACCGGTATCGCATGATACTTAGGGCTATTGCCAGACAGTGCGTGTTACCTGTCAGTTTTGAACCATTCAACGAGTTTGTTATACTCGTCTTGATCTGATGCATTGACGGAGGAGGGCTCGTTGAAGCTGTTGCTTGTACAAGATTGAATGCAGTCCGGATGTCAGGGTCCTGGTGCTCAACACATATAGGCCGAAGTGTGTTTAAGAGATCGGTGGACGTTGCCGCATCGAGATAGGTCGCATCCTGGAGAATCCAAAGTCGATTCAGAGCGGCGAGGATACACAGGTCTTGCTTTGCAGGTTTCCTGCCACCGTGTCCCGCCTGGCCTGCGCTGATACTCAATCTTTCGTCTTCAAACAGCAGCAGAGCTGTCTCGAGATCGCCAGTGCCTTGGTGGTACACGCCCGAGAGATAGAGCGAGAAGAGACCGAAGATATCGTTGATACCTGGCGTAATGGCTTGCTGAAGCTTCGCCACACACTGCTCAACCTTGGCCCACTGGCTATGAGTTGCGAAGTAGAGCCCAGTAAGAAGTTGAAGATAGCAGAAGATCTCAGTTCTCCACTTGGCCTGCTCGATACAGCCTTGTAGTGAAGAACCGGAAATGTTTGGTGCCACGTCTTTGTTCCCTTGAGGCTCAATTAGTCTTGTATGCCAGAGCAAGACGCATACAAACTTACATTTCGCCAAGACCTCAAAGCCTTCCTTCCAGAATTCGTGGCTTCGTCTTGATTCGTGTCCAGGCCTATACATACCGGCAAGGCCACTGAAAGTATAACTGCACCGTATTAGCGCAACGGCTCCAAGGCTGCAGAATGGGCCGACTTACGTGAGAACAACAATTTCTAGTCTGTTTAGGAAAGTCATGACCACGTAATCGTGACTTGACGGGCCGGCTCGAAGAATAGCAGTTGTGTCGTCGCTAAGCGTGGCGGATGCAGCAGAGGCCTTGTTGATAGGGATGAGAATTTCCGGGTTCAAGTCGCTCCAGGTTGATGAGCCCATGCTGTCGTCCAGTTTGCTTTGCAGGGTTTTCAGTTTGTATATCAAGATGTCCGGTGTCTTTTGGTGCATGCTGCATGCAAGATCCAGCAGCAGTGTCAGAATATCGAGCTGCGGTATTTGAACAGATGGGTCGAGTTGATACTTGGTAGCCTGGGCCAAACAAGTTTGTACACGCTCAATGGTGTCAGGTCGAATCGTCCTCAACATGGACAGGCCTTCAAGAAGAGAGGCAAACACAACCATGGCGTGGTCATTTCGATCACTCGCCAGCGCAGAGATGGCCCGAAAGTTTTCCAGGACCGCCGCGTCTGGCGGGCTGCCAGCATGTACATGGAACGTAGCCTTCAACAAGCGGAAGGCGTAGACCCAGTGGGTGTGTTTGAAACTAGATTCATGAGTCAGCATGTCCATTGGTTTCCGAGAAGCATGGTATGGCGTACGTGAGACAGTCAGATATGTTCTTTTCAATGGCAATAAAGGCTGCCTTTTGGTTCCGCTGAAAAAGCACCCGCAACAGCAGATATTGCATACAGTACTTGAGGTCAGTGTACCTATGCTACCGAGGGGTCAGTATGAAGACAGTAGGGCGGGGATCGGTTGAGAACAAACCTTTTCGCAAATGGTGATGCCCTTGCTGAGTGCAGTCTCAGCTTCCTGCAGGTTCTCAGTCTCTTCGCACAAGATGGACGCATATCTAAGCCGTGCCCTCGCCTCTTGTCTGGGCGACAGACGGTTGCTCTGGAAAGCGGCTTCGAGGCATGCAAGCCCGGTGGTGATCAGCTTCTGATATTCGCGCACTTGCTCTTCGGCCAAAGATGCGGCAACTTGCTGTACTGCACGCTTCGCCTTTTCAAAACACTCCTCAGCCACATGTACAAGAATCGCAGTCGTATCGTAGGATCTCGCTTTCGTGGAGAGAGCCGGGGAGCCCCTCGATGATACGGCGGGGGAATTCATGGACGATATTGCGGGCGATTTCCTGGCTATACTGGGAGATCTGGCGGGTTGTACGACGGGGGAGTTGGCACGGTTGGGCTCAGGACTCGGCTGGACGTGGGAAGGTTCGGCGAAAGGCTGATTCAGGACCGGGACACTCTGACTGTTGCCCATGGCTGGCTGTGAGAATTGAGCATACTGAGGTGCGGCCTGCGGTTGAACGTTGTGCAGCTGTTGGACCTGATGGCGCTGCTGCTGGCTAACCGGTTGCTGAAAGTGCGGCTGGTATTGGGCTTGCGGTTGCTGCGGCGGTTGCGGTCGATATTCGGCGTAGGTTGGGGTCGTCGGGTTCGGTATGGAAGCGGTCGGCAGTGCAGGTGATCGCGCGGCTTGAGTATGTTGCGGGTAGGAAGCGTGAGGTAAGTGAGGAGACACGAAGGGCGAGTTCATCACGTTGCTTTGGGCAAAGGACTGTTGGCCTTGTTGAGAGTAGTGCAGCGACTGCGGCGGCGGCAGCTGCTGCTGTTGCTGTTGTTGATGCTGCTGCGGCGGAAAGTTGCCGCCATAGGCAGGAGGATAGTGGCCATATCCGTTCGCATGCATGTTCATCGGGGCAGGCGCGGCAGCAGGTGGAAGGGTAGAGGCAGGAGGAACTGGAGACGGATGGAAGTTGCCTTGCGCCTGGCCGATACCGCCATAGGCAGCATTCAGGTACGGTGGATTTTGGCCGTCGGGGTTGCCATTGCCATTGCCATTGCCATTGCCGGTGCCGTATGGGTCGTTGTAGGCCTGCGGAAGGTGCTGCTGGCCATTAAAGGCCTGCCCCGAAGGCAAAGAGCCCCGGTAGGTCATCTTTGGGACTGCATAAGGAGCGCAGGCGTCGCTACAAACAGTCTCGATGGCCGCTTTGTTGAATCGACGCGGTTGCTGTCCAATGGTCGCATCTGCAGGTCGCGAGGCTCACGTCAGGAACGACAGGTTGGGAGATGTCCATGGCCCCTGCATGCCTTACATAATTACACGTGCCGGGAGAAATGCACGGGCCACTGATCCATGCCGACGTTGGACTTTTTGGACTCGGGCCAGGCCTAAAAGAGAATGAAAGAAACATCGAGACAGCGAGCGAGTTGCTAAGTCTTGAAGGTTAAGGTCTTACTTAATAAGTCACAGTGGTATTTCCTGTAGATACAACAAAACGTCGACAAGCATCAGACATTATCAGACATCTCCATGCTCGGCGGGTTTACACAGTTCAACGTCTGCACCGCTGTAGCCCCTTCTAATTGGCTTGTCGTCTTGTGCCTCGGCTTAAATCGAGCTGTCTCTCGCTAGTTTTTCCCACGTCCTTGGGTCCTACCCTTCGCAAGCATGGATAGGACCGATTCCCTTCTCTGCAGGACGGACGATCGGTGAACCCAGTCCCGATCTACCGTACATAGCTCATGGTTGTCTTATTGGCGCCTCGGTGCAGCCCCGAAAAAGACAAGTCGTCCGGCGCCTGTCTGCTGTTGTTGGGTGTTTGTTCTGAAGCTGCAAACAAGCTACGGGTCCCTTCCATTGGGGGCCCTTGGGGGCTCCACCGCCATGACTTGTGTCTACTTCGTCCTATTTCACATGGCCGAGTTTCCTCTCTTCTAGATAAAGCTCTACCCTCGTCTCCCTCTCCTCGAGTCCTCACAAGTGGTGTCTACTTTGTATGTCGTGTTTTCGTTCTAAGCGCCTGTATTGCTGTTCTTCGATCCCCCCGAGAGCATTCTTCAGGCGCCACTCCCGCCACTAACTCATCCCTCCTTAATCCAACCTGTCTCGAACGTCACTCACCCGAAGACTCCGAATCATGGAGTGGTTAGGCCGGGCCAGAATCAACTTCACGCATTCGCCGTCCCCCGTGGCCCTCCAGGAGAAAGATGGCTCAAAGACGGATCTGCTCAAGATCTGCGAGAAGGTTACACCGCCGTGCCAGATGAACCCTCTTCTCCTGAACGGCCACTTGCAAACCATGTGGACCGCCACCAAGCAGCATGGACCTCCGGTGTACTATCGACGAAAGGTCTTCGACGCCGACTCCAAGGCTTTTGAGGGCACCTTCGCTGTCGATTTCGTCACGGAGCCGTTCGAGGAGACAGACGACACCCTGCCTCCCCGAACGGTCTACTTCAAGGACCAGGACTTTGACACGCTGGCGTCTGACGACGACCGCCCGCAGCTGGTTGTGCTTCACGGTCTTTCCGGAGGGTCTCATGAGATTTATCTCAGACATGCAATTGCACCGCTGATTGATTCGGGGAATTGGGAGATTTGCGTGGTCAACTCGAGAGGCTGCGCCAAGAGCAAGTTCACCAGCGGCACCTTGTATAACGCAAGGGCAACTTGGGATTTCAGACAGGTCGGTGCTCATCAAGAACTCCAACTGAAAACACAGCTGACATCAATTTCAACTTAGACGGTCAAGTGGTTGAGGCAGAAGTTCCCCAACCGGCCCCTGTTTGGCTTGGGCTTCTCGCTCGGTGCTAACATGTTGACAAATGTATGTTACATTCTCACCCACCAATTTCGCTTTTTCTGATGTGTATGGTATAGTACTGTGGCGAGGAGGGTACCAACTGTCTGTTGACAGCTGCTATTGTTTGCTCCAACCCTTTCAACTTGGAGGTGTCCAACAAGGCGCTGAAGAGGACTTTCATCGGCAGAGAGGTTTACCAGAGAGTTATGGGAGGTCAGTGGTTCATCCCTTGCTCCGTTCGATCTTATTCACTAATACTACCTCAGAGAGTATGAAGCAACTCATCAATGGCCACAAAGAAGATATCCAGAAGTACACCAAACTAGACTTGGAGCGCCTTCAGAAGGTTACGTATCTCTGGGAGTTTGACAGAGAAGTCCAGTACGTTGTTCGAGACCGCCATCATCCATCTTATGTCTGACCCCTACAGATGCATCAGCTGGGGATACCCCACCGAATCTGCCTACTACAGAGATGCATCATCTTGCGATGCCGTCTTGGCCATCAGAGTCCCTTTCTTGGCTCTACATGCAACGGACGATCCGGTAAGCCCCCCTACATAGCCAGAGCCCGATGATTATACTAACACAAGTTGGTAGATTGCGGTTGAAGAGGCAATCCCGTACGAGGAGTTCCGAAAGAATCCCTACACGGTTTTGTGCACAACCTCTCTGGGTGGTCATCTTTGCTGGTTCGAGCCCGGCGGCGGAAGATGGCACGCAAAGCCGGTTACAAACTTCTTCAACCACATGGCATTCAACGTCAACCACGACTCACTACCCCCCAAGACCAACGCGGCTCCCGCCACGAATGGCTCCGCAGAGTACCACTTCGACCCTGTAAAGCACAGAATGGAGATCAGAGCCAGCGACTCATGAGCAGACCAGCAAAAGTAGGGAGGCTAGAGACACTGTATAGATAAGATCGCTTCCCTTCCATTTAGATATGTCTGGAGAATATACAGGGCTATAGACAGGGAAAGAGACAAATAGATGCATCGCGAAGATGTACATTACTACCCGGCCCTCGACCCCGATGGATGCCCATGGTGATGCATTAAGCTCATGCGGAAGGGCGAGATCCGCCATGGTATCTGCTCTGAACGCCGCCAAACACTTGCAAAGGGGGTAAATAAAGATGAACAAGATTCCCCTCCCACATGTCCCAGCCCAGTCTGTTCTTTTTTTGGCACTCCCAAACGCCGCCCGTGATGCAAAATAATACCGATACGAAGATAAGAGGCGATGGACTTTTTCTACGCGAACGACACGCTCTTCTTCTTCTTCGGCTTGACGGCCTTGGATCCGGCGACGGCGATGTCGTTGATGTTATTCTCGTTCTCGGCGCCGATGTTGCGCTTGCGCTTCTTGCGGAGGGAGTCCTTGGTGTCCTCCAACTTTGCCTTCTTCTCCGCCTCCTTCTTTTCGGCCTCTACCCGGCGGGCCTCGCGAATTTCCTCCATTTGTCTCGCCTTCATCATCTTGGACTCGATCTGACCCTCCTTCTCGGCCTGGACCATGGCCAGGATGGTGTTCATGCTCTCCTAATCACTTCAGTCAGCATGCGTACTACATGCGCAGCATTACCGCGCGGTCACGGGCGCTCCTTACCCTGTCATCGACGAAAACCTTGCCCTTCTTCTTGCCCTTGGGCTTCTGCACGCCCGCGGGAACGATCGTGTTGAGCTTGGGGATGTCGAGCTCCTTCTCGGTGTAGACCTTCTTCTTGCGCTTCTTCAGCAGGGCCTCCAGGCCGGATTTGCCCTTGCCCTTCAGCGGCTTGGTGCCCTTGGGGGTGTCTCTCGATTTCCTGACGATGCCATCGGGGACGGTGCTCCTGTCGCGGTCGCTCGCCTTGCTGTTCTTGATGCCGGACTTGTTGGCGGCGTGCTTGTTCTTGATCGTTTTCGTCTTGGAAGGACCCATTTTGACTGACGCGCTGGTTCGAGATGGTCGGGTGTGGCGGTTGTTCAATTGCTGGTCGCGCGACACGAGAGTTCGAGGGACCGAGATGCGAGTTCTAGAATTTTTTTTGGTCGGCGCAGAGCGATAAGCTCACCACGCGGGAGGCGATAAGCTTGAGTGGGTCCGTTCCCCGCCATTCGACTTCAGCGCTCGCAACGCCTGAGCTGCAAATGAGAACCTTCTAAGACTTCAAGTGAGCTTCAAATGAAAATGAAAACAAAACAAAACTGCATCAACGTCACAACTCCTCAGCATCTGCAATTGATACGTCATGTGAAAAGACGACATCACTCTTCCGAGACTCAATCAAAAGTCTCGGAAACAACGTCTCGGTGGAATTGACTCGGCTCTCCGAAATGGACCACGGATTCAGGGACCGTTGCCAGGATTCGGACTCAGTCCTGGGTCCCAAAGCGCTCTTTTTGCAGCACCGCTATGATCCCTGTCAAAAATTCAGGCGGCTTGCCGTTATCGCAGTCACCCAAATCTCTCACCTCTTTCTCCCGTGACTAACAACCCTCCGTCGAACAACTCACATTCGTAGGATCAATACCTCTACAGCCCGATTTCTGAGCCATTGGCTCCCGAGCTTCGTCTTCACAACTCCTCCTCTCCTTGGTCGCATCATTGGGGGCATTCCCAATTGACAGGATGTCGCAGCCTGTCAAGAGGTTTCCTGGCCATCTGGCCCAGTTCGCGCGGTGCTACTCGGTCTCTGCTGAGAGCATTCCCGTCGCGAAGAAGAAGTACATCCCAACAGAGGGCACATATCCCCAAGGATTCCAAGCTTCTGGCATCTTGGTCGGAGTGAAGCCTGGAAACAAGACGAAGCCGGACCTGGCCCTTCTCAGCTCCGACCGTCCCTGCGCCGCCGCGGCCGTGTTCACCAAGAACAAGTTCCAGGCCGCGCCTGTCACCTTCAGCAGGGACCTGTTGAAGAAGAAGGCCAACAAGGGCATCCGCAGCGTCCTCATCAACTCGGGATGCGCCAACGCTGTCACGGGTAAGGGTGGTCTGGAGGATGCCTCTCTGATGGCTCATGCGGCGGACAAGGCCGTGGGCGGTGATGGCGATGCGTCATCAACCATCGTGATGAGCACTGGAGTCATTGGACAGAGATTGCCCATTTCGAAAATCGTCAACAACGTGCCCGCCGCCCAGGGCGCTCTGGGCTCTTCTCACAAGCACTGGCTAAGCTTTGCCACCGCCATCTGCACCACCGATACCTTCCCTAAGCTCATGTCCAAGACCTTCACTCTGCCGTCTTCACCAGGCGTTGAGTACCGCATTGCCGGTACCACCAAGGGCGCTGGTATGATTCACCCCAACATGGCTACGCTTCTCGGTGTCGTTGCCACGGACGCCCCTATCTCGCCTGCCGTTATGCCCTCGGTCCTCAAGCACGCCGTCGATCGCTCCTTCAACAGCATTACCATCGACGGTGACACCTCCACGAACGACACTCTTGCTCTGCTCGCCAACGGTGCTGCCGGCGGCAAGGAGATCGCTTCTCAGGACTCCCCCGACTACGCCGCTTTCAAGGAGGTCCTGACTGACTTCTCCATCGACTTGGCCAAGCTGATTGTCCGTGACGGCGAGGGCGCCACCAAGTTTGTCACCATCCGCGTCGTCGAGTCTGCGAGCGAGGAGGCCGCCAGAAAGATTGCCAGCACCATTGCCAGATCCCCTCTCGTCAAGACTGCGCTCTACGGCCGTGACGCCAACTGGGGCCGCATTCTGTGCGCTACCGGCTACTCTCTGGTCTCGGAACCCGGCCAGGCCGTCAACGACGTTCCCGAGGTTGTCCCTGAGAAGACCAACGTTTCGTTTGTTCCCACCGACGGCACTGCTGAGCTGAAGCTCTTGATCAACGGCGAGCCTGAGATGGTCGATGAGGCTCGGGCTTCTCAGATTTTGGAGCTTGAGGACTTGGAGATCCTGGTTAGACTGGGAACCGGCGACAAGGAAGCTACGTACTGGACCTGCGACTACAGCCATGAGTACATCACTATTAATGGTGACTACCGCACATAGAAGGAGTCTAGATCATGGTATTTTGGGGGATAAACGGAGAGTTCAGGAAAAGTTATATCAACGATACAACACGTGGTTATGTTAGACTAGAATACAGCGATTGCAATTCACACAGCGGTTCAAATCCACATCGGAGTTGTCAACTGACGAGATCGGGATTATGTTCCGAAATAGGCTAACCCACCGGAATCCAAGGACGCCGCACCGAGGCACCGAAGTGGGCTTCGTATGCTCCTATTGGAGATGCGGCACAGCCGGTGCTTTCCCCGCAGAGCTGGCCGCGAGGTGGTGCCACTACGGCTTTGAGTTTTAGAGAGTAACCGGGCGCCGAGGCGTTGTCAGGCAGGTAGCAAAGGTCTCTAAATTTCAGTTGGAGATGAGATAATCGCATGAGACGCACCGTACTTGGTGTCCCAGGTTGGATGACTTTCGATGCAGATGATGCAGATAACGTTATATACTAAGTAATCACCTCCGGGGTCTGTCAGTCACAAAGTGAAGTGTTACAAATCGTAGATATTCGTACTCCTTGCATTGAACATTTACCTAGGTAGGGAATGGCAGAGATCTGGTGGAACACAATCCACCGTCGTGAGGGGCCACTCTCAGACGCGGAGGCGGAGGTCAAGACACTGCAGTTACCCCAGGATCCCCACATTTTGGAGTCCCTGTAGCTCCAGAATCAACCTCGGCTCCGGGTCGTCTCAACGCTCATCTACCGTACGATGCAGACTAAACATTTCCCGTTCAAAAGGGAGGTGGCCTCTATGCTGTTGACCGTACATCAATCTCCTGAACCCCCGGCCTCTACAATCCACTGTGATAGACCACCCTGAGATTCAATTGTACCATTGGTTTTATCTGTCCCTAGTGTTGCCAAAATGACGTCCAAAGTTCCAGCTATCGTAAGTGCTCACTGCGGGGAGGATAGCTCGGTCGCTTCGCCTCGGTATCTAACCCAGCTCGCCACCAGGTCCTGAATCGCCTCAGCGATCGCGCCAAAGAGGCCCTCGACCTCGTCGCGAAGTTCGTCGAGGAGGAGTGTATCCCGTAAGCAACCACGCATCCGCCGCCTGTACTCCAATCCCCCCGCCACCACGACGCTGACACACTCGGAATCGCAGTGCCGACCCCGTATTGGAAGCCCAAATCGGCCAGGGCGACGCGAGATGGGACCACCACCCGGCCATCGTCGACGACCTCAAAGCCAAGGCCCAGAAGCTGGGTCTCTGGAACATGTTCCTGCCCAAAGGCCACTACAAGGAGTCTCCGGGCTTCACGAACCTTGAGTACGGCCTCATGGCCGAGTGGCTCGGCAAGTCGAGGGTCGCGTCCGAGGCCGTCAACTGCGCGGCGCCCGACACCGGCAACATGGAGGTGCTGGCCAAGTACGGCAACGAGGAGCAGAAGAAGACGTGGCTCAAGCCCTTGATGGACGGCAAGATCCGTTCTGCGTTCTTGATGACGGAGCCCGACGTCGCCTCGTCGGATGCTACGAACATTCAGCTGAGCATGCGCAAGGAGGGCAACGAATACGTCCTCAACGGTTCGGTAGGTTATGCGACCACATAGAGGTTAAAGGTGATGTGCTGACTGGAGTAGAAATGGTGGTCTAGCGGTGCTGGAGACCCTCGCTGCTCGATCTACATCGTCATGGGCAAGAGTGACCCCAACAACAAGGACGTCTACCAGCAACAGTCCGTTATTCTGGTCCCCGCGGACACCAAGGGCATCACGATCCACCGCATGCTCAACGTTTACGGCTACGACGATGCGCCCCATGGCCACGGCCACATCAGCTTTAAGGACGTCCGCGTGCCCGCAAGCAATCTCGTTCTCGGCGAAGGACGCGGCTTCGAGATCATTCAGGGCAGACTCGGCCCCGGCCGCATCCACCACGCCATGCGTACCATCGGAGCTGTAAGTCTCGAGAGATAAAATCCCCACATAATACAACTCGCTGACATACCTCCCCCAGGCCGAGCGCGCTCTCGAATGGATGCTGATGCGCATCAACGACCCCACCAAGACGCCCTTCGGCAAGCAGCTGAGGGAACACGGCGTCATCCTCGAGTGGGTAGCCAAGTCGCGCATCGAAATCGACGCCGCGCGCCTGGTCGTCCTCAACGCGGCCATCAAGATGGACGACCACGGCCCGAAGAAGGCCCTGAAGGAGATCGCCGAGGCCAAGGTCCTCGTCCCGCAGACGGCGCTGACGGTCATCGACCGGGCCATCCAGTCCTTCGGCGCCGCCGGCGTCTGCCAGGACACCCCGCTCGCCAGCTCTTGGGCCGGCATCAGGACGCTCCGTCTCGCCGACGGCCCCGACGAGGTGCATCTGCAGCAGATGGGCCGCAACGAGAACAAGAGGGGCAAGGAGGTCACGGAGAAGATCCAGAGGCAGAAGGCGAAGACGGAGCAGCTGATGGTGCAGTACAAGACCAAGACGGTACAGCCGGGAGCCAACATCAACCGGTCCAAATTGTAAGGGATGATGACAGCTGTTGGGTTGGTTTAGTATGTAGTTTGAATAGCATATCGTGTATAACAAAATCCAGGTGTCACTGGAACTGGAACGAGTGTCGATCCCTTAGCCGTTGGCCCGCCGTTCCTGTGACTCACAGCCATCGCCGGGCCACGCGCATTCTGGGGTTATATCACGAACCATGCGGCATTAAGCTCCGGGCCCGGTCACCTTGGAGATGTGTCGATATGTCCTCCTAGCGGTTCGAGACATTGCATGCCAGTAACACTGACTGGTCAGGATTTGCGCAGATGCAACCCTCCTAGGGTGCTTGACTCTTTCGCATCCCGGCCAAGGTAGAGATGGAGGGGTCAAGGCCACTCCACAGACCAGGAGCGAGATGCAATGCACAACACATCACCGAACGAACACCTTGAGCTGTGCTCCAGAGCAATTTGGATCAGGGTAGCAACGCGTCAGGAAGGTCTGGGGTGGCCGGGTTACCTAGGAAGCGCTAGAAGGGGACAGGCAAGAAAAAAGCCGGGCTGACAGCGCACCATCTCACGGACAACTGGGCTCCTTACCGCAGAGAGGCGTCCAAGTTGACAGTAGCAACGTCCAGGTAAGGTAGGTCACCCCGGACGTGGTGGCATGTCCAGCCCGTCAGGCTTGCCCGGGGCCCGCATTCCATCCCAATGGAAGCCAAAAAACTCCTTCCACTTTAAACCCCTGAACCCCTGCACCACCCAACGCCAGCCCAGAGCGACCGTTTCGTTTCTCACCCTGTTGCCCCGTCAACCGACCGAAAATTCGTTTACTTTTCCACAGCCCAGCAACTACTCTGAGGTACTCCACTGAAGACTGGACTTGAACGACCATCCGCAGGCCTGCCGTGCATCTTTTTCACATCAATTCACAAACGTCATAAACACTCCACGGCAATCTTGGTGCATGCCGCACACAAGCACTCCCATTCAAATACAAAGCCTTTCTTCTCTTCTGCATTGGCCTCACCCACCTCCATCTGTACCAAGCAAATCCACATCACATCCATCTGCCTACCTACTATTCAACCGCAACCTCAACGCATCGCATCGCATCACTGATACCAACCTTCTGCACTTTGTCGCATCGCACATACATCGCCTTTCAACTCCATCAACAGACACACATACACTCTAGCAACAATGGCCTCCAACGTTCTCGCTGAGAAGGATGTCAACACTCCTGTTGCCGCCGCTACCAACGAGCCCGGCTCCAAGGAGGTTAAGAGCATGGAATACCACCGCCAGGTCCTGCAGGACAAGATGGCCCAGGAGAAGTAGGATACTCCGCTTACCCACCACTTCCAAGCAACATGTTCTAATCTCTCGTGCCGTCAATAGCTCCAAGACATACATCTCTCCCTCTGACAACATCATGAGCCCTTGCACTGCAAAGCTCAACGCCCTCCGCAACAAGCAGGTTGGCAAGTATGTCTACCCTCCCCTTCTGCCATCTCTCAAACCTGTGCTAACCACTGCCATCCAGGGTCAAGCCGAAGTCCCTCTTCGCCCAGCACTCCGCCAAGAAGCTCGAGGGCGACGCTCTCTTCGGCAGCAGGACGCCGTCGCCCCCCAAGGAAAACGCCTTCTAGGCTCTTCGCATCTTCTTGACCAAAGTACAAAAGCTTTTGATGATGGGTTGGGCTCTCTTGTGTTATCTTTATGTTTGTCTTTCTGGGAGGGGAAGGAGTCTGCAACCTCCTCTGGCTTGTTTTTACTCCCGGAGAGAACGGGGCATCGGCGTTCAACGGGGTACCACTGTCCTTGAGGATAAAGGGACTGTACCATGACATGACACGAAACGATATCAGGTTTTCTTTCTCTGCTTCTTCTCTAGTTTTTTAATGGCTAGGATTCTGGAGGGGCTGTATCCGTCGGCTACTCATCTTTCGGTAGCCCGCATAGGAAATTCAGACTCCGCATAACATTCAACCATCGTCCTATTCGTGACTTCGTCATCTATGCCTTCCACGCGCTCACAATGTAAACCACATCCTCGTCCGCCACAACATGCCCCAGTCCTACTCTCTGCGGCACATGCCTGGCACTCGCGCCCCAAACGAGCGCATACTTGAAAGTGTCCTTGAGCGTCCTGTGGATACGGTCGCACACGTCCTCGATGGTGCTGTTGCTGCGCACGATGAGCGCCTCGCTGAAGTCCGGGTCGTCGCCCTTGCGCTTCGTGTAGATGCGGATGAGCTTGAGCTCCAGCCAGCAGCGGTCGATGACGTCCTGGATGCCGAGGTCGAGCTCGCAGCTCATGACGGCCGTCTGCGGCTCGCGCGCCAGCTTGTCGAGGAAGTCGAGCGACACGCTGTCGATCTTGTTGTACACGTACAGGCACTTGATGTACTTGCGGTGGTCCTTCATGATGACGTCGATCAGGTCGTCGACCGTCGCGTTCTCGTCGCGCACGAGCACCTCGCAGTTCAGGATCTTGTAGTCGCGCAGGATGTTGAAGACCATCTTCTCGTCCATGGCTTTCGGGGGGCTCTGGAAGGTGATCTTCATGCCGCCGGCCTTCTTGGCCTTGAGGTAGATGTTACTGCGAGATTGTCAGCAGTCAGCCGGGGGGCGTTAGGGGGTTCTCCGTACGGTGGTTCTCTGTTCAGGCGGATGCCGACGGCTTCCAGTTCGGCCTCGAGGAGGGCCCTCTGCTCCGCCTTCTTGGTCGCGTCGAGCACCATGAGGATCATGTCGCTGGTCTTGGCCGCCGAGATGACCTGTCTTCCTCTGCCCTTGCCCTCGGCGGCGCCCTCGATGATACCGGGCAGATCGAGCAGCTGGATCTCGGCGCCGCCGTACTCGAGGACGCCGGGGATGGCCGTGAGCGTCGTGAAGGCGTACGAGGCGACCTCGGACCTCGTCTTCGTGACTTTTGAGAGGAACGTCGACTTTCCGACCGAGGGGAAGCCAACGAGGGCTATTCTTGCATCACCGCTTTTGCTGACGTCGAAGCCGGCACCGCCGCCGCCGCCTGAGCCCGGGCCGGGCTCCAGAAGCTGTGCTCTTAGACGCGCGAGTTTACTGGGAATGTGTCAGCGGGGAGGTTTGGCAAAGGTCATTCGGATGGCTTACCCCTTGAGGAGACCCAAATGATATTCTAATCATGTCGGTTAATAGTGGTCGGACTTATTCGCATTCACAACATACCAGTTGCCTTGTTCTCTAGAAAGTTTTAGCATATTTTCATGACATTAAAAAGCCGGCTAGCTTGATTTCCTCTCGACATGTCAAGACCGCAAAAGCTGGCGTTTCAAATGCTCTTCATCCTGCAGAAACATTGATAAAGCATTCTTCCTCTCGCCTAAGCTTCTCGTCTTTTGGTCGCATGAACTGCGTCGAGAATCGTCCAGCTATCGGCGGTGGCTTCCTTACTTTGAGTCCTCCTCATCTCATCCTCAATCCTGATCCCGCATCGTCAGCGTCCGTCCTCATGCGCTTTGGTGCCGAGGGTCCCTACTCCTTGATCTTCTCCGTGATGTTGACCATCTTGGCGGTCTATTCGGTTTCAGAGTCTACAGACCCCGAAAAACAACCTTAAAACAAGAAAAAGACGGCAGAAGGAAGCGTCGCAGACGACTCGATGAAGGCTTCACAACTTCGAGGTGGGGCAGCCACCGACCAAGGCGTGGGAAGTCGACAGCGGCGGCAGAATTTACCGCGGGGCTGCTCGAGCCTGCAGGGTTCCCACTGACCGCTCTTAGCATGCGCCACACTTTGGTCCAACGCGGTTACGCTTACCTAATGATCGCGCGCGGCGAACCTAGAAATTCGTCTTGCGACATTCCCCCGAGCTGTCTTTCGTTCACATACGAATCGCGAATCGGCAATTACAACTACAACAACCGCAATCATGTCGGACGAAGAGGTCGCACCCCCGATAACCGAACAGGTCGATGGCGGCGAGGCGCAGGAGACGGCGCTGACGACGACCAGCACCGAAGTCGCGGCGCCGACGGAGAGGAAAGTCAAGAAGATCGTCCGCAAGAAGAAGCGCCCGGCGCGGCCCCAGGTCGACCCGTCCTTCATCACGTCGGAGCCGCCGCCGCAGACGGGAACCATCTTCAACATCTGGTACAACAAGTGGTCCGGCGGCGACCGCGAGGACAAGTACCTGTCGAAAACCCACGCCAAGGGCCGCTGCAACGTCGCCAAGGACAGCGGCTACACGAGGGCCGACCAGGTCTCCGGGAGCTACTTCTGCCTCTTCTTCGCGCGCGGCATCTGCCCCAAGGGCCAGGACTGCGAGTACCTGCACCGGCTGCCGGGCATCCACGACATGTTCAACCCGAACGTCGACTGTTTCGGCCGCGACAAGCACTCCGACTACAGAGATGATATGGGTGGTGTTGGCAGCTTCATGAGGCAGAACCGTACGATTTACGTTGGAAGGATACACGTCACAGACGACATCGAAGAGATCGTTGCGCGTCACTTTGCGGAATGGGGTCAGATCGAACGAAGTAAGTTGCACAAGCGTCGGTGTATCGGCTGGTCATTGCTAACGTTTTCCCAGTTCGCGTACTGAACACCCGCGGAGTCGCATTCATCACATATACAAACGAGGCGAACGCCCAATTCGCCAAGGAGGCGATGGCGCACCAGTCCCTGGACCACGAAGAGATCCTCAACGTCCGCTGGGCAACCGCGGACCCAAACCCCATGGCCCAAGCACGCGAGGCGAGACGTATCGAGGAGCAGGCCGCCGAGGCCATCCGACGGGCGCTTCCGGCAGAGTTTGTGGCGGAGATAGAAGGCAAAGATCCGGAAGCGAGAAAAAGACGAAAGATCGAGAGCAGCTACGGGCTCGAAGGTTACGAGGCGCCAGACGAGGTTCACTTCGCTCGCGGCGCGAATGCCGTGAACCCAGTCGGACGGGAGGGCTTCGAAGTGGAATATCAAGAACGGCCCATGATTGAGAATGGGGATGGGTCAAACCAGATGCAGTACCAGGCTCTTCCAGCACCACAAGCGCAGCCGATCCTGTCTGGTGGCATCTTCTCCAGTAGCACTCTTGCAGCTTTGAACAGTGCCAAGGTGGCTGTGGCATCGAAGCCCAAACCCGCCGCGTCTGCGGGACCATTAGTCGCATACGACAGCGACGACGATGACGAGTGAGCAGGGGAAAAGGGAGACTTGTACAATAACTGATAAAAGCGATCATGATACCCGTTGATAATGGAACATCGAGGGACACAGCCAGGTTTGCGACCTGAAAGAATTTTAACTGTTGAATATTCGTGAATACAGAACTTCGTGTCTGCCTATCCACAAGTCCATCACCGGCATCGTCTGCCCGGCCCTTTCTATGGGCGTCTCCCACTCCCTGTCAATAGCAGCCGTAATCGTCTGCTGAACCTGCGCACTAGCGAGCACCTTCTGCGCCTGGTACGGGCCGAACATGCTCGCTCTCACGGCCGCCGAGATCAGAGCCTTGACGTGGCCCATCATGAAGATGTACGCCGTCTGCTGCAATGTAAGCCCGACGAGGTTGCATATCGCGCCGAACAGGGGCGCCAGATGCGCAAACACCAAGGGCGGATCAGCCCACTCGTCGGCGCTCGTCGTCTTGCTCGACGACGTGGACTTGAGCAGCGCCGCGTAGGGCCGCAGCGTCTCGACGGCGTCGCGGGGGGCGGACGTCGCGAAGGAGCGCTCCCAGATGGAGAGCAGGGCGCGGCCCTGCGCGATGGAGGCGCGGCGGCCGACGGTGCAGATGATGGCCGCGTCGAGGTTGTCGTCCACCTCCGCGACGGTGGTCGGGTCCCGGTGCGCGGCGAGGACGAAGGGGAGCGTCGTCGAGGCGTAGGCGGAGATGGATTCCGGGAGGAAGACGTTGAAGGAGGAGCGGCCCCGGGTGTGGGCCAGGTAGGACTCGAGACCGCTGCTGAAGGCGAAGGAGCCAAGTGGCAGGGCCGAGTCCGAGAGGAGGAGGTAGTAGTGGTTTGAGAGCGTGAGGGAGGCTTTCGTGGCGTTAGTCGGGGTTTTCTATGATATGTGACATCAACGAGATGGTCGAGATGAGAGACTGACGTGAAGGTTTGGGAAGGCCTCTGGACGGCAGAGAATCCGTCTCCCCCCTGAGGCCTTTCAACTTCCCCCTCGCTGCCTCTAGGCGCGCTTCTAACTCCAACACCTCCTTTTCAGCATCGTCAATGGACTCGTCTCTTCCCATTGAAGAGGATGAGGGGTGCATGGAAGAAGTTGGAGGTGATAAGCTTTTGGAGCCCCTGCATTTTGGGGATGAAGAGACCCTTCAGCGGCATCGGCGGGGGGACACCCCACTGGATTGGAACCCGCTGAGTGACATCGGACGCGCTGCGGGCTGCGAGCAAGGATGCGCCTCGGCGTCTGCTCTCGTCCCACTCGCCGTCCAGACTGCTCGGCTTCGGGGATTGATGGAGCAAAAAAGGACTTCCAATTCAACTAAGCAGAGAGCAGAGAGGGTAGCAAACGACCATCGTACGATTTTCACCAATCAGATTTCATCAAAGTCCGACTTCCTCTCACTTTGTTGTGATCAAAGATTCGCCCTCCCGTCGACCGACCTAATTACTCAATCTCGTTCACACACTCGACGACTCATCGGTCTTGGGAGTAGACCGTCGCCGACGTCATCACTTTTGCCCGCACGCGACCCGGCCCGCTTCCCGGCCGCGCCATGCCCGCGAGATGAAGTCGCACGACCAGATGAAGAGCGTCGAGGCCAACGACGCCGCGTGGGAAGCAACCCGGGGAGCCGTCATCGGAGCGGCGAGATGGGGTCTCGGAGCGGCGGTCCTCGGCGCCGTCGCGTACAAGTTCTCGCCGCTGTACAAGGGCCTAACGATTCAGTTCAAATGGTAATTTGCGTCACGCGACAGCTGTCGCTTGGTTCACCTTTAGTTCGGACGGGCTGACACGGCATGCAGCTACGTGCAAATGTCCGCCATGGTGCTGGGTAGCATGCTCGAGGCGGATCACAGGTTAAGAGAATACGAGGCCAAGGTGAGGATGCAGAAGCGCATCCTGAGGGACAGAGCCAAGTGGGAGAGGTTTGAGCAGGAGTTCCTTGAGAACCCATCCGAGAAGAAATAAAACGCAGGGATTACCGACACATCAATGAGGGTATGATTCACCCAAGATGACCTGAAATGTTCTCATTTTACTGTATAACACCGGATATTCAAATCCATGATTTTTGGTACACGTCAAGGTGCCACAGACCTAAATCCCACAACGCCGAATCATGCAAGTCATTAGTTCCCACCAGAGGTAGGTCTGCCAGCTTTACGGTCTCGTTATTTTGACGGCGCGTCGAACTTCTTGGGGTCCATGTTGATCTTGCAGAGCCTCGCCACGCAACCACTCAATTGCAGCAGCGTCTGCACTCCCTCGAGAATCTTCATGTGCGTAAAGCCAATCTCCTTGATGAACTCCAGCTTGGAGTGTTCGCTGAGCGTGGGGATCGTCTTGGTGACCTTAAACATGGTGCTGATGATGTCGTGGCTCGAGTAACCCAGCTCCCACAACTCCCTCAGGCTATCCAGCGCCGAGTCGACGTTTCCCTCGTAGCATGCCTTGAGCATAGCCTGAACCTTGATCGGGTGCGGGGAGTCGACGACCTTGAAGACGTTGTCGCCGGACACGAAGCCGAAACCGGCAAAGGTCGACTGTAGGTTGTTGATGGCTTGTCGCATATCACCCTCGGCGCTGAACACGAGCGCTGCCAGACCGTCGTCGCTGTACTCCACCTTCTCGGCCTCGATGATTTGCAGAAGACGCTTGACGACCTGCTCGTCGGTGAGACGTGCGTAGCGCAGGATGGCGCAACGGGACTGCAGCGGCTCGATGATCTTGTTGGACTGGTTGCAAGCGAAGGCGAAGCGGGTCGTGTTTGAGTAGATCTCCATCGTGCGGCGGAGGGCCTGCTGCGCGCCTGATGTCATGCTGTCGGCTTCGTCAAGAATGACGAGCTTGTGGCGGCCTTGGGGCAGGGTGACCTTCTTCTGGGCGAAGCCCTTGATGCGGTTACGGACGACGTCGATACCTGCAACCTGGAGTCAGCAATTGCCATGAGTAGCGGGTTGGTGATCTCATACCTCTCTCATCGGAGGCGTTCAGCTCTAGCACGGCCTCCTTGTACGATTCTCCCAGCAATTGTCTCGCCAGGCAAAGCACACTTGTCGTCTTTCCGATACCAGGCATGCCTGAGATGATGACGTGTGGCATGTTTCCCTCCTTCGCAATGATCTTCAATCGATCGATCGTTTCGGTGTTTCCGACAACGTCGTCCAGGAATACCGGACGGTATTTCTCGACCCTAAAGTACGCATCAGTATCCAGCCCCCGCGATCACGACCGGGAAACCTACCATGGGAGCTCGTAGTTAGGAACACCATTTGACGCGGCTGTCAAAGCTTTCTTAGCCGCAGATGTTGATGACTCGCCAGCCTCTTCGGGCTTCGTGATTGACTTCTGTGCAGGCATGGTGTCTGAACCTATTGAGGTTGTCGTGAAGATGTACACCGAAATGCTGGTCAGAGTTTCTGTGCAGATGGCTGACCAGAGCACTTTACGCGATGCTGCTAGAAAAGACGCGTCTGGCGAAAGACGCTAAACTAAATTGGGCCAAGTGCATCTGAGCGAAGGGGCCCCACTATCCCCGCCGTCTCTTTGCAGTGCGGGCAGCGGGCCGATGCCTCTACTTGATGGTCCGTGCATATATCGGGAAGTTGTCCATCTTCCGCTGTCGGCAACTTGTCCAACATCTCTTCGTTCATACCTCCGACCATGTGCTATACCTGAGGGCTATCCAGCCATGACGCCTGTTCCCTCGTCGCGCCGTGTGCGCTCGCGTCGAGTTGCTGAAGAAGATCGCAAGAGGGCACCTCGAGCCTGCACCCGGTGTAAAGCCCGTAAGAACAAATGCATCGAGACGCCATCGGGTATCTGCCAGCGATGCCAGCTAGGATCCTACGACTGCAGCTTTGAGCGGCAAGAAACACAAACACCTGGACCAAGGGAGCGAAGTTCGGCACGAGATCAAGATCAAACACAAAGTCTGCATTCGACACCGGAACCCCAGCGTCTTGCCGATGGCCCAGAGGACCATCCCTCCCGGCGGGACCTCTGTTCGGACGGTGACGCACCTGAGAACTTCATGTGGCCCCGATTTTTGTCCCGCCTCAGGAATGCCTTCTATCTCGACCCAGAACCAACACCAGCTGAGCGTGAAGTGATGAGTCTCGAGGCTCGTCTATCACACGCCATACCCGATCGTCAGTCCGCGGAAGCACTTCGCTTGCAGGCGGCCATCGACAGCCTGCCGCCACCTGAGGTGGCTGCTTTTCTGGTACAGTTGTGCATCAAACATGGCACAGACTGTTTCTTCTACTTTGATCGGCAAATATTTCAATCAGACTTCTCTGACTTTTTCTATAATACTGATTCCCCTCTCCGTCGCGATGCCAGCTTCGTGTGTCTACTACTCTCCGTTCTTGCCCTTGGTAGTCAGTGGACTCCTCGAGCCCACCCACACGGTTTAGAGGCTCATCCGTATGCTAATTCTGCCCGAGGTGACCCTGGGAGAATCTTTTGTGAGCATGCACGTGTGCTCATGGCAGATACTATGGACCGAGTTAGCATACACTCAGTCGAGGCAGCGTTCGTACTAGGGGTTTACCTTATGCCCTCAAGTGCGATCGGCGCCTCGTACCTATATATGGGACTTGCTTTGAGAAAGGCGCTTGCACTCGGGCTCCATCTAGAATCAGACGACTCTGATATGAACCGTCGAGAGCAAGAGGTGCGGCGTCGGCTATGGTGGGCCATCTACTCGCTTGAAAGGCATGCCCTTGAATGAGACGCGATCCATCTGGAAGTCTTCAACTGACAGAACCTTAGGACACTGACTATCAAACTGAATCGGCCACGCTCTGTGGCCCAAGACATCGTGAAGGCCAAGTTACCGAGCTTCAGGGCCGACCTGGACCACAGTGATCATCGATCCAATATCGATTACCAGATCGCCAATGCGGAGTTTGTGAAAATTATTGATACTCTTATTGAACCTGCGTAAGCCCTCGACTCAACTCAAATGCTTCATATACTGATACTATGATGCAAAGGAATTGGTCAAGCAGCTCGCCACCTCCCCCAAAAGAGTATGAGTCGACCCTCAAGTCTTGGAAAACGTCGGTGCAGCACGATGTCAGCATTGTAAATTTGCATCCCAAGTCGCCTCACTATCGTGCTATCTTTCATCTCTGGTTAAACTACCATTTTGCATGGATCGCTATTGGCAAATCGTCGGTCGTCGCTATGGTACGACAACGACTACGATCAGGACTACGCGATTCCGAAAGCCATGATGCGGATGAATCTTTAAACCTGCTTGGACAGTTCCAGTCTTGTCGTCGTGCAGCCAAGAAAATGCTCAACCTGCTTGAGATGGCCAACAACTCAGGCAATCTTGCGCCCAGTTCCTTTACCGATTTTCAGGGCTGCAGCATTGCCACCATCATTCTTATTCTCACAGGTATCTGCGAGAGGGACCCGTCATATGAGACTCAAGTTGCGTTTGGTTTGACTTGTCTCCGCAAGATGGCAAATATGCACACAGCGGGCCGTATCGCGGTAAGCTTCGTGGAAGCTTTGGTATCTATTGCTGCAGAAGCACGCGCGAGGCTGCGGAATGACCGTGGGGCCCCAGAACATGGAGAAGAAGACTCAGATGCAGCGAGCTACGCAATCTGGGCCGACTGGTTCTCTGGTGTTGCCGGGCCACCTGGGAGCGATCAACCGACCGATACGGTGGCAGTACCAAACGAACCAAGAGCTACAAGGACAGCAGCCAATACCATGCCCATGTGGGAAGAGGCTTCTGCCCTTCTACGACTTCGGAATCCATCTACACCAGATGAAAGTTACGCACAATCGCCGTCGAACTTCAACATGGGAGAAACATCCTTCGAAGCGGATCTGAACGACGACTTCAACGAAAACCGGATGCAACTAATGGGTCTTACTGGAATCGACATGTTGGATTTCGGATTCGGGCCGGAGTAGTGCCAGTACCCAATCCTATTTACACTTCGTTAGACGGGTATAAGACCGTATCGGCGCCAACAAAATCCTCCTTCAGACTCCGGATGCTGGTGAAGCGTGCTAGGAGATTGGTGCTCGTGGCCTTGTCGTTGGTTCCGCTGGCTCGACCGCCCCCAAACGGCTGATGTCCGACAACCGCGCCGCTGCTTTTGCTGTTGATGTAGAAGTTACCAGCAGAGTGACGCAAGCCCTTCTCTGCGGCCTCAATGGCCTCCCTGTCCCGGGCGAAAACCGCGCCCGTCAAGCCAAACTGCGTTGTCGAATTAATGACGGGAAGTAGCTCCTCGTACTTCTCGTCAGGGTAGACGTAGGCAGTCAGGATGGGCCCGAAGAACTCCGTCTTCATCAAATCATTCGCAGCGTTGCTCGTTTGGAAGATGGTAGGCGAGACGAACCAGCCCTTGCTCTTGTCGGCGACACCGCCAGCCAAGAGTTCGACTTCAGGGTCGTTCTTTGCCTGATCGATGACCGCCTCGAGCTTTTTCCAAGATCGTTCATGAATAACCGGTCCGATGAAGTTGTCGGCCTCCTCAGGCGAACCAACCTTCAGTTGGCTGGTCTCCTTCAGAAGCATCTCCTTGAACTCCGGCCAAACTGACTCCGCGACATACAGACGAGACGTCGCCGAGCACTTTTGCCCCTGATACTCAAAGGCGCCCCTAATGGTGTTGACCACGGCGTTCCGGACATCCGCACTGCCATGAACGAGATGGAAGTTCTTGCCGCCCGTTTCGCCAACCACACGGGGATAGCTCTCGTACCTCCCCTCCGCAACGCCTGCTCCAATCTTGCCGTATAGCTGTCTGAACACATCCGTTGAGCCGGTGAAATGGAGGGCGGCGAATTTGGGATGCTGGAGGATGGTTGAGGTGATAGCTTCAGGCTCCCCAGGGATAAGCTGGATGACATTGGGCGGGAGGCCGGCTTCTTGGAAGATCTTGAGGAGGAGATGGCTTGAGTACAGGGCGTAGTCGGAAGGCTTCCATAGGACGACGTTTCCCATGATGGCCGGGGCCACTGTCAGGTTGGCGCCGATTGCTGTGAAGTTGAAGGGACTGATGGCATAGACGAAGCCTTCAAGAGGGCGATACTCGGTTCGACTTTGAAGTCTCAGTCAGCGGAAGACCTGTTGGACTTCCAGTGATTCGATGACTTACTTCCAGACTCCAGCATCGTTCATGGTGTTTTGCTGCTTGTACAGCTCAGAGGCGTAGTGGACGTTGAACCTATCGAGCAAATTCCCGTTAGCGAACTTGGAGATAAAGATTCCGATTTGGAGATTAATTACCGCAAAAAGTCACAACTCTCAGCTGCCGAGTCGATCTCGGCTTGCCAGATATTCTTTCCCTGCCCCAGCATTGTCGCGGCCATGATGTCGTGGCGATACTTACCCGCAATGAGCTCGGCGGCGCGAAGGAACACCGCCGCACGATCAGTGAAGGACTTATTCTCCCAAGTAGACTTTGCCTCCAACGCCCTTTCGATTGCCGTGTTCACCTGTTCGGGGCTAGTTTGGGAATATTTCGCCAAGACCGTAGAGTGGTCGCTGGGGATCTTCTGCTTGGCAATTGCTAGCCTATTATCCTAAAAGGGAGGAAGATGCCCAGTCAGCGCTGCAGTCTTTGGTCTTTATGGGAAGTTCATGAAGTCGTCTTGCCTCTTGAAGCGGTACTTGAGATGGAATGCGTATAGGAAGGTTGCTTTTGAGTTGAGCAATGGCATCTTGGAGCTTCTGGCGCTCTACCGATCCCTTGGCGTAGTTGGGCTTTCACCACCAGTCGTCAGTTTGACACTAATAGATTCAAGGAAGCTTTAGTACCGACATTGGGTTCATTGCGAACAGGAGGTGCTTTGAAAGTACCGAAATACCTGGCACTTCGAAGACAACGGCCAGGAGCGTAGAAGCCCTGTGGTGGCCCAGCTCTTGTGAGAGGCCTCGACAGGTTCCGGAGCATAGATGACGGCATTGTTTCTTTTACACCAACTCAACGAAGATGCAGCTTAACAAACTGATTCAAATCACGCAGAGTGCAATTTTTATAGGACATATCAAAGTCAGCCCGTGGTTTCATTGCGTCGCAGTGTCTTCCCGACGCAACGAGCGCGTTGCCGATAGCATCGGCATTTCACGCACACTGCCGATGGGCAACTAGCCGGCGTCATGCAGGAGCCGACGAACAATCAACCCCGCTCCAATACCTGATAGTGAGATTTGAATCGACATCGGAACACCGATAGCGGAAGGCGGGATGCCTCTCAGTCAATCATTGCGTTGAGCAGCTCTTTCCTCTTGGTTGGCGTCATCGCGTTGCGTGCATGTTTAATCGTATTCTGCATCATTGGCAAGATGGGCAGTGCGACTCTCGAATCAGTCAAAGACATCACTGCAGGCGCCGCAGGAGGTGTTGCTCAGGTTCTCATAGGTGTGTGTTCAAGTTCAACAGGGCCTCAAGATTGGAGTTGATATGACGCAAAGTGATGACGAAATTCTAGGCCAACCGTTTGGTAAGTACTCTCGGGCTCAGGACTACCATTCCACCGCTATATTTCTTCTAAATATACAGATACACTATATGTTTACTTGAGACTGACAAAGCTTTTGATGTCCAGATCTTGTGAAAGTTCGACTTCAGACACAAGGTGGAGGAAATGCCTTGGGCTTGGTCCGTGAAGTTTGGGCCCGAGAAGGACCTGCTGCATTTTACAAGGTGAGACGACTCACATACCGTGAAGCACAAATTGATCTCACGGCACTCGTTGATTTCAGGGAACTTTGGCACCTTTGCTTGGTGTAGGAGCATGTGTAAGTCGAATGAAATGCCAAGACCGCGAAACGCAGCTCAACTCGACTATAGGTCAGCATTCAATTCGGCGCTTTCCAATTCTTCCGTCGTCAACTCGAAGAGATTCGAGGGGTTTCAGCAACCAACAACGTATCCCTCTCGCTTTCCGACTTCTATTTGGCTGGCGGAGCAGCCGGCTTGACAAACAGCATCATCTCCGGCCCCATTGAGCATGTCCGGATCCGACTACAAACGCAGCCCAGCGGCACGAACCGCTTATACAAAGGCCCGTGGGACTGCGTTCGTACCATCAACCAACATTCCGGTCTGAAGGGTCTGTACAGGGGTCAGGTCGTCACCCTGTTCAGAGAGTTCCACGGGTACGGAATTTGGTTCGCCGCGTATGAAGGGCTCGTCCGTTTGGCCATGGAGCGAGATGGTATCAGAGACAGAAGCGACGTACCGAGCTGGGAGATTGCGGTCTGTGGAGGTTTGGCTGGTGAAGCTCTGTGGTTGGGAAGTCATCCTTTGGATGTCATTAAGAGCAAGATGCAGAGCGACGGGTTCGGGAAGGATCAGAGGTACAGGAACATGAGAGACGCTTTCCGGCAGACTTGGAGAGAAGGGCGTTTTCGGGCGATGTTCCGGGGTTTGGGTCCTGCTTTATTGAGGGCTATGCCAGTTTCAGCCGGGACTTTTGCGACGTAAGTTTCCCACTCATCTTGTCCCAACTACCCAGATTAAGATACTGACTCTACTGTTCAGTGCCGAGATTGTTCGATCAGCTATGAACTAAGGAAAACTATGTCTAAACTGGAGCTTACAAGCGAGTCAAGGCTGTTGTGATTTGCTTCATGTATATAAGTGTGATGGGAGCAAGAATAACCTATCATAACTGTCAGGTCTTTGAAATCATACTTTATCATACTGAATAGTCGGTGGATTGAAACTTCGGTGTATTATCTAACGAAAAGAAATACTGCTCCTAAACCTCCTCCATACCTCGGTCTTCAACGCCTCAAACTCGGACTTCGTACGAGACACAGCATCCCGGTTCTCTACAGCTCGTCTGAGGAGATACGAAAGGCAATCCCCCAAAGAACCCCAACTCAGGCATTTGTACACCTCAACTGGAGCCATTCCCTTTGCTCCCTTTTCCTTCAGCTCGACGTCCGCCTGTTGCAACAGACTGAAGCTCACTTCATCGGCCATACCGAGTAACTGTCCGTACTGTATCTTCGTCAACGGCTGCCCACTTTTGACTCTAGACTGCTGCAGTTCGTTGGCGGCGAGAACACTGTGCTTGTTGTGCGTGGCGAGGAAAAGCTCCAGCTGGGGAAATGTCTCGCCTCCAGCCGCACCAAAGTCCCTATAACTCTGGGATAAGAGCCCCTTTGCGACGCTGTCATATGAATCGTCCGTATCCTCTTTGGTGTCGTTGATCAGATGGCGTGGCTCGGAACTGATGTAAGCGCCGCGAACCAACTTGACCCCGAGAACGAAGTCGTCATTTTTGGCTACCTTCATGTGCTCGTAAAGAGTATCGGGCGTGCTTTTGAGGTACGCCTGGTATGTGTTATATACCACAGCACCTTTACCGTTCGTATTGAATTGGCGCATGAGATCGAGCGCCACCGTGTCTATTCCGGGCTGTACTTTGACTTGCTCAGCATCCACGAAGATGCGAGCCTTTCTCTCGACGGCCCGGGAGCATACTTCGGCGAGTGCTTCTTTCATCTGCTTTGGAAGAGGTCGGCCTGATGACAGGGTCTCAGATACCGCCGGGCCGGCACCCGTGAGTCTATAAAGATAGTCAGTCGATCGATGCTGTCGCTAGTTTTTAGGGGAAAGGCCTACTTGAGAGCCAGAATGTCGCCTTCGCCGAGCATTTCTACCGTAGTCAATACTCCTTCGCGCCATGCATCAATACCAGAGTCCTTCTCGGTCTCTGATGCAGTGCTTTCCTCTTTCATTCCTCGCCCAACTTCTTCCTCAGTTCGATTATCGACAACAATCTCGCGGGCGTAAGTAAGAATCGCTCCACGGAATCCCATCCGCTTGATTTCGCTGATGGTCGAAGTCACCTCGGCTTGGTTTTCGCCAGCGCAGAAGTGATTGTACATGGTGCGCTTCATCAACCCATGTAGTAAAGGGTTTCTCTGAACATCGAACACCCAAAACGGGGGCGAGTTGTTCAGAAAACGGAGAGTTGCGAGGGCGGGACTCAGCAAGGTTCGGTGGGAGGAGATGGTTGCTACTAGAAGCGATCGCAGAAGGACTTTGAGGGGGAGCTTGGAGTGTGGTGGGAGGACAGTTGTTGCTTTGGTGGTTTTTGAAGTGAATTGAAGCTGTCGCGGGGTATGAGACACATGATGGGCTTTGAAAGTGAGTTGTCTACTGAAGCAACTCCCGACTTGGGTGCGGGACGAAGATAGTCGATACATCTTGCTTCGGTTTGCTTGAGATCATGAGAAGTGTGGCATTTTGGTCTTGCTTTGGTTGTATAACGCAGGATATAGAGTGATACATGAGCTCATGAGTTGGAGGGGTTCTCTCCCGCTTCTCACGTCGTCGGCTGTGCGGTTTCGGAGGAGTGTACCGTAACCGACGTCGGGCACTGTGCCATCGGCAACGTAGCTCGCAACGGCATGACTTATTCAAAGTCCATAATAACAAGTGGCAACGCGTAAACGTTCTAACACGTCCTTTTACATTACATATGATTTATATGAATTAAAAAAGCTTAACAATGTGTGTCCCTAGACAATGAAATCACGAAATCAGAGTTGTAAGTAGCGATGACGGCAACATATGGGATGGAGATTTATTCCCGCTCACTGTCGCAGAAACGGGGGTGACTTCATATAAATTACTTAACTCAAATAAATTTGATCTTAAGTTGAATGGCTTTCTAAGGTGAAAGTGAAAAGGTGTTCAAGTCCACACAGGTGTTTAACGACGAATTATTCCAGCTCCATTAAGAAGCTTGCGAGTTGGCCCCTGCTTCTTCTGGAATTAAGGTACTGGTCAGTGCACCGACCCACTGGATCTGACTTACCAGGCTCATAATCAGTTCACCCGAAGCTTAACCGGCAGTTGATGACAGAACCCAAGGGAAGCAATCCAGACCTGAGGGGCTGTGGAAGGTACCTGAACGAGCCCCACCATCCCAACCTGAACGCCAGCAAGCTCCAACATCATCGTCACACCTCACCCGCCGCACCTCACAACCTCCGTTCCGAACCCCCTACGCCCGAAGTAACTTGCCCAAAATGGCTGCCAAGGGAGACAAGATCGAAAAAATCATCACGCGACTGCAGGCTCGCATCGCCGAAGGCCAGTTCTACGAGGCCCAGCAGCAAACGCGCGTAGTCGCCGCTCGTTACATCAAGGCCGCAAACTGGCCCGCTGCCATCGACATCCTCTACAATGTCGCCCAGTCTCTCCTCAAGGCCGGTCAGGGAGGCTCCGGTGGCGACTTATGTGTTTTGCTTGTCGACGTCTTCAAGCAGGCAGAGCTGAAGCCCGACTCCGCGAACAAGGGCAAGCTGCTTACTTGCTTGCGTTTATTCCCTGCCGAGGAACCTACGAGGAAGAAGTTCGTAGGAGAGATGATTGCGTAAGTCAGATGGGTCGGGAAGAAGCCAAGGGAACTTTTTCACTGACATGATTCTGCAGTTGGTCTTCCAAATTCGGCGAATACCCCGCAGGCGACGCCGACCTGCACCACGTTGCCGGATCACTCTACGCCGAAGAGCATGAACCCTACGAGGCGGAAAGGCATTTGGTATTAGGAACGAAGGACTCGGCTGAGGTCCTCGCTCGTATGGAATATACTTGGTACAAGGAAGACGACTCGCACACGGCCCCGCTCTACGCCGCCCGCGCCATCCTCCCCTACCTTCTCGTTGGCAACCTCCGCGCCGCGAACACCTGCTACCGCCTCTTCACCTCCTCCCTCAATGACGACAACAAGGGCCTCGGCGTTCAAGATGTCAGCAGCAATACCGCCGACCTGCGAATCTTCCCAGGCCTGCCCCTCCTCAACTTCCTCGGCCTCCTCCTGATCGCCGTCCAGCGCGGCGCTCCCGACGTCTACAAGCAGCTTGTAACGAAGTACTCAGCCAACATCTCCGAGGTTGGCTCATGGGCAGAATCTCTTGAGCTGATTGCTGAGATGTACTTTGGCATCACGCGCCCGCGACAGAGCAACCCGCTCATGGACATGATGGGCAGCTTGTTCGGCGGAGCCGGTGGCGGCGCTCCTCCCCAGCAAAGACGGCCTACGCCCAGACGTGTGGAGGCACCCCAGGCCGAGGGACTTGACTAGATGTTCCAGTCGTTTGGCGCAGATGGCTATCGCACTCGGCGACCACGGTTATGATGAACGCTTGGAATGAAGAAGAAAATGGTGTCACAATGCCACCAGGCGGTGTGCTCAAAACGCACGGGGTGGCTCCGGCTCAGCCTCGTACTTCCAATTGTCGTCGGCGAGAGCAGCAACTTTGGCTCGCAGACTGGCTCTCACAGCTTCGAGGAGTTCTGCAAGGGTCAATGAGCACAAGCTCGCCTGGAGAAAAAGTTGGTTTGCGTATAAAAAGACGTACCTTCAGGCTGCTCACGGACTGCAGTATGGCTGACCTGCTGATGCTGCTTCACAGCTTCCGCAAGCCGCTGTCGCTCCTCTATATCAATAGTTAGCATAATTAGCTCTATACCCGCAATGAGAAAAAAAAATATCAACGAAGCATCACATTGCCGCTCAAAGCACGTACTCTTGCTCTCTTCCCGATCATCTAAGGCCGCCTCGTCCGCCTCATCAAACACCAGCGTCGGCAACTCTCCGAGCTCGATCTCTCCGTGCTCGTCGCGCACCACAATCTCCAATGGCCCTTGCGGTGTCGCGCCGCCGTCAGAAAGTACATCAACATCGAGACGCAGCGTCTCGGCCGAGTTGCCGGACGAAGATGGTGCTGCCGCTGAAGCCATACCTCCAGTACTTGCGCCTGTCGCAGTAGTCGTCGCGGGCGCGCCTGTTGGGCCTGTCGGGCGTCTTGTGAGGCCTTGGAAGAGGTTGCGACGAACTTGCCGTCTCGGGGCGCCTGGCGGAGGAGCTTGTCGCGAGTTTCTGTCGGCCATTGTGATGAAGTGGGGTGTGGTTGGCTGGTTGGTTTCTTTTTTTTTTCGTTGCTTGCTTTTCTTGTTGTAAGGGACTATTCTTTGTAAGTCGATTTTGACTTGATCAATCGAGGTGACGCCTTTCGTATTGATGTTGTCTAGAAAAATGTGACTTTGTGTGTTTCGTAGTTTTAAGGTGATGTTTTGGATGTCCTTGTCGCCGTCTTTCTGTTTACTTGCGATACCTTAGTGAAGGCGCGAGGTCGCCCAGGCACCGGTGGCTGAATCGTTATCGATAAGACACAGTGTGGATAATGCATTGTGCAGTTGACACGGTCGGATGCTTGCTGACGGCGTCCCGCTGGGTCAATCTGCATCCATCCACTAATTAACAGCATCGCAGCTTCTCCTGCGAAATGGGTGCGCCATGTTGGATCAGGCTGGGGGCGCTTTCCTGATCTCTGTTCCGTGATTCGCCATGCAAGCCTGCCGGAACTCATTGGCTGTCGATGCAGTTCTGGAGGACTGTACTTTCCCGGTCACCTCCCAAATCATGTTGGGGTCGTTAAATGCAGCTTACTGCCCTCAGTTACTGAGGTCTTTGAGCTTGCCCGAATCATCCATCATTTTGCAAAGCACAGCCAACCTCGACGATTCCATCAAGATTCGAGTAAAGCATCGCTGTCGGCTCAGTCCAGAGCTCAAGTTTGGCATTCAAGTTGTGACAGCCTATCGTACACTATCCCGTTGTTGACGATCTTGTCTCCCGTTCGGCTGGTGCATTCGATCGACCGGCCGCAATGGACCCCCTATCGGCGTTGGGACTCGCATCGAACATCATCTCTTTCATCGATTTCGCTTCGAATCTTGTGAAAGATGCTGCCAACGTATACCAGTCGGCTTCGGGCCTTCCAGCCGAAGTCCACGATGCGGTAATCATTACCGAGAGCCTCGAGTCCTACATGGCCCGGCTATCCACGGCTACTCTGAAACCAGGCTTATCTGTACACGACAAGGCGCTCGCGAGCCTTGTACAAGACTGTCAGAAAACTTGTGTCGAACTCCAACAGCTTGTCCGGAAAATCAAGAGCAAGGCTCCTGGCTCGCGAACGGAGAGTTTCCGAGTCGCCTGGAGAGCGTTGCGGCGGAAGGGCAAGCTTGAAGAGCTGGAGAAAAGACTTGACAAAATTCAGAGTCAGATATTGAGTCAGCTAGTCTTTATGCTCCGGTATGTTTCCAGGCTTCTATGATACCGCTCCTGTAATCCCAGACCTTGTGGTTGATCATCTTCGGGCTTTATTTCTGCATTCTTCGTGTTTCTGACATTTAACGGACACTAAAGCTGACAATTGTTGAAGGAATGAGCACAGAGAAACCCACGGCAAAATCAACTCGCTGAATGCTCTAGAGGAAGATCGTGCCTCTGAGATCCAGCATGTCAAACAGGAAATTCTTACGATGATTCAGTCAGGGACGCGACAGACTCAAGAAGCGGTCTCCAACAACGAGCTGGAGCACAGGACGGTTCTCTGCGAAATACGAGATGCAATCTCCAAGATGTCGACCGCCATGAAGTTTGCCAGCGGCGAAAAGCAGATTCGGGACATACTATGGTTTCCTGAGCTGGAAACTCGATTTGCGTCGATAGAGAAAGCCCATGGAAGTACCTATCGCTGGCTTTTGCATGATCCAGAAAGCGACTCCGAGCATGGCTCCGACGATGATTCCATCAGTGTTTCGCCTACGTCTAGCGGAGTTACGCAAGAGGGCCAGGATCAAGGCTCCGAAGACTCGATGTCTATTTCGTCTCAACCGGGTAATTTCCAAGCAAACGAGTCTCAAGCCTGGCTTGAAGAGCCAGAGACTTCTGTAACTGGGGTCCAATCGGAAACATTGCAAGGAGATGTTCCTGCCTCAGCTGGCGTGCTTGACCTTTCAACTCACACTTCTGTTGACTCCGACCAGTTTTCAGTCAAGACAAGCATCTCAGTAAAGAGAGAAAGAGTCCAGCGACAAGTTTGGCGTGAGCAATTCCTCAATTGGCTTCAAGATGACAACGGTCTTTTCTACATCTCTGGCAAGCCTGGCTCAGGAAAATCAACCCTCATGAAAAGCATCTGTCAAGACCCGCACTCACAAAAGCTTCTCCGGATTTGGGCGAACAAGGACGGGAAAGACCTCCTGTTTGTGCATTTCTTCTTCTGGAACTCTGGCAGCAGGCTTCAAAAAAGCATTGAAGGTCTATATCGTGGCATGATATGGGAGGTTCTTCAGAAGCGACCAGACTTGACTGGACAACTTTTCCCGATTCTCGCGCGCAAAGCACACGAAGGGACGATACATTCATCTGACATGAGCCCAGCTACGCTGGAAACGGCATTGAGAAGTCTTGTCAGCAGCCAACAACTTCTCAGTAAAACCAAGGTATGCTTCTTTATTGATGGCCTTGATGAATATGAAGGCGATCATTGGAAGGTAGCCAAGCATCTTAAAAACTGGTGTTCTGAGCCGAACGTGAAGCTCTGTGTGTCAAGTCGGCCTTATAACGAGTTTGTGAAAGTTTTCGCGCCGACTACTGGGTCTTGGCTAAAGCTGCACGAGCTGACACGGGGAGATATACAGCAGGTTGTTCGTGATGAGTTGTCAGGCGACGAGCGTTTTGTCGAAGTTCGCCAGCTTGGAGAGAATTATAACGACTTTGTCACCTCGATTGTGGATGGAGCCGATGGGGTGTTCATCTGGGTTATATTGGTCATCCGCTCTCTTTTAACCGGCATCGGTAACTCCTGCTCCCTGGCACAACTCCGGAAGAGACTACGCACTGTCCCTCGCGAAATCAACTCCATGTTCCGCTACATGCTGGCGGAAATCGAGTTGCCTGAGCGACAAGCAGCAGCACGGGTTTTCTTGACACTACGAAACAACGATTTAGTATACAACCCAAGCTCATCCCTCTTTGTCCAAGCGATATTCGACAGGTTAGTCGATGAGCCGGAATACGAGAAGGATATTCTTGATGGGAAACTCGGCCCGTACATTAAGCCTGAGGAATGCACCGCCCAGTGCATGTCGATGTCCCATCGAATCACGGGCCGATGTCGTGGGTTGCTTCAAGTTAATACTTCCGTGGGAAACCCCCCCTCTTGTCACACGTTGCAACTTGTACATCGGACATTGTACGACTTCCTCAGCGACAAAGAGGTACTGGATGAACTACGTGAACTGGCAGGAAAATTTTCAGTAAGTCGCTCTCTGGCACTAGGGTTGCTTGCTATAGTCAAATATCTGCCAGGCGACAACCGAATCACATGTCCGACGCCAACAGAAAGTGAGCAATCGGGTAACGAGAACGCATTTCCACCGACATTTTACGTGATTCCCCTGATTCAGCTAGCCGCGACGGAAGAGCACACAGGCTCACGTCCCCTTATCGCAGAGATGGAAGCAATGAAGCAGATGCTCATGGCGCATAAATATACGGACCGCAAATTTATTTTCACTGCGAACTACGCAATAGCCTGGAATTGGCCAGCCATGCCGGATGAGAAGCTGGAGTTCGCAATACTCTGTTACTCGGTGTTTTACGGTGCACAAGAACTCGCCGTGGAAAGGATTCGAAGACAAACCTTGGACGCTAGGCAAAAGAGCACGTTGCTCCTTCTCTCCACTTGGACAGAGATGGGCAGGAAGAAGCTTGTGGCTCCAACATACAAGGAACATAGGACCACCCGGCACCTTTTGGAACAGAAAGTTGCACCCAATTATGAGACGGGGTATGCGGTCTTCTGCGGTCGTCATCGCGACGGGGAAACCGATGTGCCGTATCTTCCCACACCGCCCTGGACGCCCTGGACGTTGTTCCTGCTTAGGCTTTCACAGCGAATGGCTGAAAATGGAGAAGATCCTGATCCAATATGGAAACAACGTTTGAGGCTCTACCTGGAGCATGGAGCTGACCCTTCAGTGTGTTTCGTCGGGTATCGGCTCCCCGCTTGGAAAGTCGACTCCCCAAGGAACGAATCCCCAGGCCTAGACGGGACTTCCCATCAGAACTCAAGCAACACACAGGAAAGTCGGACAGGTCCAATCTACGCGGATTTGCGCACCATGCTTGAGCTCTGGGACCCTTCCGAGGATTTCTTAACCAGTACCGTCTCAACCGGCTGGTTTAGACTTCCTACTTGGCTTGGAGTCTTCGGTTCGAATAAATCAGCCGAGCAGATCGGACTGGAAATGGTAGGTGCGCGCGATATCAAGAGGACAAAGTTCTTGGTGTTGAAAGTGGCGCCGCTTCGCAAGCTGAAGGACATACAAATGTCGGACCTGGATAGGGGCCTCCGAGACACCCAGAAACAGGTAGAAGCGAAGGAGCCATCGCCCTTGCAGTCGGCTTTCAGCATATGGCTTTCAGATTTAGCATAGTTGACGGCTCGTCGATGTTCACGATGCGCGAATCTAGACAAGACTGTCCAATAAGCCGATCAACAGGACGGATGTCGCGATAGCTGAGCGTCACACGGGAGGTGTTTTGACACCAACCGAGAGTCCATTGATGTTCAACGCGACAGATCTCACCTGCAATGAAAGTTGGAGAGATTGTACAGTAAATTGATCTGATGTGACATCAGACATCTTGCCGTTTTACATGGCTCCACGCAGGCGGAGAGAACATGGAAGCATCATGAACCAAACCGCCGATTCCGCGCAACGAAATGGCCCGTCAGCCAGGCCGGGCTGGGTCAGCAATGGCAAAGTCGCCTTGAGACTCTCGTGGCCAGCATCAACCATACCGTACGGATCGAACCATCTCAACATGCCCCTAACTACCACCGAGAGAGACACCTCACGCAGCCGAGGAAGAGAAACTTGACATCACCTCACGCAAACCAGATAGGAACATCATAATGTCATTGAAAGAGGGCCATGTACTCGTCGAATTTTTGTTACAGAACCATCCTAGCATCCGCAATGCATGATTCCCATTAACGTATCTTACATTAAGAAAAGACTCCTCCCAAACCGGGCATGATGAGGACATGAGAGAGAGAAAAAAAGAGCCGTAACCCAGAAACCGCCCAAATATTTCCACAAAGAAAAAGAAACGTACAAGAAAAAGAGAACGCCGAGATATGCATAGAGTTACCCCGAACCAACCTGTGTGTCATGACCGCTTAAAGTCCCCCTTTTCGTTTTTCGACGTTTGCCCGCAAGAAGCATGGAAAAGAAAAATTCAAGAATGCCGCCGCTGCTCATCCAACGCATACCCATTCGGCAAAGACGCACCAGCGAGCGGTGCGGTCCGCCAACACGAGACCCCTCCACACTCCCTTCTCGGAGCACTTGATGATGGTTTCCCAGGTGCCGCCATCGCTGACCTCCTCCTCGCTTCCCCTGCTGCCGACGCTGATTCCCCGGCGATCCTCCTTCCTCATAAGACGGAGGATCTTGCCACCGGGTGTTTGAATCGCCAGCTTCGCCGGTTTCTTGCCCGACGATCCCGTGGCCGAGTTGGTGCCGCTGACGTTGGAGGCCGTCATGCTCAGAGCTGAGCTGGGCCTGGCGAACGGAATCGGGCTCGCGCCTCCTGGATTTGATGATGGTGTCATTGGCGATCCAACACTGCCGGTCAAGGTGCTGGGATGCTGTCGGATCGCGAAGACGAAGGTGTTGTTCAGTGCCAGACGTTGACATTGAGGCTGAACAACGTAGATGTCGTGACGTTGTGCGTGAGGCGTCGGGTGTCTCGTCACGAACTCGTACGGGGGGTTCTCTCCCGTGTGAATGATTGGCACCGCGAAGGCCACCGGGTGAGGAATATCCTTGATGCTGTGCATCAGGCCACGCTTGCCGGCGTAGATCTTCAGGGTACCTTGGCCCTCATCACCGGGTAGCAGAGCTTTCACAGTGTAACGCTTGTTTCCGTTGAACCACTCTGCTTGGGCCAACGCTCTCTTCTTCACCATCTCTCCACTCTCGAAAACGTCCCCATCCGCGTCTCTCGTGTAGCCTCGAACCTCAACCTCGGCCGCGATCTCTACATCGGGTGGACAGTTGAACTTGATGTGAACCATCTCCAGATCTTCGATACGAGTTGACGCCGTGTTATAGTCGACCATCTCGAGATCGTTCTTGAAGAAAGGAGGGCAAGCACATGGAAGGTTGAGGAGGACTTCGTGCGCCTGAGGTGGGCACAGGTGTTGTTGAGAATGGTGCTCAGGAATGTGCGTCCAGCAAATCTCCGTCGGCCTCGCGAGGAACCACCAGAAGTCAGCCACGCCGTTGCCGGCACTTGAGTAGAGATGCCGTCTGGGGTACGATGGACTAGCCATACAGCAGTCAATCATACGCCACTCGTTGTCGACCAACGCAGCGTTCCACCAATGGTTTGCCCGCGGCATGATGTTGTGCTCTGGAATTTCGCCCGGTGTTTTGAGGTATCCGCGAACCATTTCGCAGTGAATACCTACCGCAGTACACATCTCCTGAACCAAAGCAGCGTACTCCTCAGCGCATGCTCTTTTCGTCTGCACCACTCTCCGTGTGTCAACTTGGCCTTCAAAGTCCTCTTCCCAGCAAATCTTCTCTGATACCCAGGTAAAAATTGCTCGAAGTCTTTGGACGTCGCTGCGATACGGACGGCAGACGTAGGTCGTCGCCAGAGAGAGCGCCGTTGTCATCGGTGGCAGGCTGCTCACAAACCTCGAGTTCTTGTCCACTTGCGTGAGGTTCAGGGCCTGATAGTCGATGGGGTCTTCAACCGGTTGCCCGTCGGCCCCTTCGTCGCCCTCAATGCCTTCGTACAGCTCGTCAACGGGGTTCAAGGCCGGGTAGTCGAGCATCTGACAACGGTCTCTTCGTTCATTTCGTTCATTCTTGCTCAGCGAATTGGACCGGTTGACGTCTCTGCGAACCTGCACCCAGTCTACTCCATTGGCAAGACCCATGTCCCTAGCAGAGTCCCTGCCGAAGCCAGTGCTTCCCATGCCGGTCATGTGGGAGATCGCATTACCAGCAGGGGAAGCGACGTTTGGCATAGAGCGGGCGAAAGGTGACGACCTCGGAGAATCACCACCCATGGCAATACTACTGCGTCCGGATGCCACTCCTGTCTTGGCTGTGTCGAGAAGTTTCTTAAAAATGCTCCTTTTTGCGGGCTTCGGGGTGACAAGGCCGCCGAGCCCTGCGTCCTCGAGGAAGCCCGCTTGTGATTTCGGCCGAGCCACGTCTGAGGCGTGACTGCTGTGGTAGGTTACGCCAGTGAAGGGAGTCTCAGGTCGGTCAATGTCAGCGTCGCGCATACCCAGAGCACTCTGAGCACGCTTTTGAGTTTTCCGAGCAAGACTGCCTGCGCTTGTGGCGCTAATGGCGCCGGCTGAAGAACCGCTCATCAAACTCCTGTCGCTGCTCTGGGTCGTCGAACTCTGGTTGCCGGACGATGCGCTGGTAGAATTCGTTTTCGTTGTAAAAGTCCTGTTCAGTACGTTCCGGCCAATATCGTAGGCCGACTTCCTCCCTCGAAGCTTCCTCTCCTCTGGTCCGCCCATGGAAGATTTCGGTCTCTCGTAAAGTGCGCCTTTCGGGGGCGGCTTCGGTGCCTCGTCGTCAAGGTCAGCCATGCTTGCGCTGTGTTGGTGCATTTTTTTGAGGCGGCTTTCCATACGCTCGACGTAATTACTGAGTTGAGGCAGTTGCTCCTTGTCCTCCCGGTGCCCGCTCTGGCCATTCTGGTAAGATTGATCTCGCGAAGATCCGCCGCTCCATGTCTCGTATCCCTCGTCCTGTGCAATTCCCATGGATGTTTGGGGTCTCTGGTAAGTATTTTTCCTTCTCTGGCGATCATTGACCATGTTGAATGATTCAGGAGACCACGGGTCTAACGGCGGTTCCGGCGTAGGGTCTCGAGGCATCCCCAAAGCGTCCAATTGCTCTATTACGCCGTCCATGGCCTCCCGCAACGGAGATGGAGTCATGTGACTGGCTGAAGGAGACGGCGGAGCCGGAGAAGGCATTCGCTGCGTCTGGATAGCTGGCGGTCTGTGAGTGTAAGACAGATGAGAGCCGTGTCTGTCCAGCGGAGGGTGTCGGTTCTCATATGAAGCATTGGATCCTTGGCGCACAAGGTCGAGGCGCTTGTCGAAGGAGCTGTTTGAACCGTGCCGCGGTGCGTCGAAGCGATCGTCGTATGAGGAATTCGACCCGTGACGAGGAACGTCGTGCCGGCTGTCGTACGAAATGCTCTGCTTGTGTCGCGGCGCCCCCACATGCCGATGCGGCGGGGGCGGTGGAGGTGGAGGGGACTCAACTTTCCCTTGAGGAGGTCGATACGGCCTGTAGCTGAACGAGGGCGCCGGAGAGGGGTCTCTGGAGCCATGGTGTGGAGGTGGTACAGGCGACGGCCCTCTGTCATTGTTGTAGGAGTTGACTCTGGATCCGTGACCATGATCGGGCACTGGTGTTCTCGAACGCAGGTCATGATCGGGGTTCGGTGTCCTCGCCCGGTAGTGATCGGCGACCGGAGTCCTGGCTCGGTGATGGTCAGGCACGGGTGTTCTGGCGCGATGGTGATCAGGAACAGGTGTTCTTGATCGATGGTAGTCTTGCACTGGCGTTCGCCCTCTCGGAATGTACTGCTGTGCGCCATCATTGAAAGAATTGCCCCGCGATACATAACCGCTGGGAGCTGGCGACGTGTAGGCTCGCATTCTAGTCGAGGCAGTGTCATTAAAAGAGTTCTCTCGCGAAAGTGCTGCCGAAGGCGCCGGCGACCGTTCTCTCAGCAGTGAAGGCGGTGCCGGAGAGCGGTCTCTCCTGCTGCTCTCGGGAGCCGCGCTGCGAATGGACTCCCCGGAGTGCCCCCTAGGCCTCGCGTGCGGGTTCGTCCGGTACACCTCGGGCTGCTTCGCTGCGGTGTAGTGTGGCGCTTTTGCGTAAGCTTCGAAAGGCTTTCGGAACGTCCTTGACTTTTGTGGTGTGCTTGGGCTTGGTGTGTCCACCGCAGGGAGAGGGCTGACGGATCTCGTCGTCGGTCGAAAGTCGGAGGGAAGAACTTCGACGAAGTTGGAAGGAAACACGCCCACAGTCCGCCTATCGCGATATAGCCTGCCCGTCCACCACGAACCGTCACCAGCGTTAAGACATTCGATCAGATCGCCCTCGATGAAGCCGAGATCTCGTTTAGACTGTGGAGGGATAAGTTAGCCGCTGAAGTCGCGTCCGCCGTATAAACAAATGTGACAGACCTCCCCTCCCCAAGAGTAAACAGCCCTGCACCAACACGGAAACCGCGTTGGCAGAGGCAGTGGTGCCGGTACCATCTTGAGGTGTCAATTGCGAGATGGCGATAAGCGAGTCCTGTCGTCGCTGATCAATTGGCGGTCGATATCGAGTGCCTAGTGGTGTTTTCGAAGGCAGGCACTCGGCTCCCGCTAGAGCAGGTTTACTCGACGCGATTAAAAAAGTTGCGGTTAGCAGTCGAGGCCATGCAAAGGCGCGCGCGCAGATCGAGTCGGGTCGTGGAGGGTCGTGGAGGGTCGTGGAAGGTCGTAATTAATGTTGAGGAAGTTTAGAGCAACCCGCGACGAAGCGAAGCGAGGCGAGACGACTCCCGGGGTGAGAAGTCAAGTCTCAAAGCTCGTGGAAGTGAGGTTCGGACGACGTTGAGGAATGCAGCAAGTTTCGGTTGCACATCGACAATGACCTTGTTGGAGTGGGTAATCAGGAAATCCGAGTTGACGTGAGATGGCAAACGAAGTCGGGCACAACTTCCAAGAAGGGGATGCGGTGAATGTCAGTGCCAGCTGTGAGCCGGGGGTGCGGACCCGGGGCAACCAACAAACAGAGGGGCGCGTTGGCGGGGCGACAACTCCAAACACTCCCGCCTGGCCAACCCACCTACAGTGAGTTGTTACCTGGGGGGACCCGTGGACTCTCCAGTCGCGGGCGCTGAAAGGACTCTGAATGGCTCCAAATAGGCCATAAGCTTGCAACGGGTTGCGACCTTCCTGTGCGGCTGACGCATCTCCACCGGCGACTAGCGGCACCCTCTTGGCGCCGCGCTAAGCCTGGACTGGCACATCTGTGCCCCCTGGACCTTGGTCACCGCCTGCGATGCCGTGCAAGGTACGGGAAGCCTACCTTGCCTACCTGGTCCAACCTTTCACCTGTGCCTGGATCGCTGACGATATCGTCCCTTGACGTGGTACTTTTCCAATAACTTTACTCGCCGCGATATTGGGCTTACATCCCCCTGCCCTGCTCCCTGTTCGGTCGCCAAAAGGCTTGTCTGTCTTTCGTCTGTTTCCGAGCAGCCAGCTGCCAGCAAGACAACACACCAAAGGGCCAACCTTGGATTGTTCCATGGATCGATTTCTGGGTCCTGCATGCCACATCAACCGCTAGACTTAACTGGCATTCTGCAAGGCAACGCAACGCAGACATCATCGGAACTAGATGCAAAGAGAGGTGAGAAAGGTCACGTTCGCAGTCAACTGGCACGCAAACGACGCAAGCACACGACAGTCTTCACTTCCTCGCAGGTCACAATTACATTTCTCTTCCTCTCTGCATCACACCAGACTTGCCTTCCTTATCTTACCACTCCCACACTCCCACCGCCTTTCCCTCGCTCTTACTTTCTTTCACCTTTTTTTGTTTGCGATTCACGATGATGCTTCAGAAACAGCGGCTTCCCACCGGCACTTTTTCGTTTGCTTTTCTGTATCAAGATCGGCTGACTCGCCCCGGCTCATAGAACCCTGGTGCTAATTACGCTTCCCCGGAGCTCCCCCAGCTATACCAAAACGGAAGAAAGTAAACAAAAGGGCCCGAGCTTTGCGACGACCAAGCCCACAGAACCATCACACACCAAACATCACACACACTATTCTACGCCAATAAGCCAAGCACTACATACACACACAACCGCAGGGCACGGCGCCGTTTCGTACCGTACCTTGACCTGGTCCTCGCTCGCCCTGGCCCTGGATACCGAAAAATCGCTGGCAACCCCAAGCAACCGAGCCACCGACGATCCGCTTGCTTCCTTGGAGCCATTATTGCCTTTTGCCCGGTCTAAAATACAAGCCAGGCCGTCCTGACTGACAGACGACAGCCCCGTTCCCTGGATACCCTTTTCTTCTCTCGAAACTCTCTTCTGCCACCATCCTGCAGGCGCACATCTTTGCTCCTCAACACCCTCCGTTCTCGGGCTTCAGGCTTGAACGCCAGCTCCTCCCTATCTCTTGCTCCATCTCTGCCGGCGGATTCGATCGAATTGAGAGCTTTACGGCGAAATGACGTCCAAATCGGCCGCGATGGCGGATGAGGGCCTGGCCGAACATTACCAGGTGTTGGAGGAGCTTGGTCGTGAGTCTCGAGAATCCCAATGGATCGCAAAGCATGCGCGCTGACATACCTCAGGTGGAAGTTTTGGAGTTGTGTACAAGGCCATTGAGAAGGCCACCGGCGAGACTGTTGCCATCAAACATGTAAGACGCCTGCGCCAGACCTACATCCTCGAATGCCGCTGACCAGCCGTCACACAGATCGACCTCGAATCCAGCGAAGATGACATCCAGGAGATCCAAGGCGAGATCGCTGTGCTAAGCACATGCGCCAGCTCGTTCGTCACCCAGTACAAAGGCAGCTTTCTGCGCGGCCACAAACTCTGGATTGTCATGGAGTTTCTTGGAGGCGGCTCATGTCTGGACCTGGTATGTCACCCAGAATTGCGACCATGCCGAATCCGACACAGCTAACATTCCTCAGCTCAAACCAGCCAACTTTGCTGAGGTCCACATTGCCATCATCTGCCGAGAACTTCTTCGCGGCCTCGAGTACTTGCATGCCGAAGGCAAGATCCACCGAGATATCAAGGCCGCCAACGTTCTTCTCTCCGAGTCCGGCAAGGTCAAGTTGGCCGACTTTGGTGTCGCTGCCCAATTGACCAACATCAAGTCCCAGAGGAACACCTTTGTGGGAACCCCGTTTTGGATGGCGCCTGAAGTCATACAACAAGATGGGTACGGATTCAAGGCCGATATCTGGTCGCTCGGTATCACGGCGATGGAAATGGCCAACGGCGAGCCGCCCCTTGCGCACATCCACCCGATGAAGGTCCTCTTTCACATCCCCAAGAACTCTCCTCCTCGTCTGGATGGCGGTTTCAGCAAGGACTTCAAGGACTTCGTGGCACAGTGTCTTGTGAAGGATTCCGATCGCAGACCGTCCGCCAAGGACCTTCTCCGCCACCGCTTCATCAGGTCGGCTGGCAAGGTGGAGGCCCTCCAGGAGTTGATTGCGCGCAAGCAAATGTGGGATGCAAACCAAAACCGAAAGTCGCATCCCATCTTCTACCAGGAAACACTTCACACCATCTCCGCTAAGGACGACACAGATGAGTGGGTGTTTGACACGGTCAAGTCGATGGCGCCCAGGCAGCGAACCATTCGGACGCGGAAACCGTCCTACTTCGGGGCGGAGGAGGCCATGCGTCGCCTCGACCTCAAGGACGCACCGCTCGGTCCCTCTTCTCCCGCTTCCGGCACAGTGCGCCGGTCGACTGTGCGGCGCCAACCCTCGAGCCGCCAGGCCTCGGTCACACAGACCCAAGCAAACGGGTCGCCTCGTTCGACGGTCGCGAGAAGACCGCTCCAGCCAGACATGTCGTATGGCAACTCTGGATCCTCCGTGCGGCTCTTCCGCCGGGTCCCCTCGGACGGCTCCGTTACTGCTCAGATGGAGCTCTCGGATGCTTCTGATGCGACTGTCGGCAACGAGAATAGAGCACCGACAAGAGGAGCATCAGTGGAACCAAATAGTAAGGAAGGCATGCTTGGCCGCCGACTGTTCAACAAGGCTATCGACCCGACGCTCGCGGAGCTACACGCGCAAACTTCGGGATTACAGAAGCGGGAGGCATTGGCGAAGCTCACTGACGCCTTCGCTCTCCTGGACTCAGTCGACCCTGAAGGAGCGTATCACGTTATGCGCAATCTGATGGCGGCTGTTTCGCAGGACGGCAAGTTGAATACAGCTCTGATGCCTCAGCAGTCGATCAAGACTCCATCAGACGGCACTCCCCAGGGTACTGTTATTATCAAGAGCGCTGCAGCCATACCATCCAGCCCGAACAAGCTGATTTTGGCGTCGAACAACCCGCACTTGAAGAGCCATAGAAGGCGCAACGGATCGTTCGCTACGCCTGAGTCAACTGAGAAGATAGACCGAGAGAAGGCGGCTATGGAAGCCAAGTATCCTGGTCGCGCCCCCAGGCCTGGTATGGAGCACTGCAAACAACTGTCTGACGTGCTCTATGGCCGGTGGACAGATGGATTGAGGATCAGATGGCCAGCTGTCTAACGCTGGCCATCGGATGGGCATCGTGCCCGGTGAAGATGAGAAGAAGGGGTAGCATTCCATCGTTCACGAGACACGCTGTATGATGAGAGTGTACGACCAGGTTGCAGCATAGGGGTTTGAACAGTACACAAAAGCATTGGTCAAGTTTTCAGCACTAGCAGGGTTTTCGACGTTTGGGAGATTGAGATACCGGGACTGGATTTCTGTTTTGGACGACGCTGATGATGGTTCGATTCGGTTACGTAGCTCTCATGACTGATGATATCTACACGGCCGATCCGGGTTTTGTCTTCGTCGCATAGGGTGGCGTTTTGGTTGTTTGGTCTTTCTTTTTTTCGGCTTTTTTTCTCGGCAGTAGGTAGATACCTCGTAGGTAGCGTCAAGATTGCGTCCCAAATAGAACGAATTGCGCAAAGCGTCAAGGTCCTCGTGCTGCGTGAGCTTCTACTTGAGTCCCCATATGTTGCTAACGCTTCTCTGCGGTTTGCTCATGGACGCTGCCCACACGCCTGTTGGACTCATCTCCCATATCCTTAGCCATCTGTGTGACACCGAAAAGCTCATCCATCTTCTCCAGACTGAGGCCCTTTGTCTCTGGGATGAAGAAATAAACGAACAGCGCCATAGCGAAGCCGAATCCGCCAAACATGAAGAACATTCCCTATCGAGTCGAAGGACGTCAGCGTCCACCCGATGATCATGGCAACAGCGTGAGGTTGAGTCTTGGAGGGTCAAACTCACATATCCCTTGTAGCCCATCGTCAGCTGCATCGTCAAGACGGTGCGTGCGATGATGAAGTTGAACAACCACTGCGTCAGCGCCGCCAGGGCGACGTTCATGGCGCGCAGACGAGCAGTGGGGATCTCGGACACGAGGATCCAGCAACACGGGCCCCAGCCCAGCTGGAAGACGACGGTCCAGATGTAGATGCATGTGATGGCCACGTAGCCGAAAGGCGGGATCTGATGTACCCCCAGAGTTAGTAGTTTCAGCCAGTAAATATCTCTCTAGACAGAAGCCGCTGAGACAGGGGCATTCGAAGGATAATGGTGGTCACGTACAGGCTGTCCCTCTACGGGAGGACTAACGCAACCGTAGATACCGACGATGAACATGACCAGGCCCAGGGCGAAACCGGTCCATATCAGGCTCCAGCGGCGGCCGAGGGAGTCCGCCACGAAGGTGAGGAAGCACGCGCAGGCGACGACCTTGAGGACGCCGTAGATGCCGGTGGCGAAGAGGGAGGTCTCGGTGCCGCTCATGCCGAGGTTCTTGAAGATCTGGGGGGCGTAATAGTTCTGGCAAAGAAGAGCATGTTAGCTCTTGATCGAGATGTAGGTGACGTTCTCACAACGTACCACGGCATTGACCCCGATCATCTGCTGCCCCATCATCAGGAAAAACGAAATCACAGCACGCTTGCGGTTTCCCGGGATGAGCCACATCTCCTTGAGCAGCGTCACGGCCGTGGCGTCGCCCACGAGCCGGCGCTCGGCCTCGAGCTGCTCGGACATCTCGTCCAGCTCTCCTTGGATGTACGGGTGGTCGCCGGGCAGGCCCCTGAGATGGACGAGAATGGCTCGCGTCTTCTCCCAGTGGTCCTGCTTGGCGCACCACCTGGGGCTTTCGGGACAGAGGAGCATGCCGGTGGATAGGAACACCGCGGGGATGGCTTGTAAGGCTAGGGGCACGGCGTAGAGCGCCTTTCCGCTGAGGTGGAGGAGGCTTCCGTAGTTTATCCAGAAGCTGAGCATCGTTCCGGCTGTGAAAGCGTTCAGGTGTTAGTGAGGCCCTGTTTTGTTCATGTTGCGACGTGGATTTGGCAGAGTTGGAAACAATGGGATATAATATGGGGTTTGAAACTTTCTATCCTTCATTGACGAGTGAAATCGAGTGGTGAAGACTCACTGACGATGAAAAGCTGATAGAACGCAGTGAGACCTCCCCTGATGGCCCTCGGCGCGCACTCCGAGACGTACAGAGGCGTCAGCATCGAGGCGGCGCCGACACCAAGTCCCGCAACGAAGCGGCCTACGAACACTGGTCTCTATTAGCACAAGATTCTTTCCACTTGGACGTGAGAGACTCACTCAAAGCCAAGGTCCCATGCTCCGCTGACGCGGCCTGGAGGATGACCCCGATGATGGTGATAACACCCGTCGTAATGAGAGACCAGCGCCGGCCGTACTTATCGGTGAGATAGGGTGTGACCAGGCACGCGAGCAGACAGCCGCACTGGAGGGTCGACACGATGTTCTGGTCCTGGGTCGACTTTTCTGCCACGGAGGCCTCGAAGTATCCGAACTGCTTTTGCGTTTCTTCCATGGCGAGAACGCCGCCGATGGCTCCGCTGTCCCATCCGAAGAGCATGCCGCCGAAACAGGCTTTGCTGGAAGTCAGAGGCGTGTTGGTGTGAAGTGCTATGAGGTGACTTACATGCGCAGGTAAGAGCGACTACTCTCCAGCCGTACACCTCTGGAGGATCCTCCTTCATGGCATCGTTCTTCACAACGCGTTGTAGAAATGTGGCGATACCCATGGTCGTACCCTAGCAATCAGAATCATGAATTATGTTCTGGGTGGCTTGGGCGAAAGACTGTATATCAACGGTCGTGCTGTTCGGTGCAGTCCTCGGCCAGTCCTGCCTTTTACTAGTATTTGGGAGAACATTGCGGGGTCAAGACACTCTCGAAAATCATATTCGGAGGGTGGCCGATTCAACTGTTGTGATACATGTGCTAGCCCTCGTACAGTAATACAAAGTAGACCCGACGATAAGAAGTGATGCGGGCTCATCATGAGGTTCCCTTAGGAGTTGTCGATCAGCTTCCTCAGACCAATAACGTCTTTCCAACCTTCCGGCCTTGCAGTGAGGCTTCAACGCCATTCAGTAATACAATGTGAGACTGATGGGTCCTAGGGATAATTTTCTCCGCATGTTGGTCGTAGTTTCTTGGCTTTGCCATGTGTGGTCGGTGTCTCAGTATGCTTTTGCTGCCTAGGTGTTGGGAGTAAAAATGCTCGGTCAAGTCGTGAAGATCGTTTTGCGGGTTAACTTCTCTAAGACTCTATAGGACTACTAGTCACAGTAATTTCGTAACTCGATAATTGAGAAGCCCTCCTGGTTGCTGGTTCTCCAGGATTTGCATAGTTTAGGTGTTAGTCGCACATGCTTTCTACCTATTGTGGCTTCGCGATATCGCGTTTGCCTTGTTGTGAGGAAATATCTATGCCCAGAAATACATCACTTGTGTTGGATAAATGAGTGTCAGTCTGTACTTGAGATGCGATTAAACATCGAATACAATACTCATGTGACCTCACCTGCAATGGCACGTCACACAAACGAAATAGGTTATGGGCAATTCATGTTGTCGTCAAACTCAATGCATCGCAGGCGAACCCTTCCAAACTTCAGATCATGGCCCGTGAGAACTAAACACTGTAACTGTAAAACTAGACAAAACAAGCTCTAGCAAGCTAAGTCCTACCAACTCAAGTTTCTTCCGGCTTGCATGAGGACATCTAATCCCAGGGCCGTTGGACGCGTGGGAGTCAATCTACGACTCACGGAAGAAGAAGAAGCGAGTTGGAATGTAACGACTTGTTCCATGATGCCACTGACTGTAAGGAAGCGTGTGTAATAGTCATGAACTAGCAATTTGACAGAGACAGAGATGCAGTAATCTTAATTCGGGTCGGGGTTGCAGAATATGGATGCAAGTTCAAAGGCACGAAGCTGGTAAATCGTACTTCGTGAACCTACAACAATGTCGGAACATCACTTCACACCAATCCTCTCAACAAGCTTCTAGCATCAAAGCCGCCTTATCCGAACGAGAGATTGCAAAATTCCGCTGCGTTCCAAGCCGGAAAGATCTATCAAGGCACGCGGTAGCACTTGTTGATCAGATGACATACCGCTCTGTCCGTCCGGCGTGCAAGGGGTCAAGATGTCCCGACGGCCGAGTCGATCATCCTCGGGCTCGACACAGCAACTTTAATACAAAGGCAAAAGGGTCGGTCGTCTGACAATATTAATCTGGACATTCGAGTCATCTGGGGGACGCCCTGCGTGTGGCTTTGAACTCTCTCCAGTGTCAGGGTCTTTCGCTGATGAAGGCCTGCTGTCTCGGTGCAATTCCCCTGAGACACGCGCCATTGCGGCACGATTCCTCCGGGAGATGATCGCATTTAAGGTACCCCCTCAGATTCCTTGAAGTCAATTGCACCGGTGGGCGTTGAGTTCGACGAAGCTTCTCAAGACCTTGAAATTCGTCAAAGTGTAAAGTTGCGCGCTTGAACTGGCGGAATTACAGGGCACCTGCCCCACTGAAGCCGCTGGAGCTGGCCACTCACACAGGAACTGGGGCTGGGATGGAAGCGCGACCAATACAAGTGCAAATTTCGGCAGGTCTACCATCACCAGCAGCGCCCAGATCGTCTAGTTGGTTAGGATGATACGTTGTGGTCTTGTTACGCAGCAGTTCCGTGTTGACGGCGGTTCGAATCCGCCTCTGGGCACATTTCTTTTGATTTTTGCCTCTTTTGATGACGAGTGTGAGCAGTAGCGAGCTGCGATGCTGTCTGTGAAGCAAAACATTCAGGAAAGGAAGTTTTTGGTACACTTTTAGTCGAATATACCTTGATGTGTCTGTTTTGCCGCAGACGATCCTGCCTCACTTCACGACACTGCAGGATCCAGCTTTCCACGTTTCCAGCACAGCCAGTTGTGAAAACTTGATTTTGCCTGGCAGCTTTGGCAGCTTTCCGTCTTGAGATGTAGCGAATCATAGCATCATGCATGTCTGATGACATTGGGGTATCTTTCATAGACGAACAAACACAGATCGTACATTTCCACTCCCCTTGACCACAAGGTCCTCCCCATCAACCTCCAACCTCTGAGCCTCATCCTCCTGCGGTGTCAAATCCGGCCAGTCCCTCCAAAGCTCGCATCCAGCCTGGCCTGTGAGTTCATGCCTCTTAACAAGCCTCACAACCCGGAGAGCCTGCTCCAGGTCGCCGACCTCGAACAACAGGATGTTCGGCCTCAACCACCGCGCAACATCCAGCAGCCGCGCATAAAACACATCAGCGTGGTCGCAACCCTCATAAACAGGCGTCGAGTCCCCAGGCACGAGCGCAAGTTTCGGCTCATACTTCCGCACCGAGTATCCCATCTGCCCCTGCCCGTATGTCCACACGTCACGCGAGATGTACGGTGGATTTGAGACGAGTACGTCGCACGGCGGGATCGTTCTCATCGCCGCATCGTCAAAGACGTCTTCACGCCTGAACGTGATACTCCGCTCCTCGCTTGGAGGTGAGAGCACCCCGGCGTCAACATTCCGCCTCAGATTCTCCCGCGACAGATCCACAGCCGCTTCCGAGACATCCACGCCGGTGACATCCACCGCTTCCGCCCACCTCGCGAGACCCTCGTAAAGTCCGAGTGCAATGCATCCCGTCCCCGTACAAAAATCCACAACCCTCACCTGATCCCGCATCTCAGGCAGGCTGGCCTTGACCACGTCGGCAAGATGCATCACGTAGGCCTCCGTCTCGGCGCGGGGAACTAGAACGCCCGGCCGGCACCGGATGTCGAGCCTTCCAAAGGGCTGCGATCCGAGGACGTACTGCAACGGCACGCCGCGTCCCCGCTTCGCACATAACCTCGCCACGCGAGCTTCCTTGCCTTCTCCCGACAGCTTGGGTCCGCGATGCAAGGCCAAAGTCTCCTGCACGTGCGCCCTGATCCATCGCAGCTCGTTCGCGGCCGACTGGATGTCGCGGCATGCGGGCAACAGAGTCCTGACGTGCGGCGAGACGGCCGCCGCCCGGCGGAATAGGGATGGTGCCAGGCGAGGCATGTCAGGGCATCTGCGGGTTAAGCTCTGGCGTTAGTCAGGTAGCCTGTCGCATGTTGTTGGTGCGTGGTAAGCTGACGTCTTCGCCGCGGGTGTCTTGGAATGAGACGAGATGAAAGTTTGTCGATGGAACAGGCGGATGAAGTTGATTATGGGAGATTATTGACCAGACTTTGGAGGGATGAGGAAGCTTTTTTCTTCTTTTTTTTCTGGGGGTGGGAGAGCTCGGAGCTTGGGCCACTCCTACCAAGCACCAATGACTTACACGATTGCGCGGATGGGGGTGTCATCGGATTTCCGCGATACGTCCAACTCTGACCGATGGTTTGTTTCATGTGCAGGTCTTAGGATGAACTTTGCGATGCTACGCCTCGGGGAATCTGATGACTTCGGACCTTGGCACTTATGGGATTCTTGGTGCTCACAACATCGCCGAGTGAGGGGTCGCATCGGCGGGCTTCGTACGGTAAACCATAGGATATCAGCCAAGGTCTGAGTGAACGGCAGTAGTATGTATTCCTCGCCAAAAAAGAAATGGGTAATCGCGGTCCAAGGACAACTTCAGATATCGTACAATGATAGTGTTACAACGTCTCGAACAAGAAACGATGGTATATCGTCCAACCACCAACTCCAAAAAAGCAGTAGCAGAAAAACCACTCCGTAGCCGGGAACCTCATTCAACCTCCGTGACAGTGATATTCATGACGTTGTTCTTGTAGTCCTTGATGAAGCTCTCATACCTCGGGTAGACGTTTTCGTCGTCGACCTTGAGGTGACCCGTCTTCTGCTTTCCCTTGTCGACGTCCGCGTCTTTCTCATCTTCAGTCTCCGTTTTGCCATCGGAGTCCCTCTCTTCTTCCGCCTCTCCTTCTTCCTCTTCCTCTTCCGCTTCCTCTTCGTCATCCTGCTCCTCGCCTTCAGAGTCTTCGTCCCAGAAGTTGCCGTCTTCGAAGTAGTAGTCGGCCCAGTCACCGTAAATCTCAAGCTCGGGCTTCTGTTCCCGCTGCTCCTGGGTCTTCTCCTTCTCCTTCTCAGCGGAACTCGGGCGCGGCTCCGGCAGCCACGATTGGAATCTGGAGACGGGTGCACCGGAGTTGAGTATCGTCTCCCTTGACGACCGCCAGGAGTACTTCCTCGGCAGAGACTCTGGGCTCATCTGGTGAACAATGTGGTCCGACGGGGGCGGGGTAGTCGGGTCGGGCGCAGACTGTAGGCGGGGATCCGTGAACGGTGTTGCCGGACGATCCTTCACAGGCGTCAGGAGCGGTGGTGTCGAGGGGGTCGATGGGCCAGCTGAATCGTCGTCGACCATTGTGGGCGACGACACCTCCGCGGACGAGCGGAGGGTCCTGCGTTGAGGACACGGCGAGTCGATGTCCCGTGTCGAGAAGAGGGACTCGCTGTCGTCTGACCAGCGTGACATTTGTGCCTTCGGTGTGTGCTGGTCCAGACGAGAATGGCTTCGAGAGAGCGTGGGCGGGGGAGAAAGCGGCACCATGCGAACGGTCTTCTTGGGATCGGTGCTGATTTCTTCGACGCTGTCGTCTTCCAACTCGTAAACGTCCGCATCGCCTGCATCGCTAACGCTCGGTGACGGCAGATGCCCAGACCGTTTTGTCGCCGTCGTAGACTTGGTGGAGCTCCTCCCGACCTCCACGACCCTCGCTGGGCCAGATGAGTTTGTCCTGGCAAGCCGTGCCTCCTCGAGGTGTACGCTCTCCACTCGCACGCTCCGTAGACACCTGCGGTCCTCCAACTCCTCATCCGGGTATGGCCACATCTTGAGGTTCTTCACAGCTCCCCTCTTGTTCTCCTCTTGCCTCTGCAGCGACATGAGAAACTGCATGCATTGCTCGTCGTTCGGGATCGCCGTCCTCGAGATGGGCCTCTCCGGCCGGTCCGGGGTGTGGACGATTTGAAACGAGGACTCGTCCATCACCTCTCTCGTCGCAGATCTTGGTGACAATAAGCTGTTTGGGGATTTCGGTGACCTCGGAGACTTTGGAGACGGTATGAGGTTTTTGATCTTCAGGCCTCGTAAGTACGGCGGCAGCTGAGCCGTCCAGTTCGATTTTCTCCCATGGTTCTTCATATTGACGGTGTCCGGAATTGTCCACGAAGACGGTAGAGCCGCTGGCGGGGCTGCATGTTTAATGTCCATGGCATCAAAGGCACCTTGAAGAGCTGCAGGGGCAATTCGGACCTGGACGGCGAAGGTTTAGCTGCGCATGCACTGCCGGGGACATCTTCTTTGTAAAGGCTGCAGAGAAGAAAGCCATCATGGTTCCGTCGAGTACTGCCGACAAAGAATGCTTAGTTGAATGGCTTCTCATTTCAGCCAAAGACATCGAGGAATGTGGCGACTCGAGCAAAGTTTACCACCCCATTCCTTTGTCCGGATGGTGATCCCCGGCTCCCCCAAAAAATAAACGCCAAAGTATGAACCACCCCCGCGTAGTCTGATCTTATCGCTGTCATCCCTCGCAGAATTCGAGACACATTTCCCCACTGTCTTTACTACAGCCCAACTGTAACAGTCATATGATTACTCAGGAGCAGGAGTGTAGGAGGGAGCTCGTGGCACAGGACCTCGACATCCGAAAGGTATTGCACGCTCGCCGGCTCATCCTGGCAGGTTCCCTCGGTGGGCACAGGCAACGTCGTGAACAACACAGCTGTATCCCTGCTGTTCTGCTGCATGAGCTCATTGAGGATGACGTGCTGTGCTCGGGACGGCAGATCATTGAATGAGAGGGCTATGCCTTGTGTGGCGTACGGCGAGCCCTCTCCTTCACCACCCGGCCTCGAGTCTAGTCTGTAGCGTTCTACGAGCTCGGCCATGTTCATGTGAGCATCTCCCGGATCCGTGGAAGCCACTGAATCTTTGCGAGATCTCGGCTCTAGAAAAGCTGTGGGAGGATCGAAATCATCAGCGGCTGTAACTCTCATCTCTGGGACGGGACGGCTGGAGAAACGTCCCGTCGAGGACTGCCTTGAGAAAGCCGGCCTTTCCGCTCGCGGTGTCTCTTCTTCCGTGGTATCCGCGAACATGATGGTTGGCCCGGACGTTCCCTCAACGTCGGTTCGGGTTTCTGGCACCGGTCGGCTGGAAAATCGCAGTGCGGAAGATTGTCGAGATAGAGCCGGCCGAGCAGGTGTTGCGGATCCAGAGACGCTCGTCGGGGGCAAATCGGCCTGAGGAATGCCACTTGTCGGCCGAAACCCGCCCAAAGAGCGCGCCGTCATGTTGCGGTCTAACCCGGGTCTCTCAAGCGGCGTTGGAGGCGCTGACACATTGTCGGCGACCGCGTGGCTAGTCTGCGACTGTCCCTCAATCCGAGCTTGTGCAACCATGGTACCATAACTAGTACTTGGTGCTGCGTTCTTGGTGGGTTGATTGGCACCTCGTCTCCTAGAAGGTGTGGTGAGTAAGTCGTCACTCTGGCTTCGTCCACGTCCCTTCCCCTGGAGTAAGGGTCTCCTTGGCGCTTCAACTTCAGCAGTCTCGTCCTCGCTGTACTCGCTGTCTCCATGCTCGAATTCGGAGTCCGAGTCCAAGCAGGATGGCTGTTGTTCTTGTTCGCTGAGTTCGCCCTCTGAGTTGGAGTCATCCTCGAAGACCTCATCTCCCAGGTGAGACGTGTGAATTCCAACGCTGACGCCAAGTCGGGAGAGATTCGACACGGTAGGCCTTTTCGGTATTTCGCCGAAATGTACCATGCTTGGCCGCCGCCCACTTTCAATGTCTTCGAGAGGGACATGCGGATTGAAGACACCAGGGCGACCTGCTGTCGACTCGATGATGTTGGCGAAGGAGGTTAGCTCGTCGGTTGAGTCCAGGTTCGGAGCCCGTCCCCGCAACCTCTGTAAGTCATCCCACCACTCTTGATCTTTCAACACGTCGTGAACTAATATTTGGGACTCGAGATTGTTGGTGGACCCGTTGATGATGAGCTCGTACGTGTTCAAATGCCCCGAAGCCAGCCAGAATACTCTGACCTCGGCCTCGATCCTGAGCTTGTCCAGCAGAGCCTTGACTCGTGCCCTCTCTTCCTCCAGCTCGCTTTCATATTCCACAAAGACCATGATGCGAACGTCATACACCCTGCTCCAAGCAGGAACGCTGTGGAGAATGTAGCCAAGTTGGAGTATCAAAGTGTCTGTGACAAGTCAGCCAGAGGTCCATCAAGGAAGCAGAGGACATACATGTATCAAAATTCGTCGTCAAGACGCTTTTCCCGTCTGACAATACCTCTGCCGACATTTGTATTGGCCATAGATCAATGTACTTCTTCGTGTTGGCCTTGTCCTTTCGCGGCGTTTCAAGCTTCTCGAAACCCTTGCCGATGGCGACATTGAGCTTGTGTCTCAAAGCCAAGTCCTCCAGCATGGTCATATAGCTTGTAACGCTCATCATCCCTTCAGTCTTGATTACATCAGTAGGAAGTGTGCCTTCAAGCAGGCGTGCTGAAGTATCACCGCGTCTTCGGCGTATAGGTCTCTCGGTAGTTTTCGGCCGTGGACGAGTTGCCGAAAGGTTTGAGCTCGGAGGTTCGGGCACTGCCAGTGAAGGGCGCGAATCTCTGAGCTCATCCATGTTGTAGAAGCCAATAACCGCAATATTGGGCCGCATGCCGCCAAGACCAGCCGAGAGAATCAGATTTCGAATGCCCCAATTGATGGTTGGAGACATGGTCAGTTGCACGAACGCTTTGATTCTCGAGAACTCCGAAATGTACTTGGTCCAAGCCGCCTGCTGGAGCCTCGCTTCGTGAACACCGCTGCTGAAGTCATCGGTTACAATAACATGGCCGAGGATGTACAGACCCCCCTTTTTCATGGAGTTGCAGAATTGGATAAGTCGAGTTTGGCTTCGGGGGTTGTTGACGAGGAGGATTATCTGCGGGCGCCAAAATTTGATGTGCTCAGGCCTCAGTCGGAGTAGATATTTTCTAACCTGATGGTAAATCAGGTTTTGTGAGACATCTCCCCATCTCTTCGGTGGACTGAGGTAGTGAATCAAGGAAAAGAGGAAGACTAGCAAACAGATCGCAGTAGCCGCATACGTCTGGTCGATGAAGAACATGGCCGCCGCAGACATGATACTCCCAGCAAAGGCTGTCTGCCAACTAAAAAATTTGAAAGCAGGTCTGAAATTCGGGGCTGATCCAATCCTCAGAAGGAAGCAAGCCAGGTTCATGACGAAAAAGGTCATCTGCCTCGTATCAGGCTCAGAGCTCAAGGTAGAACAGGGCAGACACTCACCTGGTAACCCATTGAAATGAGAGTCGCAATCTGATTCAGGTTGGCGAGCATGGAAACCTGAGCAAGCCCGTAAGTCAGGAGAATGGCAAAGATCGGCTCATCGGCTCTCTTCGTCCCCTGACTGAACGGTTTGAGACCTGGAAGGAGCTTGTCTCTTGCTAAAGCCTGCATTAGCTTGGCCGCGCCTATCAGTCCCATGACGGCGGAAAAGAAGGTGACTGCACACTCTCCAGCAAGAATAAGCGGCATGGAAAGGCTAGTGACCGAGATAATGTTGGTGTTGTTGAGGAATGAAGCATGCGTTGTGGTAGCAGCCATGGAAAAGACAACAACCAGGTACGCGATGAACGTAGTCATCATAGCCCAGAGCGTCCCTTTCGGGATGTCTTTACTAGGATTACGCAGGTCTCCCGACATTGATGCCCCTGCGAATATCCCAGATGTGGCAGGAAACAAGATGGCAAAAAGCTCTCGGAAAGTCTCAAGCCCTTTATATGATTCGCTCTTCGTGTGAGGAGCAAAATTGTCCACCAAGGTCTCGAGGCTGAATCCAGTGAATCGCACGCCAAGCTCATCGTCCCGAAAAGGAGCCTTGAACAGGGCAGATATCGGAATACTCAAGATGGCAAGAGTAAGAATGACTAGAAGTGCATTGCTGGCCTTGGCAAAAATGCCGCTTCCCGCCAAACACAACCCAGCGCAGAGCAGCAGAGCTAAGGTCTGGAGAAAGTAGGTCAACCAAAACCCCGGATCGAATGATCCTCCCGTGTTCAGCTTAATGCAGTCGATCAGACCAACAACGTTGAGAGCGGTGTTGAAGACTTGGGCAAGATAGAAGAGCACGCCGATGGAACCGCCAAACTCGGGGCCTAGAGATCTTGAGATCACGTAATAGGCCCCTCCGCCCTTGACCTCGCCATTGGAAGCTACGGCAGAGAGGGAGAGTGTTGTCAAAAAGTCCACAAGATAGGCGGTTACCAGCAGTCCTGTGGGCAGTGTTAGTCTGTGCCAATGTGAAAAAAAGGCGTCTATTTGGTGCCGACGAACCAAGCATGCCTAGAAGTCCAACTTGGCCGAGAATCCAACCGAAACGAAGGAACATCAAGATGCTGAAGATGTTGAGACAGACCGGGATGTAGACACCAGAGATGACATCCAGCTTGGGCTTCTTGCTGGCCTGTTCCATACTGGAAAGGCTGGGTCGTCTGTCACCGCCCATGGTGAATGGGAGTGGTCCGAAAAGGGGTGACAGCCGGCGTTGGGTCGGTGCAACGATGCGGAACCCGTGCCGAAGAGGAGCTCACGGACGCCACCTCCGCACTTCTCTCTCTCAAGTCGAACAAGTGGGAACACGATTCGAGAGATGCGAGATCGAGAGAAGCAATGGGGTTCGGTGGAAGTAACAAGCGGGAAACGTGTTGCTATAAATGCCCACCCATAACGGCACCGAGGTGCAGGTTTGTCAGAGCCTCCTATCCTGTCCTTCCTCTGCGCATCCACAAGTATGGTTGAACGATGGCTGTCGACGGTTGATTATGGCGACCAGTAATAGAATACCCTAGTAAGACTGGCGGGCCGCACAGGCATCTAAATGGTCCGGCGCATGTCTCGCGTACTCTCTTGTCGTCTCGTTTTCAGGGTTCACCGTTCTGCGTGCAAGGGATATCTGGGCCGATCCAATGCAAGCCTCTTGAATACCCCGCGTGCCGATTGGGAAATGCGATATCCTCCAACCTGTCGCGGTCGGATTTTAGTGATCCACACACACAACCAAGACCATAGGCATGCAGCTGGTGCAGAAGACGCAGAAGATGTGCCCAAGGTGGAAGACTAACGACGTCATTTTGGCAGTGCAAGACAGGTCAAACCGTGGGCCAGTGTTCCCAGGGCGGTGCGCAGTGTGCTTGCAGCGCTTAACAGCGAACAATTTTCACAAGCATCGAGATGCGTGCTCCTGTCCTCCGCAACCGGTGATGTTGGATGTCTGGGAATCTGGGAATTGGATGACGGGGGCCCGCCGGTTTGTCCGATGCTGGTGTGCCCTATTCAAGGTTCTCCACCGGCATCCGTCGATTGGGATATCGTTTTTGCAGCCCCTGTTCTTCAACAGACCTGGTTCGACAATCCATCTGATGCGGGCATGGCCGGGTTACGCTCCAAAATAGCAGAGGGGACCAGTAGGTTGACTCAAGCGCATGGCGGCGGCATTCGATCAATAGCAGAGATTGGCCGTTGGTACTGTGGCTTGTCTGCATGGGCAAGGCGGCGTGAGCATGGAGTTGTTCAGCTTTCGGTGTGCCGTGTCCTTCTCCGGTGGTTCCATGACTCGATGTGGTTTCAATCTCAGAGGTGAAGGATGCACGGGTTGCTAGAGCGGTAAGGCCTCCAGGTCCATCGTACCGCTACATCCGCGCTTGCCAAGCTGGAGCCGCCAAAGCTGGAGCGCTCGTCGCGGGGCTCGGGGTCACACCAGGGCGGGCAGCCAACGCCCAGTGTGGGTGGACATGTAGCCCCCCACACTGACGATTGCCATGCAGAACGACCAATGATGGGGGTTCGCTTACCCACCTCCCCCATTTTTGTATTACCTAAGCCGTGGTTAGCGAGACTTGATTATCGATAAGCCTAACAGATAAGGTCAGGTCTGCTGCTGAAGGTTGCTGCACCTGATGTTTTTAGCAGCTGAGCAGTTTCGAGTCCTGGTTGCACATGACGGGGAACGAAGCCAGAGAGAAACCTCCAAAACAATAGATTGCTTTCGTGGCATAAGAAATTATGTAAGGCTTTAACGTAGTCGGGGGATGTCCGATTTCGAAAGAGACACATGTCCTGGTCTGGTACGGATATCAACCCAGTAACACGCTTGAATCAGGGGAGCAGTCATCCGTCGCCTCAGTGATGCTTTGGTGGCTGGTGCGTTCTTCAAGTGAAGGTACAGGCTGCGAGATTCGCGACAGCACCGGAGCCTGGCGCTGCGGATACCTAACACATAGTCGAACCCTCTCGGCAGAAACAACAGCCCGAGAGCCCCCCTGGCAGCGGAAAGCAGCCCAGCGGGTTTCGGCAAGACAACACAACAGGTTATGCACCTCCACGAGCCACAGAGCCGCTGACAACACTATCAAAGGTACCTGTACCGACGCACCTTGAGCCACAGACCTCCAGACCTGCCAGATTAGGTCACCCGACCCGCCAGGAAGACATCCTTATCACGGGTTCCCAGCAGCAACAGCTTCGACCGCACATCCACCGAGCGCGCTTCAATTGATCTCGTCAGCTGTCTTGCAACTCAGCCCAGGTAACCTCCTCCCGTACTTGAACTGCTCCACATCTCCTCCATCTTCTAGCTCCCGTCCTGCCCTTCGCTCCATCTCAACTTTTGTTTCCTGTGACACGCTGTGGCTGACTTTGTCCGTGTGTTGATCCAGATCGGAGTCTTGCGACGGCCTGCTTGGGTGCTTCCGATATAGCCCTCACCAGCATACGATAACGCCTGAACAGTTTTATCAGACGCCGAGATGGCTTCTCCTTCGAGAGATTCCTTCAATATCCCCAGGGCTGACTCCCCGTTCCGACAATATGGCACCTCTCTCCCCCGAGCAGACGCCACCGCCAGATTGGCTTCGCCTGTGCCCTCGGCTCAGTACGGTACTCCCCAAACAAACCGCATTCCCAGCCAAGGAGCAAATAGATCAGGCGAAAACGGAGAGTCTGGGAGCCTCACCCCTCTAGCTGGAGCTGCTGGTTCGAGCGTCCAAGGTCCTGGCGTCTCGGCTTTGGCAGCAGCGCTGTCCAACTCTCTAGGAACCTCTCCACCGAGACACGGCACACCACCAGTTCGTTCTGGTACCCCTCCTCCAAGACCCCTCTCTCCCGCTGCTGCTGGTGCCCAGCTGTCAAGCACTCCCATGACGAACTACGGCTCGTTCGACTCCCGCTCACGCGGAGCTGCTACCGGTGCCTACGAAGACCCCGAAATCGTCAAGAGGCATTTGGTACAACCTTCGGACGCTCCCTCGGAAGAGTCGAGCATGCGTGATGGAGTTAAGGGGAAGCAGACTGCCGACAACGAACTCGAGACCGGACTGAACGAGGACGAATTCTCAAGCTTGCAGTTGCAGGGCGGTGACGTTACGCGAGGTATCTACAAGTGGACTGAAGATGCGGAATCTCGGAGCAAAGTCCAGCGCAGCAAGAGCTTCAGCGTTTCTCGACCGGATCCCGAAACCGATATTCTTGACATTAATGCTATCAAGGTCCCGGGTGGGTTCCGTCGCAACTATCTGCGCAGAGCGGCCAGGAGTCCTTCCACGGTCCGAGACGGTGGTGAACGGGGCGAGCCTAGCAATGGCGGTGCTCAGCCACGGTTGCTCACTTCAAGCTTCCTCGAGTTTCTTACCATCTACGGCCACTTCGCTGGCGAGGAGTTGGAGGAAGACGACGAAGCGCTCATGCCTGGCGAATACTTTGGGTCTGGTGGAGAGGACGACTACTACGACAGCGACGAGGGTAGCGAAGACGACCGGGAACCGATGGAGGATAGCGCGCTTCTCACGCCGTCGCGTCATAAGAGGAGAAGGAAGCAGCGGGGAGGAAGTGGAAAGAACAGCCCAATGAGTGCCGCGCTGTTGCTCCTCAAGTCGTTCGTGGGAACTGGTGTTCTCTTCCTTCCCAGAGCTTACCTGAACGGTGGTATGCACTTTAGCAACCTGGTGCTATTGGGTGTGGCCGCTCTGAGCTATTACTGCTTCGTGCTTCTGGTCACCACTCGTCTCAAGGTCGAGGGCTCGTTTGGTGACCTTGGTGGCATTCTCTACGGTAAATGGATGCGAGGTATTATCCTCTTCTCCATTGTTCTGAGCCAGATTGGATTTGTCGCCGCGTACATGGTTTTCACATCAGAAAATCTACAAGCCTTCCTCTTGGCGGTCTCTGACTGTAAGACCAACGTAGGCGTCAAGTGGTTGATTCTCCTGCAGGTGCTTGTATTCCTACCCTTCTCACTGCTCCGAGACATTGAGAAGCTGAGTTTTACTGCCCTGATTGCGGACGCCTTCATTCTGCTCGGCCTGGCTTACCTGCTGTACTACGACATCTTCACCTTGAGCACCAGTGGTCTGGCCGACATTGTCTACTTCAACCGCAACGACTGGACATTGTTCATCGGCACAGCCATATTTACGTTCGAGGGCATAGGTCTCATCATTCCCATCCAGGAGTCGATGAAGAATCCCAGCAAGTTCCCTCGGGTCATGTTCGCCGTCATGATCATCATCTCCGTCCTTTTTATTGGCATGGGTGCCATCTCCTATGCCGCCTATGGATCCAAGACGGAGACTGTTGTTCTCTTGAACTTGCCCCAAGACAGCAAGCTGGTCAACAGCGTGCAGTTCCTGTACTCTGTTGCCATCATGCTGTCTATTCCGCTGCAGCTCTTCCCCGCCATCAAGATCACGGAGAATGCCTTGTTCACGAAGAGTGGCAAGTACAACCCGTACATCAAGTGGCAGAAGAACATGTACCGCTTCTTCTTCGTCTTCCTGTGTGCTTTCATCGCGTGGGGTGGCGCGGATGATTTGGACAAGTTTGTGGCCCTCGTCGGCAACTTCGCATGCATTCCCCTTGTCTACATCTATCCGGTAGGCTTACCAAAGAACAACGTTCGGATTACGCGGCATGCTAATCATTTTACAGCCTCTTTTGCACTACAAGGCGGTCGCGAGAAACAGGTGGTGGAAGATTTCGGATATTTGCCTCTGTATCTTTGGTGTTGTCGCCATGGGCTACACGACTGCCATTACCGTCTACAGCTGGGCGAGCGGCTCCACCGAACCCAGTACTCCCGGGTACTGTGATCGGAGATAAATCTTGGAGGAAGAAGAGGGCAGTGCATGCAGCCGCATTTTACTTGTTACGAACTGCTGTCTGAAAAGCGTTGGGTAGTCACTGCATGGGGTCCAGCGGGTTCGTTTGGGTGGTTTTGGACAGCATAGGTCGGTCGGCAGTGAGTAAGGGATCGTAGATAGACTGTTCAAGATCAGAGGGCTCGTCGCCACGTTTATATTCTGTACCAGTACGCATCAGCTAAGCTTTCAATTACAATAACACTTTGTCTCTCAAGCTCCACAGGTTGAACAAGTTGCTTCTTAACCGTCTCCTATTGTTCGAAAATCCTGCTTCATGACTTCCTTATTCACCGTCCTATATGGAAGCCCGTTCGTTAAGACTGCGGTCCACAGTTCCCCGGGCCCAGACCGGCTCCGAATGTCATCCGGGTCGGGGGAACATCGCACCGCCACATTTTTATATGTGGCGCAGTCAGCTCTGTCCTGACCCACATTTTGGTTTTGCGAACCTCAAAGGCAACCACTCAGTCGCTCACTCTTGCATCCATCTCTAAGTTCCATCATCCTTCAAGGTCAACTCATAATTTGAGAGGTCAACTCTGCCAGGTAGATCTCTGTTTGCGAGTGAGGAGTGATCCGTTTCTGACACTAGAAATAGGCTCCCCAAAGCTATCCCGTCTTGACCTATTTGACCGCTCGCGTCCTCCGCTCTTTTCAACTTGTTCCAGTCCGCCAACTCCCTCATAATCCGCACTTTCACTACGCCAACATGAACGCCCCCGATCGGTAAGTGGAGAAAACGCAGTTCTGACTTTGGAATTTCTGTTTTGGACTCTCTTTTGGTCCATATCCACGGCATCCTGCTGCCCGCAACTGGCCTCTGTGCATCATCCAGTGGTGATTCATTCGTCCTGACCCTCGCACCCACTCGAGGAAGTGGCATCACTACACCACACGTCCTACGTCTGCCTTATTTCCGGTTGAGCTTTCTTCTCTCCTCAAAACACGTTTGATTTGCAGCACGCATTGTTTGCGTTTCTTTTCGCCACTGGCATTACCCACGGCCCCAAAATGCTTTCCCCCTGTTTGAAAGCAAGACTACCCAGCTTGGAAAGCATCATAACTCGACTCCGGTTTCAGAAGCGAAGCATCGACTGAAGCTAACATACTCCCAGTTTCGAGCTTTTCCTCCTCGCCGATGGCGAAAAGAAGATCGAGGAGAAGGTATTCTCCGGTAAGCAACAAACCCCCTGACGCTGCCTAGAAAAGTAGGCTAATCCAGCATTTAGGAATGTCCAACACCTCCGACTTCATTCTTAAGAAGGAAGACCATACTCTGGGCAACCTTCTTTCGGAGCACCTGAAGCAGCACAAGAACGTCCTTATGGCCGGCTACAAGAGTTCGTCCCACTAGTCATCTAAACAGCAACTTCCTCTTTCTGACCCTCCCTCTAGTCGCTCACCCTAACGTGCCTGAACTCTTTATTCGCGTCCAGACGGACGGCACCATCACGCCCAAAGAAGCCCTGGTCCAAGTCATCAAGCGCCTCATGCAGGACTTCTCCCACCTCAGCCAGGAGTTCACCCGAGAGTTCGAGCTGCGCCGCATGGTCGAGGCCGGCCGGTCTAATGCACAGGGCCAGTAAGATGACGGATGAGGAACGATATCGGAATTTTGCTTTTGTTCTGGGCGTTCCGGGCGGGCATTTGGTTATATAACGATAACGGAAAGGCGGGGTCTGATACCACGAAGATGGCACAGGTAATCGATCTGTCACTGCTGGTTTATGGTTCTTTTTCTTCCTCGCGGCCGTGGTTTTCGTGCTCTCGGGAGTAGGACAGCTCTATAACGAGGGGAAAAAAAATACTTGGTCATTTCGAATTACGTCATTGACTACCCGAGGTCTCTTGTTCCCGTGAAGTCCTGTTTATGCTGCGCCCAGCAGAGCTTTTGCCTCGCGACTCCCGAACTTGACATCTCTCAATCTTCATGGCCAGCTATGACCCGTTGTCTGCTGTTGTACGATCATTTGGCGCACTCCAAGTCCTTGCTATCCATCCCTAGACCAGCCCGGTGCTTCTCTAAGCTTGCAGAACAGTAGATACCCAGCCCGTTCACCGGCTCTGCATCGGTCTCCTATACGGTTACAGGTACGGGTCCCTCTCCGCCGGGAATGAGCTGTAGCTTTGTGAGCACAAGAGTTCGGGGTGCTAGAGTTCTGAGAGTTGCTCACCATGCAGATGTTGTTGCCGTTCAGAAGAATCTTCGGGAGCTTGGTGTGGTTTCCAGAGTAGTCACTAGGCTATCGTTAGCAGGCGTTTATCAGCTCATCTCAGGAGGCTGCCACGCACAACTCGGTAACGTCCTCCAAAACCATGTCTGCAGAATTGTTAGTCTCGAACTGTCAACGGACAAACGAAAGCCGGATGTTACTCACTGACGTAGTCATCGAAGCCAAGGAGAGTGCCGCTGAATTCTGTCTCATCGAGTCAGAGAGTCCTTCAACCGCAAGAGTCCCGCGAGCATGACGCACCCTTGTCACCCTTCATGACAACCCAGATTCTCGATCCGACACACTTGTCGATGAGTTCTGTGCATGTCAGCTGCTAGACTTCTGAGTCGATGCCAGAGGGCCCTACCAAGAGGGAGAAGTTGAGACGCCATTTGGTCGACTAAATTGCGCAACTCAGACCCGGTTCGCAGTGTCTTCACTCGTTCGATAACGGCTTGGAAATTTGCAGGGATTGCAGCGGTCAGTTGGGGTGATATACGGCTCGACTTGGGATTCGTGCCAGCCGCCAAAACGTCGAAGCTTGAGATGACCGTGGTGAACGAGAGGTGTGAGAACAAAGTTAGAGGCGTGAGCGTAGAAAGAGTCATGTGATTGATCGTCTGATCTCGCGTACGTGACTAAGCCGAAAGTGGATCAGGGTCGTGGCTGCCGGAGCTGGAGCTCCCTCTCCGTCTTAATGGCCACCGTGATTCAATCGCGAAGCTAATTGAGCCCCTCCATCACTCAAGACGCGTCTGCCCGACTGACGGACGAGTTCCAGATTTGCCACGCCATGCCCGCTGGCAAACATGGCGCATCACCGTTGCTCCGGATGCATTCGTCAACGGCATTGAGTGGTATTTCCAGACGTTCCATTCCTAGTTCACATTCTTTCCAATCGCTTTCCGCATCGCGGAGTTACGCGTACGTTTTGCGCCAATACCACTTACACGATGTTATAGACACGACTGACGCCGGTGATAGACGTTCCAGATCAACCATGTATCCTACTGCCTACGGTCGGCTTTGGCATCCCGGCCATGGCATAAACTTTGCCAACGGGCGGCCGAATGAAGATGCGCATCCGCATGTCGATATGCTTCGCTCCTTGCACATTACCTCCAGGAACCCGCTACAGACGGCCGCAGCAACAACCAACGAAGATAACTATATCCACTCCGAGGAAGACGATCCGCCCTTCTCGACAGCACCCGAGTATCAGCCCAGCTCAAACACAGACAATGTCTATTACCCGCCTCTGGCAGGCGACGACGTTGTTCAGGCGGAAGCCGACCCTATTGCGGTGTCTCAGGGAAGTAGTGATGCCGTGGAGCCATACCTCACAAATTTGGACTTCAAAATTCCACCAGACGCCTTTCGTGAAGCACAGAGCGCGCCCGCGGGATCCCCAGAGTCATTCTACTCCTACACGCTTTACCGTGGACCTCCCGGAGAAGATGGCGAGAAAAAAGTCAAGGTCCACTACTGCAGGAGCAAGCACACCATGGAGCAAGTGTGCCAATACTTCTTGAAAGACGACGTGCTCGGTTTCGACCTGGAATGGCTACCTGATTCGAGAAAAACTGACGGGCCACGGAAGAACGTCTCCCTGATCCAGCTCGCGAACGAAAGTCGAATCGCGCTGTTTCACGTAGCGTTGTTTCCTGAAAAAGACGAGCTTGTCTCGCCGACGTTTGTGAAAATCATGGGGAACGCTAATGTGAGAAAGGTCGGCGTGGCTATCAAGGGGGATTGCACTCGGTTGCGAAACCATCTCGGGGTTGACACCAAGGGAATCTTCGAGCTCAGCCACCTTTACAAGCTCGTCAGGTACTCTGAAGAGCGCAAGTACGACCTGATCAACAAGAGGCTGGTGCCATTGGCTGTGATAGTCCAAGAACATCTAGGGTTGCCCATGTACAAGGAGCCAGATATCCGTTCAAGCGACTGGTCGCGGAAGATCGGGCTGCAGCAAATCATGTGTAAGTGTTGAAGACTCTACTCGACTTTCGCTTACTGACCTGACGTAGACTCTGCCACGGACGCGTATGCCGGGTTTCAACTGTACCATGTGTTGGATGGGAAGAGAGAAGCTCTCGACCCGACTCCCCCGAGACCACAACACGCGGAATTGAACATCCCGATCCGGCTTGCAGATGGAGTCTTGATTCCTACCGTGGGAGAAAGCACCGAGGATATTGACAACGACGCAAGCAAGACAACTGCAGGCCCATCTCTATATGCCCTTAGACAGGCCCGAGAAAACATGTTCATCGAGTTGGATGCCGAGAGCGAGTCCATCGCTGAGAGCATCCAGAGAGCGCCTTCGACTTCTCTTCCGAAGCTACCCCAAAGAGATCCACGAGTTCTAGCCGCGGATGAGGAGTTGGCGACCTACCGCACAACGACCAAGTCCCTCCGCGCTTCGGGCCCCGCCATTCGATCGTACTTTGTCTGGAGAGACAACGACGATCTCGACCCGGAGGCGATCTCCAAGATCCTCCGGCAGCCGCCGCTGCAGACCATGACAGTGGTGACGTACATTCTGGAAGCCATCAGGTTGGAGGGGCTGCCGTTCGACAAGAAGCGGCTCAGGGAAGAGTGTCTGAGCCGGTTGCCGGCAGAGGTTCTTCAGGGCAAGGGCAGGTACAAAACTTTGATGCAGGAGGCGAGCGAGCCTGATGCGTAGGAGGCGTCATCGGTTTGTCGCTGGGAGAGACTACGTAAATGTTTTACGGCGCTCAAGCCTGGGAAGAAGGCGACGACACGAGAAGTTTGATGACCCTTGGATGAAAGTACAATAGAGATACCCATATCAGTAAAAGAATGCCCTTTTCCCCTTTGAGGTTTATTCGTTTCAAGGCATGATGACAGCCAATGAGCTTCAACTTCAGAGCAACCTGTGAATAGCTTCTTGACTAGCAGATATTCATACCTATGGAATCCTGGGAGCACAGCACAAGACTTTAGGTCCAGTACCCCTGAAATGACCTGGAGGATGTTCGTAACGATGCGCAGCTTCTGGCCGACGAGACATGATCCAGATTTATCCAGATTTGACCGGTTCCAGTGTCTATGGCCATTAATTTTCGACCAAAAGAATCCCTCAAAAGAGACACCTCGTCCTGGAACGCTTGAATCGGAGCAATCGCTTTTGAAGCTCACGGCATCTTGTCCTAGGTCACTAGCGATTGGGGACTCAGCCGCCATCACCATATAAGCTGAACTGGAAGAATTGTTCGAACAGCCTAATTACTATAGCTGCATGCGGCTCAATCGCCGCTTCGTCAAATAGAGACACTTCTCGCCTTTCTGCAGCTCAAGGAAACTCAAATCGTCCAGAAAGATATCGGGAAAAAGGGTTCACATAAGAAATGCAGACAATTGCCATGCTTAAAACGCAATATCCTTGCGCCCCGTTGAATCCAGTGCTATAATTACACACATCCCCTCCTTCAGGAAACCCTATTCTCGTCAATCTCCCATGATATCCTCACACGTGCACACGCGAGCTCATGCCAAAAAGCCTCCGTCACGACTCCATCGGAGCCCGTCCCCAGCCGCCGCCGTCCCTACCAGACCAATTAGCCCTTCGGGAACCATTTGCCGCGCGGGACACGCCCCCCTTGTGATCAGAGGGCGAGGTTGTAGCTATACTCATCCTCCATGTTCTGGGAGATCCAGAGCACGACGGAGCTGAGGCCGACGAGGGCGTTGGCGACGACGTTCTCGATGCCCATGCCGAGGGCGGGCATGCCGACGTCGCGGACGACGAACTTGAGGACGAAGACGGTGACGCCGCCGGCCATGCCGCCCGCGAGCGCGGCGAAGCCGAGGAAGAGCACGACGCGCGCCTTCCACGCGACCCCGTTGCCGCTGTACGAGAAGCTGTCGGCCGACAGCCGCGCCTTCTCGACCGAGTTGATGATGAGCATGCCCAGCGACGAGAAGATGAGCGGCAGCCAGTCGACGAAGGTGATGTGCGTGTCGGAGCCGTTCTTGGCCGACTTGGACCAGACGGCCGAGTCGAGCATGACGTAGAAGGCGATGGAGAACTAGTTCGGGTCCGCGACGTCAGTATACAGGTTCTAGGATGGTGAAGTCTGATTGATGGAGGGGAGGGGTTTCCGGCGCGGGACGTAGCCGCCGGCCGGCCGGGTTGGCTACGTCAGTGTCGCCGGGGAGCGGGAATCTCCAGAAAGAGAGGCACTCACCAGAGCTCCGGCGCCGTAGACGCCAAAGTTGCGCGCCCAGATGGTGTTGAGCCACTCGGGCTTGCGGAACTTCCAGAGGCGCTCCTCCTCCATGGCTGCGGCTGCGTCGTATGTGGTGATGTCGGGGTAGCTCAGGTACGTCGGGGATCGATGTCGTGGATTGTCGCCTACGACTTCTCGGGGCGACGAGGGTTCTTCGGTCGTCGGTGGTATGGTTTGATCGGGGGGCAACCTCGCGGAAGTTGCGATCGCTTTCGGTGGGTATTCGGTATCGGGCGGCGCTGGGTTTGGTTGCGGGATGCCGTCGGCGATGTTGAAGGCTAGGAAGGTAGGTTATCGAGGTGCCTTGGGCGCCTTGACGTTGATCCGGCACAGCTGAGGCGTCACAGTCCCCACTGCCTGGTCCCTGCCTCCCGGCCCCCGAAGCTTTCCCGAGTAATCACGTGACTTTTGGGATGTCACCTGATCGCGACTTCGTTGGACGTTCTATTTTGAGCCAAGTATCTCTGGCAGGTCTCGGCGTCTGGGCAAGGCGTGATATTGGTCTGGGCACTTACAATTAACTTGAGGTTGCCAAGAGAGAAGTCGCGAACCGTTGCGGCTGCTCGATGCTATTCTGGATTGGGCGCCTGACTGGGGAATGTCCCGCAAGTACCTCATCGGTCACTCCAGGACTCCGAGATGGGCCAAAACCCATATTCACAGCAATCCAAGACATCGAATACGAAGATACGGCGTGGATCCCTTTTCCGTAGATCTGATCGGAGCGGTCCGGTCTGTGGTCGTGTTCTAGGCTCATTCTTGACCCCCCGTTGACACCCCGCAAACACGAATCGGTTCCAGTCGAGTGGAATACGAGGTTGAAGAGGGGCATTCCTGCACCCCGACCACATTCGTTGCATACACACGACGATCTTTCGTCGCAATCACGTAGGGGACCGTAGAAAATTAAGCTTGGCTGTAACAGCCGACTTGAATTGAGGACTATTCCTACGCCCATGCCTCGGAGCGCTCGAGATAAAGAGTAGACAAAAGGTCCTAATAGTACACTACCAATTACTGGCACGCCTGCAAAAACCAGCCTGGAGGTCGCCGCGCGCAGCTCCACTAGGGAAGTGCCGTCGAAAACCCCCCATCAAGTAGCGACCATATGAGCCGTCCAAGATTGGCCGGTTACGCAGGTTGGTGCAAATGTACGTATGCCACGCAGCTATGTCCACAGACTGCAGAGTACTCAGAATGGAGAAATGACCACTCAACATAAGCTCGTCTCGGCCCTTTCCAGAGAGAGCCCAAAAAGAGAAGAAAAAAGTAGAAGAAAAGACTTCAAAAAGCCCAGCCGCCGTGTTCCCTGATGCTCGGAAAAAAAATAAGTCTTGAATGTTGTATGACCTGCGGACGTCCTCTCATGATGATTAGAGCCACGGACGCCTCAAACGCCGATGTTTTGCTGTATGACGGGCCCCGTTGCGTAACGAGGCCCCGAGAATAGGGGAAACCGTATCGTCGTTCTGTCGTATCCAGTTTTACACGCCGTCTATATCTCGATCTCCTTCATCGGCTCATCCGAGACCTCAGCCTTCTTGCCGTTGGTCTTGGCAGTGGCTGTTCCGTTCGTGGTGCCGTTCATCTTGCCCTCGGGGTTCTCATTCTCCTTTCCTTCGTCTTCAGCCGTCTCGGCATGTGCCAGTAACGATACGCGGGAGCCCTTGGGGGTGTCTTCGCTCGGTCTCGGGGTCTCGACTTCGACAAGCTTCGTGGGCTTGAGGCCGTTGGTCTGGAGATCAGGCAGAGGGGTTTCCTCGGCCACTCGTGCCAGAGGACTAGACTTGTTGCTGTTGCCATAGCCGGGGCGGCCGGGGCTTGCGATGGGAGAAGTGCCGCCCAGTCGCTGCATCGATCGGCCTCGTTGTTCGCCGTTGGCTTCGCCGTTCGTGGGGCTCGAGTACGGGGAGCTTGCGCCAGATCCGGCGGGAGAGCCAGCTCTGTTGGGGGGCACAACCGACTTGCGCTTTGCGGCTCGGCGACCGTACTTCTGATCCATGCGCCACCGCAGGATGCCGAAGTAGGGAGGCTCAACACGGGTCTCCTTGAACTCTCTCAACTTGAGCTCGTTGGTCTCCTCGTCCACAAACCACTTGCCGCTGTTCAGATCATCTGCGACCGTCGCGAGGAAATGGGCCCAAGAGCGTGCGACGACGTACTTGGTGTCGTAGTCGCGACCGAAGAGGACGATCTGTCCCCAGCTACCCTTCGGGCCGGGGGCAAGGTCCACGGCGAGGTTGTTGCCTCCCCAATCGCGAACAAGAGGAATCCACGCGGGATGGGCGTAAGATCGCTGAACTGCGTTGGGGGGGACAGAGTCCTGGCGAGCGATGAGATCCTGGCGCCAGGAGGGGTTGTGAGAGGGAGCAGGAGAGGCGGGTGTCCTAGAAGAAGACGCCTGGCTGCTTTGGCTACCGAGGGCCTTGGACGGCATGGCGGGCTTCTGGATAGCGGCTTCAGAGAGGAATTCCTGGTTGACCTTGCGCCACTGATCCCACTCCTGAACAATCTCCTCGCAGTCGAGCAACATGGAGCCGAAGATGATGCCAGTTGGCATGCCGAGTCGCTCCTGGCCGTCGTGGATCATCAGAGATTCTCTCACGTCAAGAGGGAGAGAGCAATCGAGCTGGTGCTCCAATTCGTTCAAATCGTTGTCGGTGCATCCCTCGCAAAGCTGATCCCAGAGCTCGGGGTAGTGCTCCTCGGCCCACGCATCAATCTTCTTCCACGAGTGCGAGACGGGAGGGGGAGGAGGGGAGCCATCCTGGAAGGATTGCATCTGCACATCGCCTGGGCTCTGCATCTCGAAGCCGTCGGCCTGACTTGTGCGCCGAGCCGACTGCGATCTCAGGCCGGGAGAGTAGGGAGTCGCAGCCGGGTTGGGGCTGGTGGGGGTATTAGGGATTCCACCGCCATGGTAGCTGCTATCGCGGGTGAGTCTGTTGTAGCTATCGTCGCCGTAAGGGGATGAGACGTCGGCGCGGGATTCGGAGGCGGTCGCGACGGAGGTCAGAATACCGCTCTGGCGATGGTTCAGAGGGACGTGTCGACCGGTTCGGTAAGGGGAATCAACGGTCGAGTCTAAAAAACGTCAGTGGAAAATCAAAGCGATCGCCAAAGTGTTCGGAACGTACGTCTGTCGTAGCTGGTAAGGTCGTGCCAGAGAGAGCGGAAAGCCGCACCGATGCTGTCAAATCGCAAAAGTCAATGTCTTGGTCCCTTCCTGCATGCCCCAAACAGGGACTGGACGAAAAGGAGAACGGATGTTGACGTACGAAGACGCCATGATTGGCGATTAGGCCCCGGGCCAAGATGGACAAGACAATGAGCTCGATCCGGGATTGAGTCGAGAAAGGAAAAAAGACGCGATCGGCCGGTTGCGGTTGTCTCTTGGTGAAGAACAAGAAGAAGGTTTCTAGAGTCTGGGGGTTGTTGAAGGGGTCGTCGAATTTACCCCTTTGGTTGTTGGCGTTGAAGTTAGGGGGTAGCGGCCGATTCGTCAACGGGACAAGAAGGTTGTCAGTCTGAGTGCGTCCTTGCAGCGGCCCCTAAAATGGGTCTTGGATGAGGGTCGTCGGATCGCAATGGGGTGAATGAGCAGATACAGATTCGAGTCGCCTTTTCCGCCGAGGTTGAGAAGAGAAGGCTTGCGGGTGAATCTGGGTGTCGAGAATATGGTTTTTCGACGCAACACGGTGAAGTCAGGGGCGGGCTGCGAGGGTTGTAATGAGTGTTTATGTCTGACGGGGCGTGGAATTTTTTAGAGTTGGGAACGATGGCGTAGTGAACCCGTCGCGCTTTCCCACAGTGCTAGTCGGGTATGAGTGTGAGTGTGAGTGTGAGTGTGAGTGGTGTGGGCGTGGGCGTGGTCACTGGTGGGTGCCCGTGGTCGCGCAAGGTGATTTGAAGGGGTTGAGAAGGCCGGCGAAAGCAATGCGGCCAGCAGCAGCAGCAGCGCAGTGGTAAGGTACCTTACGGTGCAGGTGCAGGTGCAGGGCAGCTAATGGACCTGGATTGCTGGAATACCTGGCAGCCGGCAGAAAAGAGACAGGGTGGTGTTGGAGAGGTCCCGCTCTAATTGGAGGTCCAGTCCAGTCCGTTCGAAGTCGGTCTGGCTTTTGAGGTGTGTTGCTGGTTGTCTGGCGGGTGGATAGCGGACTCTGTGGCACTCCAGGGGAAGGGAAAGGGGATCCAGTGTCAGCTTGTTGCTTGCTAGATCCGCGAGAGAATCTGCGTTCTGCTGGGAAAGACCGAGAGAGAGGGGTGTGGTGTGTGGTGTGTGGGACTTTTCAGAGCCGTTTAGGAGAGAGAAGGGGGCTTCCCTGGTCTCTCCTTTCTCTTAGGTTGAGAGAAAAAAAGAATCAGTGCCTTCCTTGTCCAGTCAGACAGCCAGAGATTAAAAAAGCAAATGCAGCAGCGACAACCCCAGGCTGAACCGGCAAGACGTGAGGCGAGGCGAGGTGAGGCAAAGTCAAGGTGTTATTCGGGACTCAGGCGATTCCTCTACTTGTCGAATACAGTAGTATCGACACGAAAAGCGAATGATGTATTGAGAGCGAGTGCTTGGTTTTGCGACGACGACGACGACAACGAGTGCGACGAGTCAAGACAACGATTGTTGGGACTAACGAGATTGAGGGGAAAGAAAAGCTGATGATGGAAGAAGAGAATCCGTGGCTTGGCTATCATCTCAAGATAAACCCAAGATAACAACAGCTCTATTGCCTTGGATCGTCATCATCAGGAGGACTGCGAATACAACATTACGACGCCACATTTTACAGATAGATACCTGCACACAGCTCATATGAGGTACACTAACACGGTGTACTGCATAGCAGAGCGGCCACTACAGCAGATGGCAAATCAACAATGTGATGAGACGCAGGCCTCATCAGCAGCAAGGCAAGCAATCCGGTAAATTGGCAGAAGGGGACTCGGAGATTCGCGCGTCAAGTGGGTGCCGGTATTCCATGCTTCGAAATCAATTGGCCAGACAGCTCACAGCTTCCCGCCCTGAGCTCATCGTCCGCAAAAAAGAAGAGGGCCGATGGGATGCCCATCCCCAATTTACCGCCTTCTGGAGGCGATTACCATGTATCTCATCATAGTATTTTATGCACGATGATACATCAGCATGCTATCTCTCCCAAGGAACTGCCGGGGACCGCGGGACTAAAAAGCACAGCTGGGAAACAGGGAATAGCAACCACCCCAGTCCATCAGGAATGCCCGCTAACAATTGGACGCGCCGACGAGGAGGCGAGTTGGAGGCACCACCACCCTTCTTCACAGGACGGCTCAAGTTGGTGTCGCGGCTCAGGAACGGCGCTGCCTGTGCGAATCCAATATGAGAAAGACCCCTGACTAGGGATCATGAGCCGGCGCTGCTAAAGGGATACTTGCCTATCACGGCATATTCCACGCCGCATCAACTGTATCCCTTTAATGCGCCGCACGACTTCACCGTTGCTTTTTTAGCCCTGCTACGTAACGTCTTGGACCAACTCCGAGCTGCTAGTCAGGGCGGAGGGTTCCCCCTTCATCCAACATCTCAGCTAGACCTCTTCTGCCTTCACGTCACCGGGATTGCGCGAGTTGGACTACGTTGACAAACATTCACTGACAAGCAAGGCATAAACCGCAATCAAGAGACTTTTGGTAGCAGTTCTCAACCATCCCGCACCCTCATTTCGACAAGCTCACGGTGGCCGCCACCCACCCCCTGGTCTGCATCAACTTCCCTCATCTCCAACTATGATTACCGCAAATAGCTGCATCATGTACGTATCTTCGTCTTGACGTGCGGCACAGATGACCGCCTATCATCTATATCTGCGTCGAACGGTCGTCATCAGTCTTAGCCTAAGCCCCGAAAAGCCTCTAGAGAGGTCTCGGACATGTACCGGATCCTTAAGTCAAGAACAAGAAGAACAAAAAAGACGTTTTTGTCCGAGACGGCACGGCTATTCTAGGCCGATTCCACAAAGCTGACCGTTGGAGGACTGCCCGGGAGGGGAGAAACATTCCGCGTCCTCATCAAGCAAACCCCCCGCCCGAAACAAAGGTTGTGGATGGGGTCCCTGAGATTCTTCCTCAGTGCTTCTTTTTCCCCTAGATTATCCGTCCCCCATGTCATGTTGAAACACATGCAGGGCAACGAGAAGAGAGATAGTGTTGCGTCGCCAAACATCCCACCCCTCCTCGCAGAATGGAATATTCCCGACGTCCAAACTCAACGGCGCACAAAACCTTACGTCCCGCCCTTCCCCCGTCCAGCTTTGGCAGACGAATGGTGAGGTTACCTACGCCGCGGACATGAAATCCGCAAGGCGCTACGCCTGGCCTGCGAGCACCACATCAACCAACGGACGAGTTGGACGTCACCCAGACGTTGCGCACGGCGACCAGCAGCTACCTTACGCCACAAAAGCAAGCAGCATGCGCGCTATCTCGATCGACCTCCTCCAGCGACCATCTAAGAAGGTGAAAGGAGGCTGTTGCTGCTGCGCTACGTTAGCGCAGAGGGACGAAAATCCGCGTCTTAGTTTCGTGTGGCAGCCGTCCTCCGCCGTTTGACTGGCTAGTGTTTCTTCGGTTTTTTCTTTCCTGAACTTCTCAGCTCGCGTTGGTTGCGTTGCTTGAGTCGCTCTTTCGTTCGTTCTTCCACCTCCTTCCTGGGCGGTTGTGACATGGGTCACGTTGCCACGTTCCACGCCGTTTACGGCCTAGCGCTCGAACCCGATTCTGGTGTGTTCTCGCGTCTCTGTCAAGTCCTCTCTGGCTCTCAGCTGTGTTGCTTCGGTGTCTCCTGGCCGTCGATTGGCAGAGTCGCTACGGCTAAAGCCATAATCCGACGTCCCGACTCTCTTGACCTCGCCGGGCCCCCCATTATTACCGTCAAGGACCTCTGGACTTGGCGGCTACCATTCTGAGGTGTCATTCGTGTCATCCAATGTTAATGTTCCAACGAGAAGGGGCCTGGGCAGCATCGAATAACCCTCGGGTTCGGAAAAGAGAAGTCGAACAGTGAGTGAGGTGCTCTTCCGGCTCCGTTTGTCGTCCGTTTTCCGCCCCCAAACAACGACGCCTGACTCTCGCTCAAACCCCCACCTCACGACAGCACGACCAGTCAGTCCATCAGTATATGTCCCACCTCGCCTCCGACCTCACCAACAACCAGCGAGGATCCACAAGATCACCATCGCTTCATCGGTGAGATGGCCGAGCGGTCTAAGGCGCTAGCTTCAGGTGCTAGTCAAGAAATTGGCGTGGGTTCGAATCCCACTCTCATCATCACAACACTTCGCCGTTCAGGTGTTCTCTTTTTGCTTTTGATGGCGAGATTGTTGGTGTTATGAGGTTCGTGATGAGTTGCGAGAGCGTCTGGGCGGTAGCGACAAACCCCTCACGCTTGTCTCGTCATTTTTTGGCATGGCGAAAAGAAGTTTGAGAATACGCATACATGGCAAAGAGTTTCAGGCTATTCTTTGCCATGTTTCCAAGGCCAGATTCGCCGACGTTGCATTGGAAGCGGTTCCATCTTGAAATTTTGGCTGAGTGCGGTGTAAATTGGGTGTGGCTTGAGCTTCGGTCCGCCCCACTTGACGACTGGTCCTCGAATCATGATTGGCCTCATTTTGGTTATCCAACATCGTCAACAGATGAGAGCATGTCTTTCAGAAGTGTTTCTCGTCTTGGAAGATGTGCTTTGCCTAATCCCTCATATCGAACCCATGGTGCCAGCCTGAGGTCAACCTGCCATTTGCAGGCAACGTTTCCTGTCGTCAAAAGCTGACAACCTAATCCCAAAACCCCAAGCACGCGGGGTAGACATCGAATTGACTCAAGACCTGCATCCACGTTTCCCCTCTCGAAAAGTCTAAACCGTTCTTGAGATCCTCCCGGCAAGACCGCAGCCATGTTCCCGCACAGACGACCTCTCGCTTGGGGCATGACTAATCAGGATAAATAATGGGTTTTATAATGAGTATCTAAATAGTAAAGCACAGACGACCTCTGAAGATTGGTTCCGCGGTCCGATCGTCTCGAAGTCTCCCGTCCTGCGGCCGAAGCTTGTCCACCATGCGTAGAAGCAATCTGACCAGTCTCAGGGAAACGACAGGAGACACCAAACCCGGCCGAGCGGTGGCATGCAGGAACTCCCGGACATCGCATCATGACCGAGCGTAGAAGCTCTCAGCCCACTTAGCTGCTGTTCCAGACAGTCAGCCTCACTCAGACGCTCTTCGGACGAAAGAACGAACGACATCAACGGCCACGACTTGCGACGATGATGCGGGAACGGTTCGCAAGCCATAACTGATTTGTCCATCTGCGTTTCCCTGGCTAGAGACTCGGGGGTCCGTCCGGCGTCCGTCCGTACGGTCATCCCGGTGTCTCGCCGGGCCGCCCCGGAAGCCGGCCGCTGTCGCCTCCTGTTTCCGATGTGGCAAAAATAACGCTGGTCTCTTCGATCCACATTTCACAATGGTCCAGGAGTGAGTCGATGGGCATCAACTCCTTGGCAGTGATGTCCTCCCGACCGCGAAGCGCGTGGGAAAGACTACTCTTTCTCTAGTAAGTAGGGACCATTTCCTTTCCCACGGGTCTAAGTTTTCGACAACCAGCATGTTTCCAGCGTTCAGCTTCAGCAGAGCAACGTCTAATTACCCGGTCACGTTGCTACCGCACACGGCTCTCAGAGGCTCGAGAAGCCGCCTGAGGCCTTCTGCAAGCACATGAGACCATGCCCGCTGTAGAACCTGGGGTCCCGTCCGCTCTCCCTTTGAATGACCAGCAAGAACAGGCTCATCTAGAAGGGCGAGGGACGTTAATCAGCTTGAGTTGTGAGGTGACAATAGAACACAAGTGAGGCAAACCCTTTGATCTGCCTCAGTATAAAGCTGAAGCAAGATTTATGTGTGTACTTATAGTGCTAACTCGGAAGGTGAGGAATATGAGACATTGACTTGCAAATTGGACTCTTTGCAATCAATCGCACAAAAGGTACTCATGCCGAGCCTCCAATTGCATTGAAACATCGGCATCTCGGAACACGCAGAACTCAAACAATCCCGATTTGTGACGAGAAACCAAGGAACAGAATCTTACTGTCCATTCGTGATCTCACCTCGCACACGAGAATCTCAGAGATGGTAAACTCGTCATGGTACCAGTCAGAGCTCTCCTTTCAACTCCAGTTCCTCCTGCAGATGCATGGTACATCCCACTCCTGCCATGAAGCCCATGTGAATAGCCTCGACAGCAGTTGTCATCACAGTCGCAGCGTCGCCTGCTGCGAAACATCCCTTCAAAGAGGTTTCGTTGAAGGGTGCTATCACCTTGATGACGCCTTCTTCGTCCAATTCCAGCCCCAACTGCTCCACCAAATCTCCAGCTCGCTGTTCCGTGGTGGGATGGCTCACGATGAACGCCTCGGTTACCGAAGGTGAACTGTCGGCAAACTCTAGGCGTACGCGGGGCCCGGAATTGATCATACCTAAGCGCGCAACTGGACGATTGTCGACCACCATGTTGCTGCTCCGAATCTCCGAGCTGAGCTTCACGCCGAGGGCATGATCGCCGTTGGTGTAGATTGTGACTCGGTGGGCAAATCGCTTGGCCATACGGGCCATCTCAATGATGTACGACGCGTGAGCAGCGAGATACGGGGTGATCAACAGACCAACAGAATCGGCGCCTCTGGTCTCGAAGCCGTCACAGAACAGACAATGAAAGCTGCGGTGGAAGTATTAGTACGGGTGACAAGCAAACACTCGGACTGCATGTTCGACTTACATTCCCTTGCCCCAGCAATCAGAAAACCCTTCAACCTCATCCTCGACTCGATCCCTTACGCCAGTCGCCAGACCGAGCTTCTGCCCCTTATATACGTGGTCTTCGATGTCAACCGCTTCGAAAAGCCCATCAACCTGCCGAACCTCTTTGATCCTGGTAGTGCAATACTCAATACTCGCGTATCGCTCATCGAGGTCATCCCGTACCTTGGCACGGAAATCCGCCGGATCTCTGTGGTCCCAGCCAGGAACATTGTGCATGTGACTCGTTCGTTCATTCCGGTAGGCGGTAGAGTCGAGGATCAGCGCAGTATGAAGCTGGCGAGCCAATCCCCCGGCTAAAGATAGGCCAGCTGGACCGCCGCCGATGATCAAAACGTCGTAGACCTTGTTCGTCATTGCTTTGGGTTGTAGCCTGAAATGTAAAGATGATGGAAGACTGATATGCTCAGGAGGATTGCGGGCGACGTCAAGCTGCTTTATACCCTTAGCCAGATGTCAAGGACTTCAAGAATCAAACAGCCCCCGCTAATCGGGCTGGCACATTCTACTGTTACTCTAGCGATATCATACAGAAACTTGGATTGCCCGATCGATTGAAGTTTTAGAACGAAATACCGTATCACAGTGGCCACGTACGCCATCAAGGTTCTCCTTGGCGCGGTGAGCATGTTTTCAGTTCCTGGCATCTCTGCAGCAATCGTCGGAAGCTTTATGAGGTCCCGTTAGCTAAGTCTCCGACAAACTTTTCACGTAATTGGATAGAGTTGGACCCTGGACTCGACAAAAAATGGATATGATCGTGTTCCGCTTTTGCACTGGTATATGCTTTACTTGTTTCTATCTTCTCGATACGTCATTTCTGTACACAGCTGTGTCACTTAGTAAAGGGGCTCTCTTCAGCAAAACATCAACTTGGTGGATACCTATTCCCGTCGTCAGTAGCCACTCCTAGCTATTATAGCTACTCGAATGCTGTGGTTGAAATTCCTGTGTTCGAAATTCGAACACCACAGATTCAACTTAGGTAGTTGACGGTAGCTGGCACTGCTCATGTTGGGGGAGGTGGGGGATGCCAGGAACGACGGCTTGGATTGGGAGCATCGAGAGACCACCGATGACCATACAGGTGCCAAGGCTCGATAGTATTACAGCGTAGATGAACCAGGGCGTGTCGTGTTTGCGTCGTAAGAGCTTTTAGTTGAGCTTGAAATACTATGTTACGAGCCATCTGAAAAATCGCTATCCTGCGCTGAAGTAGGCGGCTAGTACGTGCGGAAAGTTTCAGGCTTTAATATTTAACAGCATCTAGTAACAGGCCTGAATAAGTTCAGACCCGCCCTTTGATCCAATCAATGACTGGAAAAGTCTCCGACGTCAGGAGGGACGGAATTTCGCTTTTCTTCACGGCCTTCCCAGCCTCTCTCCCCACCCAGGTCGGATCGTCACTGAATGGTCAGAGATCTGCCCGCCAATATCTCTCCGCGATGGACGCCGCTTCTAATCTACCAACACTTCGCGCACAGCGAGCAGCTTGCGAGCCATGCCGTTTGATGACCACCTATCCTCATTGTTCATCTGCCCTGGCTAACTGCGAGTAAGGATCACGAAAAAAGAAGTGTGACGGCAGAGTACCACAATGTTCATTATGCAGTCGCTCAAACCAAGACTGTGTTTACGCTCCTGCCTTGCCATTAGGAAGACCAAGACGGCGCAGATTGAGTCTGGCTACTCCAAGCTTCCGGCAATCCACGAAAGATATTTCCGTTTCATCGGCAAGCCCCGTTGCTACCCGACATGATGAAGCGACGACATCATCAGCCGTGGAGGATGAAACAATGAGTCGCGGCGAGAGGGAAACGAGAGACAGCTGCTCTCCGCAAATTAACTTGCCAGATGTTTATGAGTGAGTTACTGGACACAGGGGACGGCTGATCACTAATAACACGTCAAAGCAATGCGACTATGACGACTGTCAATACATTTTGGACTTCTCCTGTCCTCTTGGAAAAGAGACATACTCGAACTTGCGCGTGCCTGGATACAATGTACCTAGCTCTTGATGAGCTTCAGGGGCTTAAAGAGATCGACTTTGCATCAGGACTCTCGATGCTTCAACAATGTATCCAAAGGGCCATGGATATCATGCGGTGCGAGGCGTGCCCTTTGCGCTTTATCAGTTGCATACAGAATGCTCAAGTTCTTTTCGCCCTTCTGGATTGCATGGTTGAAGGATACAGAACAGTCCTGGAAATAATCGACGCGGAAGCAGATCAGTTGAGGCAGCGGAATGAGACCAAGACATGGACCGTCAAGGATATTAGCCTTGGTCAGCCTGGCCCTTCCTTTGCACTTCATCTTAAATCGGAAGAATGGAAAGCGTTTGCCAGAAAGACTATCGGATCGGAGGTTTTTGGAGTTGTTAATGGAACACGGGGATCTTTTGCGGGTTTACTAGATCAGCTGGAAGCAAGACAAACCCAGTGGCACACTTCCCCTCCTTGCCCAGATTTTCCATCCAGGCACGTTCATGGGCTAACGAAAATCCCTCTGTGTGTGCAACATTGCCGCGCAGTACGCGAGGAGATACATACTCTTCAGTTATAAGGGCAAATAAATCAGTTGCTCCAATAGAGCCAGTAAGACATGATGAGATATTGCAATAGTTTTACACGCCATATCCTCTTTGCCTATTGAGACTTGATAAGTAGGGAAGTTTATGTCACTTATAAAGGGGACAACGCACCTTTTAGCGTCGGTTTCTTTAAAGGATGATGAGCTGCTCGATTTATTAACTGAGGCTTTGGTAAGCCGTCCTAATTTGATGAAATTCCCTGTTGATCAACGACACTAAGAGGTGTGGTTGTCTACTGTTACACCTCCTTTCTTCCTGCCAAGCGGTCAAGGGCATGTTGAGTCGAGATTCGCAGAAATATTCGTCTAGTGCTTTGGAGACCCTGACACCCAACTTTTACGCATGGAAACAAACCGGCCGAGTACTTGCCGGCTCACTTCTCAGCGCCCCCGCTCCTCGTCAATTGCGTATCCAATGTTGCCTAAGGAACAGGCAACGTATTCTCGAGAGCTCACTCGCAGCCTGCCATTGATGTGAGTGATGTTGAGAACATTGCTCCCAGTCAAACCTCCTGACCTTTCACCAATCACAGAGACACCATATTTCTTGGCCTTGTCTGAGTACTAACGCCCATGAAATCGAAAGATCCACTGCCCAATCCTGCTTCCGGGGATGCCATATGCTTCAATATTCTCGACAACTGTGACACCAGGACTCGCGGCTTAGTATATTAGCTGGAATATATTCAGATTCGGTCGAGGAGGGGGTCAAAGGCCATGATGTCTTTCATACCCTAGGGCCGGTGTCTCCGACGACAACGAATGGTCAATCAATGCGCAGTACTCCGTTGATGTAATGGCTTTCCGCTGATTATCTGATCTCGTTGACTTTTGACGTACAACCAACGTCCCTCGTCTCTTATGCGATTTGACTGATGCAATGTGGAGAGCACGATTCCTTTTATATAACAGCGATGGACACTTCAAGAGATATCTCAAACTTTCCGCTAATCGGATTGGTTTCTGTATGTCCTAGGAATGGAGACGTACCAATGGCGGTGACATCTAAGAACGCCTCCACCCAGCACCCCGTCAAGAACCGGCAGCACACTATCAACGTGGCTTTCCCGAGACTGACATATTTATATTCTTTTCAACGTCTGTAACTGGTAAGCAAGTGGTATGCACAGCCAATGGAGACGGGTCGATTCCCGTGCGTTTGGTGATACCTGCGAGGCCTTTCATACTAGCCCAAAAGAAGCCTTGACGCATAGGAGTCCTTTTCTCTCAACACATACCCAATCCTGGGAAGGGTTTGAGGTCGTTTTGCGTCATTGGCGTCGTAAGAGTATTCGTGCCCAGGTACTTTAGCAGAGAAACATCATCTCATTGATTTCAAGGGCTTCTGGCCTGATCGAAGACATCAATATCTGCCCAACGACTGGAGTCTACGTAGAAGCTTAACGTGAGTCCGATCAATGCTGATGTTGAGAAATCCGACGACTCCTCTGATGTCCTGGCGATGCAATCCAGGCTCCTAGCCACGGTCTCCTTTATACAGTCTCCTGACCAGGCTGGGGTAGACTGACTCTCAACGACTTAAGAGTTCGCTGCCCCCGGATCCGTTGTAAGTAAAGGAAGTAGTAGTAAGGCAATTTCCCAGACTTCGACAGATGACGATCAGTCTTCCTTATCGTGGTAACTGCAACTGCATCACTTCCGGATACTCCAAACATATAAAAGGCCCACTAATAAGCCCAATCCCCGGGACACGAACGCCACACGTTGCCAGGTCCCAGTGAACTGGCCGGCCTTACGATATCGCAACTGTCACTCAGGGGCACTTGTCTGCGTTCCATATTCATGATGTCAGCAACCGCTCTGGCATGCCTCTGAAGGCGAAGATGACGGTTTATGTCCGTTACCGGTATCGTCCCCACGATATTCATATCCCAATACTATTGTTACTCGCGGTGGACCAGTGCAAGATCAGCTTCTCCCACCGGGAACATGAGGAAAGACTACCGAGCGAGCGTTTCGCGATATCCTGAAATTCAAACCATGACGAACTGAATCAAGCCATTGTCGCTCAGAGAAAGGTGCTTGTTCACCGCAGACTCACCAATATATACTGATATAAAAAACCTGCTCGCCAACCGCAACAATCCCAACGGAAAGATTCGATACACATCATACATATGCGCATCCCTCACACCCTCAAAAGATGTTCACAAGAGGCGCCTCGCCCCGAAAATCACATCCCGTCACGGTTATTCGCATGGTCTGCTGATGACTTTAGACCAGTCGAACTATTTAACCCATTTGATGTGATCCAAATCATGACCAATTCTCAAGAAATTCCAGTCTTCGGCGAACTTGGATAGAATGCGATGATTGGAGACTGTTCCATGCGTCCTTAATATAATGAGGAGTGAACCAGTCCGGGACTCCTTCCATCATATGCAATACACTGCAACTTACACGCTCGCTCTTATACACCGTAGCCCATCCGTCGATATCGTCCGTCATGGTAGTATTCCTTCCCTCATACCCCGAGAAATAACCCACTGTAGTAGAGGATCCGTCCAGCGCAATGTGAAATATGTTATCCCGAACGAGGTCTTCGTGGCTCACGGATAATTGGTTCTCTAACATATCCATACAAGCCTTCCACTGCGGTTCAACGAGCAGACATCACCGTGATATTCAATATATATGTGGGTGCGTGCATGTGTGCATATGTTCAATCCAGCTCACGGCGCTCTAAGAACAGCCTCTCGTCTCGACGCAACACCGTCCTTGCCAACGAAGAGTGCTAACCGACG